TTTTCTTGTACGGTGACACCACCGAAGGCGGCCAGGAACAACGTGAGGTTTCTCCATTGGATGAATTTGTCCTGTGCGAATGTCAACCCTATAAATGCAAATACCTTGGAGGCGAAAATACCTCGAGAGTCATGAGCTGCTCATGCTTGCTCAAATGAGAATCGTCGAAAGCTGCTGCTGCGGCCAGAGGATTCTGCACGATAAACTCTGAGAGAGCACTCCATCTATAAAAGCACTCTTCCCAAACAGCGATGTTGATGGGCGACGAATTTGCGACCAAACGCAAGAGCTTTCTGACACGTTTCTGCTCTCTGACACGCCCTGCAACAAAGATTACACTAAGGACAAATTGAAAGTGAATGACACGCACCAACAATGATGACGCCGGGGTCACCGAGCTGTTCATATATGGGGTTTCGCTTAGAGCGTTCCTCTTCAGTGAGGCCGTGGTTGACAGGAGCTCCAGGTTGCCGCTCAGCTTGTGCGATGAGACGAAGACCTTGGGCAGCAAGTTGCGAGACATCACTGCTAACTGATGTAAGGGATACTAAGAAGGCGATCTCGCACATCGCGAAAGCTGGTACACGATCCTTGTCGAATTGCATGCCATGAGCATGGTTATCCTGCACAAGAATATCCTTGAGGTGGTCTATATGAACGAAAGAAGACGACTTACCTCGCTTTTCCTATGGTAACATTCGACAAGTTGATGAGCAACATGTATCCATAGTCTTTGGCTATCAGGATCGAGCCTAGTCAGCAACAGCCTCTTTGCGATGCACATCAACGACATCGGCCTACAAATACACGTCAGAAAATCGCGAAATGCAAGCAAACATTATACCAACATCGCGTTTTTCATCCACCCTTCGATCATTTTGTAGTAAGGGTCAGTCGGAGGCATCTTGAAGAAGAGATCTGTGAGGTGCTGGTGCGATGTCGCGGCCGATATTTTGACAGCTGTATCAGTATCTGAGTCATGGACTCGTGCAGAGATCGAATCCCAGCCTTCCACATCTGTGTCTTCGATGTTGGCGATATAGTAATCGGGCGATGCCCGCAACAGCGCAAGAATGGAAAGGAGCATGAGATCTTTGTCAATCAGTGTTTCGGACGTGAAGCGTTTAGCCTTGGGCCGAGACGCTGCGCGACGAATAGCCCCATCGCTGTCGTATTCGCTGAGCCGCATAGAAGAAGTCTGTACGTCAAAGGGATTAGAACGACAAGCTGTTGAAATATGGTGGGTATATAATTACCTTGTAGATGCATCTCAAGCGCGGTGAGATAGCGAACTGAAGTTTCTCCAAGGATTGCTGCCAAGGAACACGAGGTGCCTACAAACAAGGTCAGCGACCAAAAGCTGTTGCCCTATTTCAAGTACATACCTCTATTGACAGAGTGGTAGCAGCCTTGATAGCACAAATCTTCACTGCATCAGACCGCTCAGGCTCCAGGCAATCCAAGAACAATGATATCGATTCCTCTTCTGGCAGGAAACGGAATACAGCAACAAGTGCCTCAGCATAGGTGGCGACGTCGATTTCATCAAAAGAGTCCCAGAATGGCTTCTGCCCGGGTGACTTCTGCAAGGTCGACTACAAAGAGTTAGCAATGGGACAGATTGGACTACACATGTCACCATCACCTTGATTTCATGCGAGATGTCTGCTGCAATATGTTTGAGGGGCATTTCGCCATCAGGCGATATCCTAAATCCAGCTCTACACATGTCGATCGCGCACACAAATGAGACGTCGGAGAGCTTCGAATTTGTGTTTGAATGTCTGAGTAAGTCCTCTACGAAACGGATATCCTTCATGAAAAAAGTGAGATTAAGTTATAGTCACTCTACATCAGACTCACCCTCCTGTGGCTAGATTTGTGAGTAGGGAAGTTCATGGAACGACTATCAACATCGATTTGATAGTCTGGCGACAGGCGCTCAGCAGCAAGACAAGCAAGAACTGTCAATGTCGGCCAAAGCGCACGCTCCCGACCAGGTTCGTTCGCGGAGTGCAGGAGGTCAAAGACACGCTCTGGTGCGCCTTCGAGTCTCCCTCTTGATCTCACTGCTTCATTGTACTCCTGTGGGCACATCTCAATCCAATTCCAGATTGCCATACGTAATGGGATGGCAACTGCTGTCTGAGCTTGTCGTTTCATGTTCACAAGAAGTGATGAAAGCTCATGCAGAACTTGGACGAGTCGCGCTCTGTCCATCGCGCTATGCGTCATGAGCTGCAAATCGATCGTGTCGGGGTTGTCCTCCGTTGTGTTGGCGAGGAAGTGGATCTTCTGGCGTATTCGGTGGAAGACAACTAACCAATTCGACGCGGAGAGATGATAAACGATTCGTCCTGCAAACTTGCTGATAAGAAGATTCAGCGCAAGTGCGGATTTGACGAGCGCCATATGAGTTCTCTCGAACTGGAACGTGCGACCTAGCTGCCAGTGCCCTGAGGTTATGCTGGCACCTGATTGGAATGACGCGGATGAATTTCTGAGCTTCAGGATCGGCTTCGATCCATGAGATATGTGAGCAGGTAGTAAAGGGCCATTGTTTCCTGTGTAATCGTCGAATGCCGATGACTCCGTCGGTAAATCCACTGACTCGAAATCGTGCAATGACGCGTCAGGAGCCAGGTTTGAAGACGACATGAGTCGAGCTTCCGGCGCTGCAGTCTGACGAAGGTAGAGAACCATCACACTCAGGATATAACGTGCACAATTATCATCAAGAGGATAAGCCTCTGTCCATGGGGGTGGCGTAGATGAGGAGAACTCAGTAGAAGCTTGGCGAATCCTCTTGCCCTGATGACTCGAAGATGGCATTGGCGATTCAACATGACCAGGAGTCTGGCTGCTATTCTGGGGTTTAGGCCCGCGAGCGGATCGCGCGTCGTCCTGTTCATGTCGGTGATTCCATCTTGATGTCATGCATACCGACAAAATCTTCAAGATAAATAGTTGAGACTGCAATGCTTCTGTAGTCATTTGTCCGTCTGCATCGACTTGCTGTAATAATGCGCATATAAGCACCATCTTACACCAGAAGTCGCAAAAGTACCTTTGCAAGTCGTTCGAGCAGCTCGCTTAGCGACCAAGCTATGATGTCTAATGAGTCGTGCGCGATCTCCACCAACGCGCATACTGCCTTCTGTGTCGCAGGATCCGATTCGACAATATCCAGAGAAAGGCCGGAATGGATTGGTAGCTTTTGCGTAATATGACAAGTCAGAGTTGATCAAATGGTCCAGGTGGATAAGTGACCTACTTTATTCTTTATTCTGTTGTTTATAAGGGCTTGTACTACCATCTTCTGTTGCGGAGTAGCAGACGCGCCCGAGTAAGCTATGGAAGGCGGATGGATTGACCCGCCGTTTCCTGTGAGCATATGGTGAGAGTCGTTACTTCTATGGGCTCTGTTTGAGCTCTGAGGTGGATTTCCATGCTCTGCTGAAACAGATAGACGGCGGATAGGCATGGCTTGAATATGCCTACCGCCAGTACTAAGTTAAAGCAGTTTTTGTTACAGAGCTGTGTTTTGAAATTGTCGTTGCAGTGCAACCAAAAGTTCCGGTGGGATTACATAAGGCCCAGGGATGAAAATCATGTATCATTACATTGTATGTCATAATAATCATAATCCCGCATGGATAATAAACAGAGGAAACTGATAAGTACAAGATAACTTGAAGTATATGAACATTAATCTCCAAGCTGGAGCGGTAGAGTGAATTTCCTCAGTCACCGAACAAGACACAAAGTACCGTCGCAGTGATACGGTACAAGTACTACCCGAGACTCATCTAAAAGTATCATCTGGTAATGACTTGCCGAACCTGAGGAGGCCTGATGGCCGCAAACCTCGGCGACACAGCAATATTCTATAACTGTGAGTTGCGAAAGCCAAGTTGCAAGTACAGAAGTTGCCATCTGCACTGCTGTAGATAAGACGCGACCGCGGTTTCCAACTAGACTCTAGCACTGATGCGGCGTAGCTGACGATAGGCCATGATTCGCCGGAGACAAAGAGTCCGAATTATGGGATGATCAGACTCGGATGCGGCAGAACATGATCTGATCATTTGTATGATGGATAGTCGATACGGTGCAAGGTAACATCATGAGTGTCCAAAAGTTCAGAGACAGAGGATGAGAACACACTTGTTGATCTACTAATCGAGGGGACCTGGGCGCCTATCAGACACCGCCACTATTAAAGCGTAAATATGGACCCACATTAACTTTTGTTGAAGACTCTTACTGAATCAGCCGCTTCACAAAAGGGCGAGGAGGGCCCAGACTAACGTTTTTCTTGAACATTTTTCCTTGTTCGAGGTAGCCATTGTTACCTGGATTAGGTGAGTGCCGGCTGTGCCTAGCAAGATGCCACCACTACTGACGACTTGATGAGATGTAAAGCAGAAAGTAGTAAGCTGCAGGTACGTGCGATCCCTTCATGCATGAATGGGTCGAATAATGGGCATTTGGTGTGCTCGACAGCAGTGACCTGACCGAGACATTAGTTCAAGGTCCACGATCATCATCAGTAAAAATGAGTCTCAAACGCTAAATTGTACTCCGCTCTACCACTATACTGGCCCAAAGCTAATCAGACAGCTACTAGTACAATCTTTACTCTGCCACGAGACTTCTAGTACGTCCAGTTTCTTTATTCTCATCGACGTGCTCGACGTGCTCGACGTGCTCCCAGTTGCCATCTATCTTACAAGACACTAAAACAATCTTCGTTGCATTTCGTCTTGCATTGCATCGCTATCAATCAGTCTTATTTTCTATTTCTATTGCTCTCTTGCAGTCGTTTTTTATTCGCTTTTTCTTTCACATTTTTTCAGAGCACATTTGCCTTCCGCTATCCACTTTTTGCCCACAGTTTCCTACTTTCATTTGTCCTTTGATCTCCCTCTCGTCGTAATTGTGCGCGATTTCCCATTAGTTGTTCCAGACCTAACTTACCTCTCGATTAACGCTCAGATATGTCTCGTATTGACTTTCACGACTTTAGCTATCCTCCAGGTGTGGCGTACTCTCGTTCAGCCGTAGAAATCGACCACCGCATGTCTAATCACTACCCTCCCAATTCTCCTACCCATCCTTCAGGAGATCGACGCATTTCCAACGGATTAGGTGTCTACCTTCCCAACACGAGCAATTCGGCATTAATACCCCACTCTATTGGTATTCATCCAGACAAGGAATACAGCAGTATTGGAATAATCCCAGAAGCATTTCAAGTCGCCCCAAATAGGCACACATCTACCCAACACTTCTCATCCTCTAACCACCACCGTCCTCCTCCCGTCCCCCACAGCAGCTCGCCCGCCGCTCTCTCTATCAACACCACTTACTACAACGCCCCCTCCGACGCTGAGCGTGAAGGGTATCTACAACGCCAGCTTCAATTGCTTGTCCCGTCAAGTGATCTTGCTCTGCCTGCCAACTCCAACCCTGGCCCAAACGTACTACGCTCTACTCTCTGGTGGGGCGAGCTCGAACCTTGGATGGACGAAGAATACGCAAAACAGGTTTGTGCTCTGATGGGTTGGGACCCAGTCACCGTCAAAGTTCCAAACCCCGTCCCAGACACTGTCGCTCCTCAACCGACCAACAACTCTGGTTACTGCTATCTCACGTTCCCCTCGCCAGCTATCGCTTCTTCTGTTCTCAACCAAGTTAACGGCGGCGGGAGTACGCAGCCAGTCACTATGCCAAACTCGAACAAACCCTTTGTTCTTAACTGGGCTTCTTCTGTTCCTGCCGGTTCAACTACGCCTTCTTTCCAAACAGCTGGTGTAATTGTCCCTACGGCACAACCACAGTTCCCGAAAGAGTACAGCATATTTGTTGGTGATCTTGCGCCAGAAACATCCAATTCAGACCTTGTGGCCGTGTTTCGAAATCCAGTTCTTGGCCTACGGAATGATCGCGAGCCCAAGTTCATTCGACCTTTCTTGAGTTGCAAGAGTGCCAAGATCATGCTTGACCCTGTAACTGGTATATCGCGAGGGTATGGCTTTGTACGGTGCGTCTGTCGTACAACTAGATGAACAAACTCATAGTCCCCTTCCCACACAGATTTACCGAGGAAGCGGACCAACAGCGTGCGCTGATAGAGATGCATGGCCTATATTGCCTTTCACGCCCAAGTCAGTCATCTTCGTATCCTACTTCGGTCAAGTTAACAACATGATTCTTCTTCCAGTGCGAATATCTCCTGCCACGGCTAAATTCAAGCCGCCTCCTATGCCGACGGATCTTCCCCAAATTCAGTTTCCTGGTTCCCCTACTTCTGATCAGCGCCCAAATACAGTGACTGTAGCTCTCCCGCTCGGTCAGCCAAGGAGCGTGTCTGCACCTATGGCAGCTTCGACGAGCGCTGGATCTTCGTCTTCGTTGGCCGGCGTGCCCAGTGGTTCCTCCGCTTCGGGGTCAACGTTGAGCAGCTCGAGTTCTATTCCTTCGCTTGGATCCGAGGTCAGCACAACTACATCTTCAGGAGCCTTGTCTTCGATGCCGTCGGATGAGATGCTTGGTCTCCCCAACAATGTTCTTGCCCTCGCTCACCAATATGCTAACGGTGGCTCCATCAATAACGCCAAAGGCATCGTTCCTTCTGGTTCGGCGCATGACTTACAAGATCATTCTGGGGCACCGCGGTACATCATCTCCGAAGAGTCATGGAAACACCACGCTCAAGCGCGTGCCATCCTTGGCAACCTCATCGGACCGAATGGCGAGCAGCTCACTTCTACCGACCCCTACAACACTACTGTTTTCGTCGGTGGGTTGTCGCCTTTAATTTCTGAAGAGACCTTGCGGACGTTCTTTACACCGTTCGGCGAGATTCACTACGTGAGAGCTTTATTTTTGTACTATTGGTGGGAGGCTCATGTAGCCGTATCTGTGCAGGTGAAGGTGCCCGTCGGCAAACATTGTGGCTTTGTTCAGTTCGTTCGAAAGGCTGATGCAGAGCGGGCTATCGAGAAGATGCAGGGATTTCCTATCGGAGGGAGTAGAATTCGGTTGAGCTGGGGTAGAAGTCAATGTGCGTCTTCGGGTGTTGTAACACGCCCAACTGACTAATAGTGATGTCATAGATAAAGCTGCGCAAGCCGCCGCCCAGGCAGCCCAGGCCGCTGCACTCCAAGCCCAGTTCCAGGCTCAGATGGCATCTACGCAGGGCCAGGTTGCTCAGAGTCAGATGACGCCAGAACAGGCGATTCAACTCTTGCAGAGGCTTGGTCTGTCAGGCCAAGGTCAATCGGGTGGTGGAAGTGATGCATCGAACTATTATATCGACGCTGCGAAAGGCAGTGGATACTCTGAGGAAAAACTAAGGTCGCTCATCATGAACCAACCACTCTCTGACAGTCAACTGCCGTACGATGTATATTCAGGGGGGTCCGGACCTCGCCCACCATCAAACATGAGTTCTGTGGAACATCATAGATCGCATCTCACGTCCACGTTCTCTCCTTTCTCCCCGGACCCGAATATGTACACGCGGAGAGGTTCCGACAGCTACGATCTGCTGCCCCATTCCATGAACCACGCGTCGCGCTATGATAGCATTATGGAATTTAAGGCTGCAGCTTCCCATTCCAATGAGAGACCCGTTCCCCCTGTACGTACGCCAAGTGGGTCCCAGCGATATGCTCCATTCCTAGATGGCTCTGCCAAGGCGTTTGAGGCTGGGCGTTGCATGACGCGCCAAGAACCAATCTCTCGGCCGAATTCCAGCCAGACATCATCACAAGGACGTTCGAGTCAGTACGATGTGCAGGAACACGATCCCATCCACGATCTTAATGGCACGCTTGCAAGCCTGGATTTGGACCAGCATAACACGCATCCGTCGTCGTCTTGAGCAGCGTTGCTCGGAACGGTCCCCGCCTTCGCCACGTGCCCCCATTCAAATCCCTTTTTTGATTTCGCTGCTCAATTTCATCTCCTGGTTTCGTTTTGTTTGTCCATTTGCCTTGGACCACGACACACTATCACACTGGATCATGAGCTGGGTCATGCTCCTATTGTCGGTTACCCGTTATTCGCTCTCGAGATGTGCCTATTCCGATTTGTTTCAATTCCCTCTGCTACCTTCTCCTCTTTTGTCTCTATCTGTTTTTTGATTTGTCTTTATTTCGCATAAGTCGGTGAAAGAATGAAGTCTACATACATACATCCTGTCTAAAGTAGTACCAGCCAACAAATTTTACAGTAGTACCCACTTCAGTTACTACCTTTACCTGTTTGTCTTATACTGCTATGCACTTGGAAGTAATTATTGCGGTAGAATCCTGCACGCATACGTTAAATCATCAAATAACATTAAGGCATAACGACGGTCGTACAAAACGGAGAGATAAGGAAGACAAAAGGCATCGAGTCATGAACAAACAGGGCTAATAAGATATCCGTGAAAATACATTGAATAGATGGAACAACAGAATGTGAACTGTTCACTATAATCAAGATAAGTAGAGAATTATACATCCGCGATGCTGGCTAGAAGACCTGCACGACCTGTGCCGGTAAGGGAGTCGCCCACTTCGTCACGCAGTCCAGACCCAGATGCCTCAGCATTACTGCTGGAGGCGAGTCTACCAACAACATCGCTTTGGAGTTGCATAGGAACGAAAACAACCTTGGTGTTACCAGACTTGGCCATCTGCTGTAGAGCCTCAAGCTGACGGATTTGCATGGCAGCTGGTGATGCGAGGATATCGGCTGCTTGGCGCATAAGGCGAGCAGAATCAACTTCTGCGCGGGCTGCAATGACCTTGGACTCTCCGATACGCTTCTGCTGCGCAGCAGAAGAGAGAGAGGCGGAGACTTCTGGGCTGAAGATGATATCCTTGATCAGGATGCCTTCAATGGCAACGCCCCATTTATCGGCGACGTCACCGACGATTTCAGCAATCTCGAAGGCGATGGCCTCGCGCTCGGTTACGACACTTTGGACTGCACGAGCACCGACGACGTGCCTCAAGGTGGTTTGAGCACGTTCGGTGAGTGCCTGACGTAGGTCACTGATTCCAAAGGCAGCACGATAAGGATTTATGATCTGAAAGTAGATGACAGAGTCACTGCACAATGTCGTAATGATTAATTAATGGAAGTGGAATATAAATATAAAATTAGCGCACATTTCGACATTGACATTATCACGAGTGATGACTGTTTGCCTGCCAATAGGGCTGATTTGAATTTTGACATCGACAATACGCAAGTCTTCCGTACAGACATTGACTTGTACGAGACCGGGGTCGACTGATTTGTAGAAGTGGCCAAACCGTGTAACCAGACCGACCGAACCTTAATTCGGAGTCCTAGTCAGAACATGATTTGAACATTGAAGAGTGCAGTACATACCTTGCTGGACATTTCGGAATGGATTTGGGAGAGGGCAGCAAGGAATAGCACCACAGAACCCGACACAAGCGCCAAGACTTTGCAGGAATGACCCGTAGAAGCCATGAGTGACCTATGCTAATGTGAGGAGATAGATGTATGGCATAGGGAAGCAGACGTACCTCCCCAGTACCGAGGTCTTGTGCATATGATGGCTAAACAAAAGCTGTCAAATGATGATCTAGATTGCCGAAGATATGGTGTTACTGACCTGCATCTCGCTGCGTTTCAAAGGCTGGACGTTGATCATGTGGTTCTTTGGGCCAGCAAACTCTTGCCCGTTCCTCCTCAATACCGACTCTTCTGTGACTTCAGACATGGTGAGAATGGGTTCAATTCAATGGGGTCTGGACTTACCATGAGGGGCGGTATGGTCAACTACGTTCCCACGGGAAGAGCTGTCAGTAGGAGATGGTACACGGTCCTTGCGGTCCTGGTCGCTCGACATTATGTACAGGTGAGAATGAAGAACGGTCGAGTGAGCTTTTGAGGACCTTCAATAGAGTAGTAAGACAAGGGGCGGGCGGTTCTCACAGAATGTATTATAAGATGTCACCGGTCACCCGTTGCACAGTTACTTAAGTACTCAAGTACGGTCTACGTCATAGTACCGTAGTGACACTCCTCCTAAGCCACACAACGCAGAAAAGACAACAATGTCCCTCCTTTCGCGTAGGTCTTTGGCGCACAAGTTGCGCAGTTCAAGTCGCATGATTTGCTGGACAGATACAGCCTTCAAGGTACATATGAATATAAGTGCGCAGCAACAGATACCGCCTTTCCATCGGAACTATCAGGGCCGAACGTTAAATGAGCACAGCTAAAAAAATTCACCCACCCCACTACATCGTGACTAGGAAAGTAGCCGTGCGCTTGTTAGCAGGAAACGACTGAGTTTAAATTTATCAAGCGGCTTGAGCGTGTCATCGATCACGACGTTCTAGATTTCTAGCCCATGACAAGTACAGACAGAAAATACTGGCTTATGAAAGCTGAGCCAGATTCGCGTGTAGTGAAGGGCAAAGATGTCAAGGTGTGTGTTTTGGGCTCAATATAACCCGCTATCATGATCATGTTGCGCATGGTATAGTTCAGCGTGGATGATTTTGAAGCTGCAAGGACGACGCCATGGGAAGGAGTGCGGAACTTCGAAGCACGTAACTTGATGAAGGAAATGACCATTGGGGACAAGGTGCGTATCCTCTGACCCCAATTTGATATTTCATCAAGCCCCGTCGGAAAGATATTATTCTATCATTCGAATTGTAAAAGTCCTGGTCAGTGAGTTATCGTCCTTACGAACTTTAACTTGACATGTATGCAGGCATCGCTGCGTTTGCTGAGGTTTGCTGTTCAATTTTGTCTTGCTCTCCATGCTTATTCTTTCTCAGGTGTCGAAGGAAGCATACGCTGACTGTATGTGCTGGAGATATAAATATCCAAAACATTTGTCTCATAGGCTCATCCTTATTTATAGACACAGCATGGGATAGGTTAGATTCATCACCAGCTAAGCCTTTGCAACGCTGACGTTACTGTTCTACTGTTCTTTAGCTCTCACCCTTACTTCGATCCGGTAAAGATTAAATTCATGCACAGGAAATATCGAGCCGTACCTTCTGATAAACATTCTATTAGAAAACTAAACAAGATGATCCGAAGTGGTTCATGATAGATGCCACATTCTTATCTCGCGCTGGACATTTTGTGCCGCTCTCTCTTCTCCGTCACATCGCAGAATCGGCGCAATCGGACCCACCAGATGAAATTGCGTATATAGGCACGGATGGAATGAAAGCTGTAAAAGGTACCGAGACTTCTGATTTCGCTCGACTGCCTCATAAACGATGTGTTTCTCTATAGCGATGCCCCTGGTCACCCGTGGACGTTTGAGCGTTCAGCGGGTCAGTAAGGAATGTTGGGAAATCATCCAGATGATGTCAGAAAAAGGTGGTTGGGAAGAAATGTCATTCGGGAAGAAAAAATCAAGTACATCAACGCGCCCAAAACAATCCAAGGTGAAGACAAGTACAAAGAACGACGACGGTGGCAGCGAAGTCGATGCAAAGGTTGATGAACCCGACATAAAACCAAAGAAAGGCAAGAAAAGGAAGGCCTCTGATGTTGATCCTCGAACCCAGGAAGTCGCGATACCTTACCGGCGCTCCGTTCGGACTAAGAAGGAGAATTCATAGATCCCTACGATCATGAGCGCTGTGCTAGTCACTCTAGTCCTCACAGTACATTTGCCGAGGGCACAGGCACAGTCCTTTGTCAATTCTATTGGTGGCCTTGTCGGCGCACTGTTGTACTAGGTGCGAGATTTATGCTATTCATGTCGGTGGTTTGTTTGTTTGTTTGTAAGACTATTCCTACTACTCCCTGTCTATGTCCTGGAATAGGATAGGTGTCGCAAAGCAATGATCAGATCCAGAACGCTAGAGCCATCCACCACAGCTTTTCTGCCATGATCTGCCGTACTTACTGTGAGCGATGTGATCACGCCTTCATCTTCACAGCCTATTAGAAACAAACTACACATCCGACAGTGCCATCCCAGTGACATGTATAAAGGCGAGCGCGTGATTACGTTTTCTGAATTATATTTTTTGGATCACATTAATATGCCAGAGCGGCAAGAGTTCACTAGCACTTACGAACACCTACGTAATAGAACGTACCAGATGCTCAAGCAGGGCTGGCCACACAGCTGCTACACGGAACACGGACGAGACCCGGCGCTGGATCCGACATGTGCGTTGTTTGAGAATCTCAATTAATATCTGGGGAATCCAGGATATGGGTGAGCAATGAGAGCGTTGTTCAAAGATTACAACAAGGCTTGACAAAGGATCCATCGTATCGGTCTTCTGACACTGAACCCACTTGGACCGTCATATATTTCATTCGAGACATCAGGATATACCGAGCTCGACTTCGATCTCTATTACACACGGTGAAATCGCCGAATGCACGGCCGCGACTTGGCCATGGTTGTTCGACCGAAGAGCATCCTCCACAAAAGTTGGCGGTGATCAGTACTTGATTATGCAACCAAGCACATTATCCATGACATGCAAACCGATGCGAGTGAAAGCTCTCGGGCCTGGAAAAGTGCATGAGGGGATCGAATCTATCGAGGCTGAAACCATAGGCAACATTTTGGGCCGTTCAGTTTGACACACTCCAGACTATTCCGAAGTAGAAGATTGTCCAACTTGTGTAGGGTACCATCCGACGATAAGCGCGATTTCAGGTTTCCAGCTCCAGCAACCCACATCGAATAACCCAGCCTTCTCTAGCCCAGGTCAAAGAGATTAATGATTGGATGACTTATTCGTCCAGGCAAGAAGTACAAAATCGAAGTTCGCCGCCATCAGAACATTCCGTAACAGTGATATCCAGTCGTACAAGATAAGATAGAGTTGGTTGCAGAACAAGGCAAGCGTTACCGTCCGTAGTTGAAAGAGGAAGTTCAGTAACTTGAGGAGTCACGATAGCCCGAGGTAGTACGATGACATCCAGTTGTGGTTAATGCTTGACAAGGTTAGGCCCCAGGAGATAACGTATACATAAATGGAGATGATATGTCCCACAGGAGAGCGATCGGAGGTTTGGGGCCAATGGCTTTGACTGTGAAGAGAAAGTATATTATGGCGTGAATGAGCTTCGCATCTATACTTCCAGAATCGTCTGAATGTCCCTGAATGCGTATTGCTTCAAGACTGACCAATCTTCTACTATGGTGACAGCCTCCGTATGATCTGACGATAACACCTGTGAAAGCACTCAGCAAGATGAGTTGTGATAAGCGATTTCATCTAGATGCTCTGACATCTCCACACACTCTAGTTTACACCATTGGGACGGTTGTCGGTACGCAGCATTGCGACATTCTTCTCAAGGACAAAGATGTATGTCAGACTGGTCTGGCTGCAGTGGTAATCACAAGCCTACCTTAACCTGCTTTCCCCCTTGAACCAAGCATTTTAAATAGATCCATTGGTTACTTATTCCAGTTATTGCGTGCCAAAACCTTGATATGTTGAAGACCATATTATACTGTTACAATCACAGGTTATTGATACACCACAGATTGACTATGTGCCATTGAACATCTACAGAGGATTCGAATGTCAAAAGCTACATGGGAAATAGCGGACTCGCCTAACTTAAATTACAACCTCAGTTCGCGAAGCTGAAGACTGAAGTGCAGCAAGCATGCCAGAAAGGTTCAAAGTAAGTGTAAAAGAATCGAATGCCAGAGGATTTTGGTAGGGAAAATATATTTATTTCACACTCCATGGGGTCGAAAAGGACCAAAGTGAATATATGACTAGTTTTTCCCATTTGAGCCGTCACAAGCACTTTCACCGCGTGCACGTCCGCTGGCTACACAGCGTGCGTTGCGTCGCGCCTTTATTGATTTCCCAAGCGATTAATCACCTGGACTCTATACTGCGATTCTTCATGTCTTTCCTTGCGTTCTTCATCAAACCTTTGGCTTATATATCTGTTCCTGTTATCATACTTCGGACGATCGCCTCAGCTTCTCCCGTTGGGCGTTATTATGCCCAGCTCACTGTTTACCTTGGAACGCTGGCAGTAGTCTCAACATGGGGACTTTTTGTTGCAGTCGGAATGACACTCATGGGTCGCCGACATGACGTTAACTATGTCGTGGCCCGGTCGTTCTATGCCGTTGCTAGTCGTGTTTTGGATATCCAAGTAGAAGTCGAGGGCGAGGAGCATCTGCAGACATGCCCTGTGGTCATGGTGGGCAATCACCAGAGTATGCTTGACATTTTGTATTTGGGAAGGTCTGTGTCATTTACTCAAGAAGCTTACGATGAGTGGTGTGTCGCTGACCTGGTTCATATTTTGTTCCGCATGGCGCTTGTAGAATGTTCCCAAGGAAGGCATCCATTATGGCTAAGAAGGAGCTTCAATGGTCGCCTCTGGGCCCTTGGATGTTTATGTCGGGTGCCGTGTTTGTAGATCGTGGAAACAGTGCAAAGGCACACGGATCGCTCGCAGCTGCTGGAGATGAGATGAAAGCGAAAGGCATCTCGCTGATGATGTACCCCGAGGGCACGCGGCACTGCCAGGAGATACCATCGTTGCTTCCCTTCAAGAAGGGTGCTTTTCACCTCGCTGTCCAAGCTGGGATACCCGTTTTACCCATCGTTTGTGAGAATTACTGGAGAATTTACCGCAAGGGCGTGTTCGGATCAGGCACTATCAAGGTCCGAGGTCAGTAGGCAATTTGACGGCACTTGACTCGTTTGAATTTATTGCCGCTTAATTTCACTGATTTGAATACTCGTTTTACAGTTCTCCCACCAATTTCAACCGCAGGACTCTCTGTATCCGATGTTCCTGAATTGACGACGTTAGTTCGAGATCAGATGTTGGCGACTTTACGTGAAATTTCTGTCAAAGTCACCTCAGAAGAAGACGTTAACCCAGCCGAACAACCAGAAGTGGCTGATTTACCAGCTGACGAAGAACCGGATCCCATACCAGCTACCCCTGTCGAGGTTGCGTCCAATGAAGTTCCGGACGCGCCAAGCGACGAGGATGGCAGTGAGACACCGAGCATTGACACTTCGTTGTCTCGGTCGTTGAGGCAAGAAGGAAGCGTCAGTGAATATGGAACAGAGACAGACGATGAGGGGATGGTAGTTGTCGGTAGACAGCACCACTAGTTGTAGGTAATATTGCTTGCTTCTGGAACACTTCCGATGCATGATACCATTCTTGACACCATTATATAACTGTTTATAATTTTCGGACCGACTGTGATACATATACCAATGAAGTTTTAACCGCGGGTTTCCCCGCATTTCTTATAGGGTTTATCGCGCCTGCCTTGAGGCTTCTTCGAACAGGCGCCGATTACCTAAGAGAAGACTTGGCCGTCGCGTCACGCTCTTATCCATCCCAGAAGTACTTTTGAACCCCTTTGCTTGATATATACATTTCGCAATGCATGCAGGGTGCTACTACTAGCTCAAAAATGATTCAACTTTCTAGGTTTGGTTTGATTTAGTTCAAGTTTGGTTACTTCAAATTCCATATAACGTCAGCTCGAGTGGAAATAATTGTCATTGAAGCCGCTTCTCATTCCCCCACCCTACTATAGTTGCCCGACTTTCGCTCGGGTAACGGTTTGTTTCCCAGCTGTCACTCATAAGAAGGGTTTGCTATATAATCTAAAACAGTTGCCTTTCACCGCTCTCCTTAAAGTCCTTTCCTCCCTAACCTCACCTCCCTATACCCCGTCTCTAGTGCTTGTCAAAGTGCAATTCAGACATGACCGTCACTAAAGTTCTTCCAGGTAATGACACTCACCACGTTCCTTTTAACAAAGCTGGACTGACAATAATGTTTCAGAATGCTGGGGTCACCGAGGAGTGAGTCAAATCATCGAGTCACAACGCAACACTAATAAGACACTGCCCCGTAGGCTTCAGCAGCTTTTCCAGAGAACACACTCGCTAGCTTTGAAGCCGCCATCAATGATGGGGCAGAGGGCATCGAGAGCGGTAATTAATAACCCTGGCCTGTCTTAGTCGCCATAACCTGTATCCCAGACGTTCATGTGTCGTTGGACGGCGTCGTCGTAATGTTCCATGACCCGGGTATATTGGATATTTCCCTCATTTTCCGATTCGCTCATCCAATGCAATGTGCGTTTTACAGATCTGGAGAGGACCACAGGATCAAAAGGTTTTTACCTTTCATTCTAAGGCACGTTCGTCGGCTGACCAATGAATGTAGGCTTAATCAGGGAACGGCATTGGTACGGCAAAGATGGAATGGAACACCTCCGCACTATCAAGCAACCTCAACAATGTATCCCCACGTTCGCGCAGACTATCGCTCTTTTGATGAAAGTATGTCCCATTATATCCACGGCGTCCGTGCGTTCACCCAATCGTTTCGCCCACGTTTCCTGTAGCCCGAGAATCAGCACGTCAAGTTTAACGTCGACGTCAAAGTTCAGAATGATCCTGACCGTCTCTTCTCGCTCATGCATGATATTATCTCAACGCAGCCAGATTGGGAGACGAAGTTAGCTCCCCGTATTCTGCTGGGCCTTTGGCATCCGCGTTTCGTGGCTTTTGCGAAAGCGAGATTACAATATTGCAGGCGTTCGCACATCGGTGTGAGCCTTTCTATTGCGCGGAAATATTTCTGGGATGGCGTAGAGGTTTTTTCAATGGCATTTGCCTCTTTGACTACCTATGATGGCCAGAAGTGAGTTTTATTTTTGTATCGGTGGCGGTGCCATGACAGCATGCCAAAGATTCCGGAATGAGTGCAAGGCTGCGGGCAAGAAGATTATGGTATGGACAGTGAATGAGCCAGAGCACATGATGGAGGTCGGTGGCTTTGTTTTTGTGTTGCAACCTCTAGTCCTAATTCACGACACAGGCTGTGCGATGGGGCATTGATGTCATTCTCACGGACGTAACGAAGAAGTGGCTCGAACTGCGTGCCGCTCTTCAAGGTGAGAGACTCGTTTACGTGGCGTGGATAAGCTATTCAACATGCTGTTAGTCAATTATGACTCTATCTTGTCGCAGTACAGCCGACTGTTCCTCTGGACGACCTGGAAGTTTTATCTGCCCCCTATCTTGGCAAATAGAGCGGCAAGAATGTACCTTGAATGTGCTGCAGGTCCTTTTGATGATTTTGCACCACCCGAGCCGTCTGTGACTGTGGTAGCATGATGGATTCTTGGAGAGCGCATCATAATTTACCATTGACAATTTTTAGATAGATCCGGGTTTGACGGGGCTTGCTATTACGTCTATTACTGATGACTTGAGCTGTAAGGTATAGAAGCAGATATATATCCGATGATGCATTGTTCTGTTGTCAGACAAGCGATTGTACATATATGATTGATTGGCGGCATACTTGGTCAGATGGCTTTATTGTGTAATTGACTGTGACTCGAGTCGCGGGCCGTAAGGAAAATTAAGCATGTGGCATAGGGACGTTTTGCCCTAGTTGTGCTAAACTTGCTCCTCTGTTCTGATTCCACTTCTCACCCGGCTCCATCAGGCGCTTCTTCGGGTTTCCTTTATGCTATTTATCATTCAAATTACCCGTAGTTATGAATCCATCAACCCACCATCATCAGTCTCGCAGAACACACAGAAAGCGTTCCTCAGTCTCAAGGCTGTCGTACGACACGGTGCAGACTCTCCCAGAGTACTCAGCTCCGCTCAATTCGAGTAAACCATCCAATTCAGCGTTCTTTGCGGGAAACGAGTCCGATAGACCGCCTGACTACCCTGATAGCGAGGAGGAGGCAGACGCAGATACGGAGGAGCAGGCGGCTGTGACCTACACTCCACAACGTTTTCAGCTCAATTCGCCTCGACGCACAGCACCTTGCACACGTAGACGTAAACGCCAGTCAGTCTCTGTACCAGCAGTCGACCAATCCCTCGACGCGCTGCTTGAGCGCAGCGTACATGCACTTGAGATGTCAAATGCGCTCATGCAGAGCTCAATCTCCACTCAATGCAGTCTTTCGGCGTTGCTTTCATCCGAAGTCGGGCCGGACCGTTCTCTCGAGGTTCGCGCCAGGAACCTTTCAACGCGAATCAGATTGAACAGCGGTGTGCATGGGACATGGATGACACATCTGGATGAGATATCGAAAGGTGTGGATAGGCTGTTTGACGAGGATGTTATAGACATCAGTCCGATAAAGTCGAACGAAATCGCAATTAGTCAATCTCTCCCCATATCAAATATGAGGGATTTGCGGCACAGGAGGAAGCCGTCACTACTGGAGCTTAATGGCTCATGCTCGAGCGCTTCACAGCTTCAATTTTCGCTCCCGAAACGTGATTTGCTCGTCGCGCCTGCCCCTAGGGCGCTCACCCAGTACGTCGAATCATCAGCTGATCCAGGCATGATAATCTTGCCCTCCACCCTGGGGTTACGAAGTTCTGCTTCATCGCACCTGGCCGACTGGCAGGACCACACATTTGTCACACAGCATGAACTACAGTCCTCACATTCATTACCTGTACTATCGGAACAGCCTCATGATGTTCCCACTCCAGCATACAATCTCCTCTCCAATATAGTGAAGCGCTCAGAGTCAGCCACACCTCCACCGATTGATCCATCGTCCTCTTGTATCTTCACATCACGGCGTGGTTCAACGAGTACATGCAGCACTGAACGAGGATCGAAGCTGTCTATGTCCCCTTGCTCAGTACGTAGGACACACATATCCCCTGATCGTAATTGCAAGTCAGAATCTGCATGCCGATCTCGCTCTACGACACCTAGACGACCTGTAACCCCTCTTTCCCGCATAATGACTCCACCCATCGAGGAGCTTTCTACTTCTTCATCAGATTCATCAGATCACCCTACTGGCTACCGCACCGTTCAGTCCCTCCGCAAAATCCTTGATGAACAGTCATCCTGCACCCCCGTCAACTCTCCCCCTCGAAAAGATCCTAAAAAAGGTCGGTCACCCAATTTTATGCCTGTCACTCCTGCCCCTGCCCCGGTTGCTGGCACATCCACTGCCACTGCCTCTATATCACGTCTTTTCACGAAAGGCAGACATTCGTCCTCTACCCGTCCCCCTTCCCCACCTACACATTCCTCCCTGAAAGCGCCCTCCGTGCCTCCGACACCTCGTTCATCGCCAAGCAGGGGCAGCCTCTCAGATTTATTTGGAAATGGTGTAGCCAAAGTCCTCAGGAGTGATCCCCCCTCAGGCGTGTCGACGCCCAAGCGCATCAGCTTCGCGGAGCTCCCAGAGTCATATGCAAGCTCACGTCCAGGGCCTTCGAAGATCTCTGAAAAGCGGAAGAACAAGAGCAGAAAGCGCAAGGGGAAAGACGAAGAAGAGAGGGAGACACTTGGGTGGTTTGAGAGGTTGTTCACTGCGGGGCCTGTGAGCATGAGCTCTTCACGGATCGATGATCATATGGAGGAACGCATGTCACGAGGGTGGGCGAGTCGGCCTGGAGGTGGGACGTTAGATGATTGGGCGGTATAGAGTTGACATTGGTCGCAGTCGGAGGGATAAGTTTTGGGAGTTGTATGAATGTATTTTTATCACCAATGTTTTATTTGCTTTTAGATAGTATTATGACGACGCTTTCCGTCATGATTTTATTTGGACTGCTACGCATATATGTGATGCGTTCACTGATCTTCAATTGTATACTGTATACTGTTTGGCAGTGTTCATATCGTCTGCGCATTGTGCTTCGAGTAACTGAGTACTGTATCCTTGAACCGTCTCAATATCACAGTGACTAAAGTGATCGATCATAAGAAAAGTTGGCATAGAGCATAATAAAACAATACATAAGGCATATAGTGGCAGAAATTTTCATAGACCGTCCGTATCTGAAGTGCAACGAGAAAAAGTAACGTACAATGCCCACTTGCCCATTTCCAACCCAATAACCACTGATGGATAGTCGCCCCGAATCGCTACAATAGGGCCCGTCCGTAGGTGACGACAAGGCCACCGATAATCCCCGCAAATGCCATCTGAAGAAACCCATGACCAGCTGATCGCAAGGTCCCTTGAACTGCCAGCCCACCAGGAATGCTATACATCGACTGGTCAAAGGTCGAATTGCGCATTACGGGCTGATCCACAGTATTGCAGCACGGTGCGTTCTGCATAACTGGAACTCCTGCGTTAGTTTCAGAGTCGCTGAAGTCCGCCATCGTACTCTGGGCGAAGGCGCCTGGCATGTGTTGGGAATGTACTGCATACTTGAGGTCTTCCTCACGATCACTGAGGATGACCCACACCGTCTCCTGTGATTTCTCACGCGGGATCTTGGCGAGGTGTGCGGGAGGGGCTTCCATTACGCTAAGGAGTTTCCCCTCCCGTTGTGCAGTGCGTTGGACTTTCGGAATGTCTTGACGCGGAACACGGTACACGCTGTACAGTGGCGTGCCTGCACGGAGGGCCATATTAAGGCTTACGTCGGTGATAGGCGACTGCGAGAACGAGGACCATTGGCGGGGAGGCGGTGAGTGAGGGCAGCCCGATATGTAGGAATCAACCTGTGGTTCGGGGGATTCCTCCTTGATAGAAAAGTTGGGATAGTAGTACAAAGGATCTGAACTATCGGCCCAGTCGTCGCCTGGATAGTCAGGACTAGGAGAATGCTCCACAGTTGGGGGCGACATGTTTTCCTTTCCTGACCCTTCATCGGACAGAGGCTCTGTGGGTGTGAGAGACACATCGCGGTGAGCCTTCTCATGTCGTCTTTCGCGGGGTGGCGAGACCCAATTAGGGTTTCGCCAGTGCCAGCGGTCGCCAGGAGGAACCTGGAAGCCGCGAAACTCGTATGTAGGTGGGGGTGTGTCGGGATCTAAAAGAAGGTGCGGTTTACGCTCAGCAGGCCCGGGGCAGACGAACATGTTGTTCTTCCGCGTATGGCCCGCCATGGTCGACCCGCACTTGTGGCACATCGGACGCTTCCTTTGCGATGTGTTCTGGGCAAAAACCATTGCTGTATAGCGTTTTCTTGAGTGAAGATTGTTCCTCTGTCCTTTGTGTTGAGTAAGAAATAGAACGGAAGGCGGTTGCGTTAGATACAGGTAGGTCCGACCATAATGAGAATGTTGAATAGATGTCAAGAGGGTACATGACTCACCGGCTGCTGTGTGATTGTTTTCTTGACAGCGGGGTACTACAGTCCCACTCTTGAGCTTATAAAAAGTTCGCCCAGCAGCGAGCCCTGCATAATATGACGTTTTGCCGGTGGTTCGCAGAACAAGTCCTTGAATTCAACATGAAGGTCGCGCTGGAGACAAGGGTAGAAGTTCACCGGCAAGTGGCAACCTGCAGAAGGCATCGCATGCCTTCGTTCGATATTTGTCCAAGTGTACAAGAAGTCCTTGTACTTTTCATGTACGCCACAAAATACATGCCCGAAAAATACAAGAAGTTTACAAACCTCACCATGTTGACAATATTGTAATGTTCAGATGTTGTACTCCTGGTTGTTGATCGGGAGAGCAACTCAACGGTGGTTGCAAGAATACAAAACACGGATTTTATCTAAATAACAAACATTCTGAGCAAAGCCGTTGCTGTATGCAGATGGACGTAATGGACCTCAGGCCGCAGTTTCCCCATCTGTCCTCCCAATGTACTTCGACTGACATAACTCGTATGGGCACCTCCGAGGTAAACGTCTGACTATGAGGTTTCGCTTCTTCGGTGAGGACTTGATATGGATCTCCCCGCCTAGGAGTCGGAGCTGCAGCCGCGACATCCTAACGAACAGAGGTCAGTCACAGACAAGAGACAGAAATTCAAACACTTACCACAATGTACGCATTCGACAATCGTGCCTGACCGTACCTGTGCTTTTGGAACACGACAGATACATGTAGAGCCTTGATAGTTCATATCCTGGAAAGACGAGTGAGCGCTGTCTTAGCGAATTGAAAGGTGAACAATACCTTGGTCTGGATACATCTGAGGCAGCACAGCTTCTCATAACCCGTCTTCTTCCATTTGGCTATCAAACTGAAGCAATTGACGTTCAGTATATGATTGGACTTTGGAGACAACCAACCAACTTACTTCGCATCTGCGTATCCCTCTTTCAAGAGCCAGTCGTAAAGTTCCCTCGTGATAGCTTCACGCTTGTAATAGAGCTCATAGATGTAACGCGACCGTGTATGTGAGATACGCATGATAGGCCAGAGGGACTCGGCCTTGCGCTTGCCCTCATGAGACTCGTTCTCAGCGTCTCTCATCTTCTTCGCATAATCATCGAGAATCTACGACAATATCAGAATTAAACAGCCTGCTTATAATAGACACATACGCTTTCAATATCTTCGTAGCCTTCTGGGGGCTTCTTCGTCCTCGTTGTGCGTATTCTGGGCATCGTTAATCACGACGAGGAGGTGAGGTGAGGCCGACCCGTGAGAACTTTCCTTCAACACCAATTTCTGACAAAGCTTACTTGCTATTTTAGGGTCTTTTTGTTTAGCTGGGGCTAACTCGACGTTGTGCCGTCTCTGGTTGCGTCTTGTTACTTTTCTGGCGTCGGTGGCCCCTACGAAGGTACGATCTCGCGTATCTCGCATCAAAAGAAGTCTTCTCTTCAATTATTCCTCCGCGTTAATGGTCTAAGTTTATTCATGGCGTAAAGTCTCGTTAAAGGTGAGCTGCTTGTATTTCCTTGTAATATGTAAGTATCATTGCTGATTTTGTGTTGCCCATCGGACATGCACAGTGAGTGCTTACATTTTATGGAATAGCTTATCTCTGACTGATGAATTGAGTCTCATAAGTCGGACCTCAGGTCGGCAAGGGTGCTCTTCCCGCCACTTGTCATGATGAATCTTAAATTATTCCTGTTGTAGAAACGCGATTCTTCCAACAGCCGAGTATCGCATGTGCTCAGTCCTGAAGACACGGGGATTACGAATGCGGCGAGCACAGATTCTATCTGTTGGTTACTTATTACCAATGTTATCATGCATGTATGGGGTCCCCAAGCCGGGGCCAAGTAACGTCCGATATCAAGCGAATGGCAAAGTTGTAGTTTCACCGAAACCCATATCACTGCATTGTCTCTGCGCCTATCATCCTAACCCGCTGTCCGTGGAACAAAACTACCAAGTCAGAAAGAAGTCTACCCTTGAAGGTACTCAAAGCAGTGCTCTGTGCACTGAGTCTGGTCTCCTGGGTTCGTTGGGATGCCGGTCACCCACATTGCGCACTACAGCTGCTCCATTGGAAAATGTGTTGAGAACATGTCCGCATTCCTTTCGGAGCAGACTCGGATACGGCTCCTTTCTGGTCTCGGTCTTCTTGTTCTTTACCTGATTGCGAACATGATGTTTTATGATCGAAGATGCCGTGGCAACCGAACGCCTTTCATCAACCTCGCTCACACTGGCCGACTTGGGCATGCCCGCGCCTATGTACCGCTCGATGTTCTGGCCACGTAGCCTACAGGGATGTTCATATACTTTATAGTTCTTCTTGTTATGGCTAGCTGCGAGGCCATGGAACATGCGATACATATTGAGTAGTCTGGCGAATGCATATACGCTCTGGATGGTTTCTGGACTTTGCCAAACACACAAAAGAACATGAATACCGCACAGAGGCCTCGTTTATAACTGTGAGTATATGAGTATTAAGTTTGTTATGTAAGGCGGTGCCAGACACGATGGGTGTGGGAGGCGCGTCCGATATGTTGTGTCCATGAATGCACAAGGTTACTTCAACAACGCAACAACGTCGACCACTACATCCATCAGGCAGAACAGTAAACTCACTTCGGCCCTCTTTAGAATTTTTTTGCTCTACCTTCTGACAGGCCTAGCGTTTTAGACACATCTGTTGGGTACTTGTTCGGCTCTACGTTCAACATGCCACTCGTCGTTCCTGCTCTCCGTTTGTTCATGGTTTTTATGAATGTGTATGACACGTACAAGACTCTCAAAATACCACCTGGACGCAAGGGCGGTCCCCCCAGCGTCAGGGCAATGACTCAGAGAAAGAGGGACCTCAAAGGGTGTCTCGCAGTTTGGGTTGTTTGGGTAAGGCATCGCTAGTATGTCATTCGTAGCCTACGTAGCATGCTCATGCTGTCGTGCTGCAGTGCTGTCTTGCAGCATATGAGAGAACGTTTGACCGTTTTGTCAGTTTCATCGTACCGTTCTACAGCGAAATCAAGTCAGTTACGCTACTGTTTCTCCTGCTGACCCGTGCCAAGGCAAGACACCAATAACTTCTCCATACAAGCAATGCTAATAACACCTCATTCACGCAGGGAGCTGAACCCTTGTACTTGCATATTCTGCGCCCACTTATAAAACCATATGTGGACACCCTGGACCCATTGCTTGATCTAGCAAGGGACATTGGAGATTTTCTGTTTGCTCTGTCACAAGTTCCGCTCAATTATGTACTATCCCTATGCTCCGGTCTGCCATGGCACACAGAACAAAATGAGTCAGCCGCCGACTTTTCCGAAAACACTCCCGAGTTGAGCACAACACGCTCCAGCAGTGACTCTCGCATACCCATTGTGGCTAAAGCATTCGTTACTGTGGATTCAAATCACCGGGTCACAGAAAAGCGCTCAGTGACCGTCCGCAGTGTCTCCAATAATAGGGCGCGACCCAAGTCCCGTCAACCTCCTGTTGATTCCTATGAGAGCATGTCGCTCCGTATGCGACATTCCAAGTCTTCCTCGGTAACAACCCTCCCACACTATCCCAACGATACAGTTGGTCGTATTCATACGCGTCCCACAATAAATAATACCAGAAAAGCCGCATATGAGATTTGGAATCCTCCGCCGCCTGCGTACGAAGAGGAATACAGACGAAGCCGTTCGTCTATTGGACGGTCGGAGATAGGCAATGTATCCACTCCCAATTTGGCGACCCCTCCACCCACAGTCGTCGTCAGCGAACCAGTTGACGAAGACTGGAGAGGGTATCCACCCTTTCCTTCGGCATACCCACCGACGCCCTTGGCTGCATCTCACTCTCTTTCTGGAGCCACGTCATCCGGAAAGGATAATTTGATCAACTCGCCTTCTGCCCAGACCACCGTAATTTCGTCCATTCCGGAGAATACAACGATGGACCGCAGCCAGGATTTTGATGTGTCGCTCCAGCAAGCGCATGAGCCCGCGAGGCTTGGTTCTGGCAGCTTACAGGTTCATCACAATATAGACGGGTTCCAATCATCCGGCGGTGCAGGCAGCCCGGATGAGAACGAGGACGCCTACATGGATGAGGATGAAGATGATGATTTTGATGTCACTTTGCGGACTCCTTATCGTCCAGGCCCGTCGTCAGTTGCATCCAACGCGTCTTCCTCTGTGGCGAGCCTGCCCAGTGCTTTGACCACTAACGATAACGCGTCGTCTCTGCGCACTAGCAGCTCATCAGAGTCCACTCGCTCCTTCCATACATCTGATTCGTCGCATTATGCAGGACAAAAACGCCCATACCCGACTGTTACCCTGACCAGTCGAAGTGCAGCTGTCGGCGCTATACTCAAGAATACCACCATGCGTGGCAAGGCTACTACTGCCCCATCTTACGGAAACGACCTTGACTCTGAGCCCAGCGAAACTGATGATGACACTGATGATAGTGATGAAGACAGTGGAGCGAAGAGGAGAAAGGTTCTTGAGCCTACGCGGCGATCCGCATATCTACGTCCTACTGCCAAGCCTACCATTAACGTTCGGAAGCCTTCACTGACTACCAGAAACTTCCCGGCATCCTCCCGCGGAAAAATCAGTGCTACTGCGCCAAAAGCCGGTACTCGCAGTGGTTCGCGTGCTGCACCCCAGACGGTAGGAGTAGCTTCCCGTGGAGATACCCTGCGTAGACCGACACGAAGGAGCACATCAAAATTGCCGTCGCAAGACGCTGGGCCCTACGCTCGCACTGTAACCTCGCGAAGCAAGACTTGATGTCGGTTTCATGACTTTCCGAATTCAATCCTTTCTTTCTGGGCTCTCAGCCCCATGACTCCTTTCATGCACATCGTCATTCACTGTACACAAATCATGTTGCTCAGTACATACACATTTCATTGCATTCAAATCATCGTTTGAGTATCAAAAGGTCTTGGTCCTGGCATAGTTCATTTGCTGTGATCTTACTAGTAGTGTTTGCAGTGTTGGAGAGCTCGGCTTATCCCTGCCAATATGCCCTCTGTGGACTCATTCGCAATTTAAATCCTCTAGAACCGTTGCCTACATTCTTTGCAGTGCGTTCAATGGAGATGTGCATCATCGCTGGGATTTGAGCGAGTGCAGCCTTCACACCAATCCCAACAAGGTAACTCGCGACCCAAACAACTTGAAAGTTATTGCCAACCAGCCGCGTCTCCTCCTTGCGACCCCCGCTCAAACACTCAAAGTATAACGCATGCAGTGTCCACCAGTGAAGTAGTATTTCTGAAACTTGCTCACGGGCAGTTGCCACATATTCTCTATGATGCACCTAATACCTACTGACTCGATCATTGCAGTGCACCGCTGCGGCCGAACCGGAATCGAAACTTCTTATTTCTCGCTTTTTCTGCAGCGATAATTCAAGACATACGAACTGCCTTGAACATGCAGTAGCCTCGAGGCAAGAGTCATTGCATTGTTCGAAACGCCGTCGGTGGAACATTTGACGCCAGCGCCTACATGCGCACACTGGCACAAACTCGTTGGTGTACGGTAAGTATTTCCCAGCCGCAGAACACTAACCAGTCCGCTAGCACAGCACAAACGGTCTTCTACTTCAGTAACGCTGCACAGCGGTGTAAGCATCCCGTCGCTTAGGTCTCTAAAACTGTCTCACTAGATGTGCGAACATGTTTATTGACGCTGGGGAACACGTTTTTTCCTGCACGCGCACCCCGTAATGACGTACTCGTGCACTAAGTGCATGTCAACCGGTAGCGGGCTGTACTTGAACGAACTTCGTTATAAGACTCTGTGCAACTCAGATAAATGGCTCGCATACTCTTGTGTGGTTCACATTTCTTCCCTTTCATATCTCGCGACACCTTATGGACGTCCGTGGAAATCTGGGTCGTGTCATAGGCTGTGAGCTCCGGTGTATACCGCCTAGATATGTAAGTTATTTAAAGCTTGATATTTGTTCTCGTTCAAGTCTAATAGTTGCTTTCCACAGCTCGAATCATGTTGGGGGCTAAAATGGTGCCCTAAATTTTATGCGCGAGGACCAAGCGAATTCGACGTTGGGGTTTTAACACCGGATGGAAAATACAACTCCCTAAAGATTGATGGTCCCCTGGTTATAGAACATGGAACTCAGGATATCATTACGAGTTTGAAACCGTCTTCAAGCCTGCCCAGCACCATCATCCATGATGCCGACGGTCGGCTAGGATTAAGGAGACGCGAACTGTTTCCTTCACCGTCCAGGGACTTCGGTGTGCCTTCGTCTCCCGTTTATATTGTTCACGAGAGGGCACAAGATCAACCTGATTTTATGCGTTCTCTCGCCCATTCCTCAGCACCTCTAATTGCTCCGGGAGGGACGGAAATGTCGCTGCCCGTATCCATTCCTGTATCAGGAACTATGTTGTCGTCGATCCAGCCCCCCTCAGAGCCCTATACGTCAGAACTCTCATATGCTCTGCTTCCGGGACATTCGTCGCGCCCACCGCAGAGCTGTGGTGTCCCAACAGTTGAGACACCCCTGCATTTACATTATTCAAACCCCAAAGTTATGCCTGCTGTATCTCAAGATCCAGGCGCCGTGCTGTATGGCGTAGCGCCACAGAATGACGTCTCCTTAGGGCCCTTGGTCTCAAATCCAGGAGACTTGCAGGCACAATATCTTCCCCTGGACAACATCCATACCCGCTCCATACTACGGGGTCATTTTATGCCTCCCGTCATGCAAACCACGCAATTGACTTTGTTGGATTCATGGAACAACCTCGATTGCTCTCCCACTCCAGCAACCCCGATGACATGTTCAACTTCGTTCAGTACTGACTCCAGTCTGATTGACGAGCTTGAACGGCATCATGATCCAGGGGTTACAACTCCGATGTCGGAATTGAACTGGGAAAATTCGCCGCAATCCAATGATCCGTCGGAGGCAGGAATGATGGATGAGTACTGGCAGCTGCATCAGACTTTTACGCGTTCCTCGCCGATGCATCAGTCGGGAGGGCTATCTCCTATCGATATGAGTGTGGACCAGCTGCCAGGCGCTGGTAAAGGAGTGGAGACTGCGTGCAATCTTTCCGACACCTTCCTCTTTTCCGGCACCTTTCATAGCCTCTTTGCTTGCTGAGGGTCGCTGGGCAGCTGCTCTGATAGGCTGCTGTCCAATACATTCATCTTCCTATTTTCGTTATTTCCAAGAACCTGGCAAACACGATACGCCCTCGTTGTGCGGCGCCACGTTTGCGTGTTGTTTAAAGGGCATAGTTGGCTATGCACGCCAATTTATGAACATAACAATGATAATGGTATTTTCAGAAGCGCGCAGGTATATATTTGTTTAATACAAGGACATGATACCCATATATTTTACTCGTATAATTGTCATAAATGTTTTTTGCTTTTGATCAATTTTGCCTACGTTGTGATCAGTCACGCGGCTTACGCCACGCCACACACTGCAGGCTGCCCCTACGGTTGTCCGGCGTCGAAATTTCAAATCCAGCATGCTTGACTTCTAGCCACTTAAAGTTAGCAAACATTTTGTACTTACTTCCTTTTGGTTCATAGACCGACCATGTCTCAGAAACTGCCAGAGCAGTCGGGTGTCAATCCCGAAATACCTCCTCCCGCATATTCTGCTCATCCACATAACTCGGAACCCTCGGGGCAAGTGCAACAACCAAGTTCTTCTCATGAACGTATGCCTGGAGCTTACCCGGCTCACTGCACCTCGTCCTTTTTCGGCTCAAATGCTACAACGTCATTTATACCCCCACCACATTTTGGGCCCACTCCTCTATTACAATCTGATCCTACCCTAGGGCTGTTGCCATATTATGACCTACGTTCTCCGTACGCTATTGCAGAAGCGACGTCGCGCGCACGGTGGCGCTTCATTAATGCCTCTCTGTGGGCGACCGTTATCTTCATGTGGTTGGCCGCGGTTGGTGCATATGGAGGACTGCGAGATATATAGGCGCCTGTGCGCTACTGTAGTAAGTGTGTGACAATCTCAATTTTTGTCTGCTAAGTAGGGGGAAATCCAGCTTTTTCATATGAACAATATATATGAGGCTTATTTTGGTCGGCACACGTATATTTTCCCTTGTATGACTCTTGTTTATGTTTCACTGTCTTCTTGAGACAAAGGCTGATCATCACCCTCATTGTCTGCAGATTCTCCATGTAAACATAATATATCTTGTACAATACCCATGGCATTTTTACTGCGTGCTTTGCGTTTCTTCTCTTTTGGGATGACTCACTCGGTCCCCCGGGGTAATGCAAATCCCTGTTTCCCTATACTAATTTCTGCGTCAAATTGTCAATGACCAGTACCAGCTTAGCGCTTAACCTGTGAATTTGAATTTTACAGTGTCATCGAGCAATCCTGGCGCATCCGGCAGCGATTCAATCCAGCCTGCGAGGACGACGACAGGTGACAGGATGGCATGGATGATGCCAGCGGCCACTGGGGGACAGTACTTGTTTTACGGCAGCAAGTGCTGGTAAGTACTGTCAAGATAAACCTTTGTTCGAGCTTGAGCATATATTAATAGACAATGTCTCAAATCCAGAAGATCGACAGTTTTCTGAGGTGGATGGAGATGCCCTTGTTTATTAACTTGTTCATGCAGTATTTCGCGGGCATACAGCACAACATTGGCAGGTATAGAGCAAGCGCTCCGCTGGGCACATGGTTACGAGCGTTGAAGATAAACAGAATATCCGAAATTTATAATAATAGTTTACGAGGAAATAAAAGAATCGTCACCGTGTCGACCACATCCGCATGCAGCTAGATTCAGTTTCGACCCTTTCGTCAAGGACTCATGGGGTGGTGTTGCTAAACGACACCCACCTTTCAGCTAGACGACGACTTAATCAAGAGAATTACCTCTTGTTCACGACTTGCCTCAACCTCAATGATTAACTTGAAGGTCAACTCAACAATGTTTACACAATGGTGCAGCTAATACGTTGTCAACCGTCCTTCAAAGCTTCATTCTCCTCTGCTTTGTCCCCCCACTCATCCAGAAACCATCAAGAAACTGGTCTGTGCGTTTGTTGAATGGAGGGTGTGTGCGTGTGAAAAGATTAAGGTTAGGGTCTGTGCGTGGGAGAAGGTGTGACTTTCGTGACCCAGATAATTGGTGGTGTTAATTTTTTCAGTTTTGAATTCTGGGTCGGCCCCGCGCGCTTCCTTTTGTTCCTTCACACTTTGACAACCTCGATCGCACCTTCCACGTCGATAACCACAGCGACAAGACACCCTTCCTCACCGTCCACGGCGACGACCTAATCACTCCGCTCGTCGTCTGTCACCTTTTCGTGCGCTTCATTTGCTGTCGCTTCGTTGCCCGCTCAGTGTTGACCTCTCTTATTTATCTACTCCCACGCGTCGCGCACCTCTGTTGCTCATCGCTGTCATATTCATCGCCGACGCTATCTACCCTACCTCTGTCATTCGCAATCACTCATAGCCCATCAACACACCTCTTTGCCAGTTTGTTTTTCGATTGTAGCCATATCAGCAATCACTGTCTCGCGCTACCTCCCACGATCGTCCGTACCAAATTCATAACATTATACGGCTGTTGATGTCCAGTTTTTAGTCTTAGCCATCCCACTTACTTGTCTGTAATCACCCCACGCACCGTCCTAACAATCTGGCGTCCACGGCTTCTACTCCTCCGCCCATCCAACGGCTCGAAGAGGACCTCATTAATCGTTCGTTGCTCGATTCTGTCGAAGCCCAAGGAGACGCAGAACCCATTCATCCATCTCCGCAACCTGCTATGTCTCACTCAAATTCTAACCCTGGTTCAGGCGCACCATCTCCTGAAGCGCAGTTTCATATCCCACCTGTCAATAGGCCTGATTCCCCCAGCAATATCGATTTCAATGTCAACCACGAGAATGATCGTTTACTCCGCACTTCCCTTCTTCAGCAACATATTGATGATAATCATCATCGAAATTCGGAGTCATTGTTCTCTCATGGCGGAGTTCAATCCATGTATAACACATCCAATAATTTCCATCTCCTCCCGGAGTACCTTTCAGACGACATCTCCCTCAAGCAGAGTATCGCCGGAAGTAAGCCTTCGAACGACTTTGGCGCTGGGTCGTTAAGGTCGTCTTTGAGCGCTTATAACGGAATCAGTGGTGGCAATGTTTCCAGTGCTGCTACCACCGGCTCATATCGCTTGCGTCAACCAGATGGTCTCCCCTCACAATCTTATTCAAACACAAACGAGATATTTGGGTCTCATCAGCCCTTAAATTTGCAGCACCAACTTTCTCAGCAATCTCAGCAGAGTACTTCCAGGTCTGCCGCATTCGAGTCACGTAACGGGTATGACTTCGGAACCAGCTCTCCGCTAGGAGGCAGTAAGGTTCCTCAACAATTTGCTTCCTTGGACCCGTTCCTCCAAGCGCATTCCTCTAAGGGCCAACAACAGTCACAGGTCCACGACGCTTATCATTCACTATCGCACAGTAACTCTGGTTCTCAGATGCCTTACCTAAATGGCGTACACCTTCAAAGTCAGACGCCTTATGGTCCTCACCTGCAGTCTAACGGTGGCGTTGCAGCAGTGTCGGCAAGCAATGCAAGACCCATAGGTAGTGTTGGGCAGATGAATTTAAACGTCGAGTCGCAGGGCGTTAATAGTGGACTGCCAGAAGAGATTTCGACCATTTTTGTGGTTGGCTTTCCTGATGACATGCAGGTATGTATTGAGTCGTTTGTGGCCTCCCACAACTTCTGACAGCGTGTGTAGGAGCGCGAGTTCCAGAATATGTTTACATTTTCCTCCGGCTTTGAAGCTGCGACCCTGAAGATCCCCAACAAGGAGTATACGGCTTATGGGTCGGTCGGTGGCACGACTTCGACTACTCCATCTGGTCTCCCTCTCCGTGGAGGTGCCTATGCCGGTTATTTGGCCGCCGGTTCCAATGATCCTTACAATGTCGTCACCGTCAATCAAGGGGGAGTTGTGATCGACAATGGACGAGATGGCCCAACGACCTCTTGGCCACCCCTCGCCATGCCGCTAGATGAGCCTTCGCACTTCCAAGTTGGACAAGGGCTAGGTGGCCAGCCACCCCGAAAGCAGATCATAGGTTTTGCCAAGTTTCGTACTCGTCAGGAGGCTCTCGAGGCAAGAGACCTGCTTCAGGGCCGCCGCGTCGACATCGAGAAAGGTGCAATTCTGAAGGCCGAAATGGCGAAGAAGAACTTGCACACCAAGCGAGGCGTTGGTATGGGTGCCACGACATCCGGAGGTGGTGGAAGTGTTTCTCTGGGTAATGGTATGGGGAATATCGGAGGGTTGAGTGCAAGCGGAGGCATGGGCTCGCTTAGCGGTCTTGGAAGCAACGCTGATATCATTGCTAATCTCGCCGGCCTGGGTCTCAACAACAATCTCAATTTGAACAATCTGACTACGCTCACCGGCAACAACTCTGATGTCCTCTCACCGCGCGAAAGGGAGTTAAACTCGGTGGGTCTGGGCGGGTCTGGCTGGCGTGAGGGGAGGCTCGGAGACAGTAGTGAGGATGAGCGGGATAACATCATCCGTGACAGGCGCAGGGAGGCCCTTGGCGTTGGGCTCGGTTTGATGCGCGGTGCTCGTGAACGCGCTCAAGCTGATGAAGAAGAGAGAGTCAGGCGCAGCAAGGACCTCAAGCAGTTCCAGACCGACCCTTCTCGTATGTTACCTGGAAATACTCCCGCTTTTGAGGCTTTCCATTCGGTTTCCGCCCCCACTTTATCCCGTCATTCTCAGAGTGGTCTCCTCTCTCCTGCGGGTGGGTCGATGTCCATTTCTGGGCTAACAGAAGGTGGAAGCAGCGGTCACAGCCCACTTATGGGAAATGGATATGGTAACATCATCGCTCAGACTGGTCGGGACGGCTCCAGCAATGTAACTCCTGACCACAGTGGTCTTCGCGAGTCCCGAAGTATCGGACCTTGGGATGCGCCTTCTCCGCGTGAGAGGGAGGCATCCGGTATTCCACAAACCCTTTCGTCACTGTATGCAGCTCGGAAGTCCTCTATGATACCAGTTCGACCTCCATCCCCTCAGGACGAGTCTCCTCCGCTTTCTCACGCAGCCTTCTCACCATGCGATGAGGACGATATGATGCTTCCACCGCACCGTTCTGGCGCGTTGCGCTCGCTTTATCCCCTATCTTCCCAGTTGGAAGAGTCTTTGCATCTACAGAGCCAGTCGCAGTCGGTGGCACCTGGCAGCGCTACGTCAAGTTCCGCTGGAGGGTTTGAGGGTGACAGACCAGTCCTCCTCGCAGTTAGTACCAGTGCCCAACCGAGCTCGGGCAGTGCTGGTATCGGCTCACCTCAGCTTGCATCGCCTTCTTCCCAGTCAGGATCTGCAAGTTCGTCTACTGGAATGAATGGAGGGGGTAGTGCAACTAGTGCGGGGAACGCTGTCGGTGCAGGTCCAAGGAATGTTGTTGTCGACCAAAACCCGCCTATTAATACCTTGTACGTGGGCAACCTTCCGACAGGGTCAGTTGGCAGTGGTTACCCTGCAGGGTTTCTGGAGGATAGTCTAAGAGAACTTTTCTCTCGGCGCCCGGGGTATAGGAAGTTATGCTTCAGGCAAAAAAGCAACGGTCCAATGTGCTTCGTTGAGGTAAGTGATTGTAGTCATGGTCACATGATTACTCATTCAAAACCTGTGCAGTTCGACGATGTGCATTTTGCCACGAAAGCTCTCAATGATCTGTATGGCAATACTCTCGGTGGCATCGTCAAGAATGGTGGTATCCGCTTATCATACAGCAAGAACCCATTGGGCGTACGCACGCCAACTAGTGCTGGCACCGGCGCACCCTTGGTTCAACAACAGCAAGGCAATGTTCACTCTGGTGTTGCATCCCCCTTCCCCCCCGAGTCATTTCAACTTCGTCACCCCTTTGATGTCGAAGCGTCTATAGGGATGAGACGTGATAGCTCGAACACAATATCTATATCCGGGGCGTATGGCTACTCAAGATCACCACCCCCTCCACGGTTTTTCTCACCGCCTCCGTCATCCACAAACTTCGGTATCGCGCCCGCGCCGTCCGTTAGCAATGCGAACACCTTTCCTCGTGGCTCACAAGCCTTTGGACTTCCTTCACCTAATGGTGTACCTTCAACTTTTTCGCCATTCGGTCTACCACTTTCGTCGCCTCGTTCGCGCGCAAATGGTCTTCCTCCATCGCATGCCTTGATACCCGATCAGAGCTCAGAAGGTTCCCTGGCTCACGATCACCCGCAGCATTTCCCGCATCGCGCTTTGTCGCCTTCATCGACCACACTAGAGGCCGCTAGGGCCGGTTAAAGGGACGAACTTAAATTCCCTCGTATTCTCACAGTCCGCATGCAAGCATCTACAGCACAAATCTGCAAGTTATATATATATCTGTACTTACCACTCCACGACATGATTGACATCCCTCCATTTCTCATTGATCGCATGGTTTTCCCCAGAGCCCATTTTTCGGACTGTCAACTTCGCCGTCGCCTCCAATTTTTTATTTTTTCCCCGTTTCGCAACCATTAATCGCAATCCTCCATTCTACATACTCACAATCGGGCTGTTTTCTTCTTCGTCTCTGCGTTCGTATCATTCGCTCCCACAGATTCAACTATCCTATTGCTCGCACGTCAACCTGCTGATATCTTTACTATACTAGTTTACCACTTGTTGTTTTAGGTCCCTTCGAGTTCCTGTTCCTATGTTGACTCGTGGCTTGCATTTCGCGTTCATCTCATTTCGATTCTGCATACCACTTGTTTTCTGAACTTCGGGTTACCACCCAGCATTTTCTCGACATTCCCATCTACACGCGTTCCATACGCACGTTATGTATACTACTGTGAATGGTTTGATGCTGCTGGATCGTCAAAGAAATATAATTCGTCTAAACACGTGCGGATTTATTCGGACCGACTACTTGAGATGACTGAAGGCTAGTGACTAAACTTACTACATCACTGTAGGATCGTTGCACACTAGACCAGGATCAAAGTCTGAGAGTGAGTGTGTTACGCCTGGACCATGGCTATGTTACAAAGAACGATCATACAGCACCATCCTCATGGATATCGATTTCGACGAAACATATGTTCTACTTCTCCTTGCAGACTCTAATCTACCCACAGGCTCATTCGTCGCATCTTCTGGGTTTGAGTCCTATGGAACACATGGATTCCTCTCTCTTCCATTTGCATCAAGTGCGGGAAAGGGAAGAGCTGCTGCTGCGAGCACAGTCGCCTTCATTGAAGACAGCCTGCATACCTACGCCCGAAGCGCTCTTCCGTTTGTTTCAGACGCCCATCGCGCAATGGGTGCATTCAAGGATCTTAAGGGCAAGCCAGAGATTGGCCATGATGCTACAATCAAGAAATTGCTTGAGCTGGACGAGCTGTATGAAACTATGACACTCAATCATGTGGCTAAGCGCGCCTCGAAAGCCCAGGGGGTAGCACTCCTCACGCTGTACGCAAAAGGGTTTACTCACCCTTCAGGCCCCAGTGATGAAGACCATCTCTCAAAGAGCTTGACCGTTCTTATCGATCGTCTGAAACTGATGGTTCGCGGAGAAGAGACGCATGGCCATCTGCCCGTGTGCTGGGGCGTGCTGACCGGTGCTCTCGGGATATCACTTCGTATGTTTGACATTCGAATTCTGGATATAAATGATAATTGTTTTCAGTGCGAGCTCAGCATCTTTTTCTGTTTCTCCACGCACGTTCACTTCTCTCCTCAGCGGTTCGTCTGAATACGATCGGACCCTACAGTTCACAGCAGCTCTTGCTCCACTCAGTGAGACCCCTGGTCGAAGCGGAGGTGTCACAAAATAAGGATATGCACACTGGAATTTTCGTGGACATGCATCGCAATGATGCAGATGATCTGCCTGCTACGACGTGGCCCCTTGGCGAAATACTTGCTGTTCGACATGATTTACAGCACTCAAGAATATTTAATAGCTGATTCAAACCGTATGTCGCTTTTTAAATACCTCTATGGAAGATGAATTTTTCCTACACAGTTGCTAGCATGACTGTGCGACTCAGGGAGAGAGGGGAGTCCCGATACGTAATTTTGTCAATGGATCATGAGTAGTACGTCGGAAATGATTAGCCTTTAGTTGGGCGCACAATAAAAACCATGCCGTTTGCACAAAAACTGTGACGCTATCAGGGACTTTGACTTGCCTACTGAGCACCAACAAGTCAGTCGGAGTGCGGCACGTTGTTCGGATATTGAACACAAGTCAGCATACACAATTTGTTCATAGTCATTTCTACACTACATTTACAAAACGGAGGAATTGTCAACGCGATGATGCTCTACAATGCTTATCTGAGTTTTCCTCTAAATTGTCCACACAGTCGAAATGTCTTGCATCTATCTTATCTAGGATTGGTGAAAGTCAATCCTAATCATCATCCCCTTCGTGCAAAAAAAATGGGTGATTGCAATATCTTCTGGAGCACCTATGCACATCAGAGGGCCTACTGAAAGCGGTTGTTCTACGCAGAGGATCATAAGGATGACTGGTACAACAGACTACAGTGTACTGATACAAGCCACCTATTTTTCGCAGATAGAAGCTTGGGATATCAGCGGAAAGCGATTTGGGCTGAATGGTCACATGAATGGCTTCAATCGCAATCGAAACTAGGAATACGCACCGTTGCTCATGCTGCGGTGGTCAACGCTAATCTTGCAGAAACTTCGGCTTGGCTTCGGACCAAATTCGCGAGGTATGTTACCATCAAAGTGTCCTGTAGCCCTGCGGTCCAACCGCCATCTTCCTCCACACCGGTACCCAATACGTCCATAAGATACCTCCCGACTGCCTTGTCCCCAACAACCTCACCGCGCAAGACAGACTGCACATAAGCGAGTACTCTGTTGAGCATATTTTGCACGTCAGACAATGAGGATGCAAGGGCATCGAGGTCGGTTTGGTTGGATGACGGGTTCGGAGACAACAGCAAATCAACTAAAACAAGAAATTCAATCGATGGCGGTTGGTACGCCTGATAGACTTTAACTCACGGCCACTGCGTTCCGCCTCATGGAAGCGAAGCTCGCAAGGGATTGGAACAAATACACAATTTTCGGGTTTGGGGAAGATCCCAACTGGTGAGCTGAATCGATTGAAATAAAATCAGGGGAATTGCATGGCCTGGAAGGTATATCACATACCTTACATATGCCTTCACTCCAGCACCCTTGCCTTCCTCCGTTCCGGTATCAAGGGCAACGTGTACCGCTTGATTTGGTGCAGTCTCTTGGGAGTAGAAATTTTGAATTAAGGCAGAGTATGTGTTTAAGTCTGAGCCAGTAGAGTACCATCCTACGATGGTTTCATTTGGCCTAACACGAGTGCAGAGGTCGTACATGGCACGGTGATAGTCCATGTCCACTGCAACCTGTTCATCGGTCTCCGAGTGGAGGACAGCAAATGCAGATTTGATGTCAACAGTCGAGTCTGTGCGTGTACCAAGAAGGGTACCAATGACACGATGTTGAGCATCTGTTCGCCGAAGGTAGTGGTCAAGAATCGAGAAGAGTGCGGATGGATGAATCGTTAGTGAGGTTGGGCGCGTCCTGGTAGTTCATCAGAACAATTACATCGTATGTCGAAATTTAAACGAACTTACGAAGGTACACCATTTGTACTTGTTGAGGGGTTCTGTACATACGCTGCTGATGAGGATGAGCGTATAGGCATTTTCAGAGATAATAAGTAGCTAATCTTGCTGCAGTGATCAAAAAGTCACGTCGGAGTTACAAACGAAGGGACTTGCCTTTTTCGTGGGCGTTCAAGCTCTTCTTAGTCCCGTCGTCATCAAATATTTGCAGAAAATGCCTTCCGAAGAGACCAAGGTTCGACTAATGCTCATATAATTGCAGTATTCAATATTTATTGTGCTATGCAGGAACGTATCACAAAACTCGTGGAGGTTGGCCGCGTACGTTGATTCACACTCTGCCCTGAACAGGATTACTGACTCTCTGCAGACTCTGGTGCACTATGGCTGGATACCACTCATCATTTACATTGGCTATACTCGGAGCACGCCTCAGCCCACCCTTATTAAGTGCGTTGTCTCAGGGCCTCTAGTTGACTCCGGAAAATTTTAACACGTTGAACTAGGCTCATAAGCCCACTCGCATGAGGAATTGCTACTTGCATGCGCACCTCCAGCTGTATTTTATAATTCAGTCTACTTAAAAAAATCTAGTTCTCTGCTCAGTCCTTCGCTCGATCATGTGCTGCTGGGGGTTTGAGGTTCTAACGATCATTCTGAGTGGTCTATCATGTGATGCCGATGGAACGTGTTTGTCGACTTGGGTAAGTTTTGCCCTTCTTTCCTTCCACTTCCCAGGATTATACTCCGTGGTGGCTCCCCATGCGAGGGCCCTGAATTTCCTCTGCTTGTAACCGTTTTTAACTTGAACTGGTTTATTCTGTGATACATGTCGATGGTATTAGGCCAGATATGAATACTACTTTACGCGCGACTCTATTTTGAAGAGTTGAAGGCTGACCACGATGCTTTCTTACAGGGATAAGCAATATCATTGTTATGCAAAATACAATGCGATGAACTATATTTAAGGTATCGAAAGCAAGATTAAGTTCACAACGTCACATATACACCCTTCTCAGCTCTGTAGCGCTAGTAATTCGTTGGCACATGGGACAGAGCTTCGTTGCTCCCAGACAGCGAAGCCAACATTCACGACAACATGTATGCCAGCAGCCTGTTGACACCGTTGGCTCGGTATACTGTGAAAGGCAGATACGGCACAAGTGGGGTGAAGATGTTGAGCCAGCGTTAGATTCCTAGGATCGACTATTAGTCCAGGATGTATATTAATCATGCATTGAACTTACCAGAGTCTTCAACTTGTTTTCCAGAGCCAGAATAAGTGCGCTAGGGTCATTTCGTAAGCGTGCAGTGACAATGTCGAGGTCGAGTTGTTCCATCTCGATCGGTTGGATAACGTTGCTCTTCATACTATCTGCCTGCTTCATTAAGACCTTGCCCTCAACTACCAGATGTCTGAGCGTCTGTCGTTCTTGGGCAGTTCCTACATGACCGTCTATGTCGACGTCATTATCTTCATTCTCGGGGTGCAAATCCCGGTCACTTGAGGGCAAAGCCAGGACATCAGCCTCGCCAAACTGTGCTTCTCCGAATACAGCTTCATCCTCGCCATCTATGTCCACTTCATCCTCGACGTCTAGTGAGTTAGATGTTCGAACATGGATACCAGTGCCTGTCCATAGAGTCAACGATCATTTGGATTGTGTTGTGGCCTCCATACTGACCTCGTAGACTTGCACTTGTGATAACCCTTGTCCTAACGCTGCCCCCGCCACCACCTATATCGATATCCTCTTCCTCATTTTGTATCCGCTCTCGTTCCAACCTAGCGCTTTCGTGTACTAGACATGCATCCACATGTGCCTCGACAACATCCCGATCGCCTCTGACCACCTGTGCGCAGATGGGACATGACGTCCCTCCCTCAACTTCCATAATCCAGGACTCTGCCTCATGCTCCTTGGCAAGCTCCTTGAGACGTAGGTGTCGTGCTTTTCGTCGACGCGTAATGATTTGAATAGTTTTGCTAATGGCAGAAGGAGACGTGGAAGAGGATGGGATAGACGTGGTAAGGGATTTGCGAGCTTTTAGTGCAGAGCGTCGGGCGCGGTTGCTCGGGCTGAAATGGGTGATGTCAATTGCTCGTGTAATGTAGTAACAGACAGTTAGACGCACCCTTCTTCTAAGTCATCAACTTCTGCCAAGACCTCCGCCTCACCTATATGCCCGATGATGTCTTCTACCCTTTGCATTTCAAGAGCCGCGTGGGCAGCAAGCAGACGCACAGGAATCAATTCTGCACATGCCGGGCATTGCCTCGTCTCTGCTCTCTTAGCTATGTGTTTCCTTTTTCAGGTGAGGTCGCAAATCGAAGAGAGTCACGTACGCACGTTTTTTCACTGGAGGTGCGACAGCAAAAGCTTCCGAGTGAGTCGAAGAGAGTGAAGAAGAGCTTGGGGACAACTCTCTCGCTCGCTTCTTACCTCTAAATGCTCTTATTCAATATACTATTGGGGTATCGAATAAAATGAAAGCACGAACTTCGTCGATTTCGGACGTCCCATTTGCAATGTCATTTTAGTGCTCAATATTCCAGGGAATGTGTCTACATTATTCAGTAATGCGAGTGAAGCTGAAGCGAGTTTTGGAGGGATGGATTGCATGCAAGCAAGTTGGATGTAACCGATCACTCGAGCATGAAGATATTGGTCCGATCAGATCTGAAACACGTGACTTTTGGTTTAACTGCAAGTCATTTGCGATACATAGAATTTGGTACAACTGACTACTTGAAGACCAGACTATGCGGTTTGTATTGTACCATCACTGTGAAACGCATTATCATACATGCTAATCAATAATAAGTATCACGCTTAGGCTATGAAGCTTGGAGGAGTTGCATATGCGCCCGTACCCGCACTATATGGCCTGCGGGAACCCATGGATGCTTTACTATACGCCAGACGAATACCACCGTTTCTTATGAGTCCGTCGAGAGTGGAGCCAGTGAGGTCGTTGAGAGACATTGTAGCATGATGTACATCCTGGAACTGCCACCGCCATAAGTCAGAATGCTGTGAGTGGAATAAAATATCTTACGTCGACAAAACACATCATTCGCCCGTCGCTCTTGCGTGTGAATAGTAATCCTCTATATCCCGGGCGCAGAGAAAACAAGGCTCTTAATCGGGTTTCAAGGTAGTCACCATAATCCCCTGTGCTCCTAGGGAGATTACCGACGAAAAGCGTGTTTATGGGAGAATTTCTGCTAGAAGGTTTGGCGTACTCTTGTCGCAACAAAACTCCAGGAGCGTGAGGCATGACCGTCTCGTTTTTGTGGTCTGGAGGAGAAAACGCGAAAATCGAATCCACAGAATCATCTTCAGTCGGGCGTGATAACTTCGGTGACTGCCTGTGTCTCGTGAGTCTAGGTAACGGTTTGGGAGGGGGATGAGAGTCTTTGTGCGCAATTAGAGGTGACTGCTTGGATCGGAACAAATGGTATGCATCATTTGTTTCACCTGAACAGTCGGCGATATCTTGACTGATAGTGACGACTAACTGTACAGCTGTCGGACGACTTTCCATGTTCGAGATCGGGCGCCAGCATTTTGAGATAAGAGCCCAGTGTTTTTCTAGAATGGGTGGATCATCCGGACGAGGCGGAGTTTCTCCTCCAATCAGCTTGGCTATAATGCGAAATTCAGCCGTGGTGCCTCTATCTGTATACCACGGAAATCTGTTAGAGAGGATCTGGGGAACATAATCAACTGAAAGACAACTCGGTGACAAAAGGCGACTTGCTTGTAGCATCACGCTCCCGAAAGAATAGATGTCACTTTTTGGTGTAGGCGAATAAGAAATCTCTGGATCTCCAAGAAGCTCAGGAGCGGTCCACCGTATTGCACCGGGGCGGTGGGATGACGGAGCAATCGAAGATCCACCTTCAAGTCCTCCTAGAACCGTAGAAAGTCCAAAGTCCACAAGGCACGCCATGCCTTCTGCATTTATCAAAATATTGCTCTACAGACCATCTAATTCAGACACAAATGCGCGTAAAAACGATTCACTTACACCGGTGAGATCTCCATGGATCAGAGGGAATGAGTGCACTTGGAAATATTGGTCTAAGGCGATACAAGTGAAGTTGGATGAAAATGACTCACGATAATTTAAACCAGCTGCGATATCATGAAGCTGCTGTGATTTATGGCTCAGCTCACTTAAAATGACGGATAGGGCTCACCAGCCATAACTTCGATATTAGTGGTAACTTCCCACCACAGGTTTCCAAGAAAATTGTCAGTGTTCCATTGGGTATCCAGGGCGAAACGAGAGAGATGGTCTCAGGGGGTCCAAATCCCGCCGTCACGCCTATGAATGGCACGATGTTCCGATGTTTTAACTTCATCCATATTTTGATCTCTCGACGGATTCTCTGCAACGTGAACGAGAAGTTTAGCGTTCAGCATGAACGGCGCAGAATACATCTTGCTGACCCTGATATCATCTGCGCTAGGCAGAAAACGCAAAGCCTTCACAGCAACCTGAGAAGGAAGCACTACATTTTGATTATTCAACATGCAAAATAAAGGCGCTCATACCTGGATTTGACCTGACGGGGTCCTGTAGATGCCTCTGTAGACATTTCCAAAAGACCCTCCAGCCACAGGATGGTCATCTAACCGGAGAATATGACCGGTGATGTCTACGGGCACTTCTACTACTCTGTTTATTCCGTCAGGTCAGATTGAAAGACGGAATAAGGTATATATGGGCTATACTTGTATTGTGTTTTGCGGACTGGCCTAAGGAGCACATGCAAGATCATCGCAGGTGCCATGGCGTGGCTCCTGCAGTCGAAGGAGGTAGTAAAAAATCTTGATCTGTAACTGGCAATGATATATCATACAACGTATTCGAACTTCGAATCGAATAAAATGGTCTACCGAGGGCAGTGGTTGTCAATGTCATTATGTCATTTGCAACCCTTTACACAGCTAGTCTTCTGAGTTCCTATGCTCATGGAAACTGTACCGTATGTAAGGGCACTGCCCATGGCATGGTAGTTAGCGCTTAACCTCAGAAGATCTGAGAGAAAGTGAGAACCGATGAGCATAGTTGTCAGCAGGAAACATCGTGGAAATTTCAATCCCGAGCGCGCCCAACGAGCCAACGCGGCCCATCCGGTTTGCGATTCTTGAGGAACTCACACGCTACGGCTAAATCCCTCAAAGCTAGATGACTTCGACAACGTTGACTCGCCCATGGGTGAAGGCTTCGAAGGATGAATTGGCTCACTTTTGAACTCAGTTACATCTGACTGAACTGTGCATACCTTGCTATCAGTTTCGAACACAAGTTTGTTCAATTCCCATATCCGCGCTGTGGAATGTCATATTTCACCAAGCCAAACCACATCATGCGACCTCCTGATGGAACAAAACACCTGCTGTGGACTATCGGGTCATACGTTGTGATTCAACACATACTTGAATGCGCCTTCGGCCACTGCTTGTTCTCCCATTGTTCATGAAGTCTTAAAAGAGGGTTGTTTCGAAGCAGCCTGAGTTTTTCATCTCACTCACCCATCATGGCGACTATCCCCCGAGCCTCATTTGGCGACCTTTCCATCGAGCTCGTCGACATCATCCTCGGTTATGTAGCTCGACCCACTTTTGCTCAACCAGACCAATACAGGGCGAAAAACCCATACTCAACTGCTCACAAACTCTGTCTGGTCTCCCAACATGTCAGGAGGCACGTTGCACTGCCTGAAATGCTGCACACAGTATTACTGGACTCTCACAACAAGGTGGCTTTTGTGCATGCTCTACGCATGCAGAAGGAATACGCTCAAACAGATTCTCGTCTCTGTTTTGCGTACACAAGGTACATAAACAACATCTGGATCGGAGAATTTTGTCTGGGTGGTGAATACTTTTATATGTACCGTGGCTCCAATGGCATGTTTGTGCCTGATTCAGACCTCGACCTCTTGGCTCCGGTACTCCTTGGCGCACCATCGCTTGCGATTGACTTTGGATGGATGCACTTTCTGACACGCTGCGTGGAGCATGCATGGACCCACATGGGCGAGGACATCGACCAGAGATGTTTGCTACCTCCGTGGCGCACGAAAACTTTAGCGCTATCGGGGCTTGTCACTGACCCATGGCCCATGACGATGTTTGCCTCAGGACAAGCCTTCCTGGCTTCCCTCGCCCACCTCGTTGTGCTCCCTAACACAATAAGAGACTTAAGTTCGCATGTCGTTGGTCGGGCTCTGGGCATTGTTGGACCTCAAGACTACATTCTCCCCCACTGGATGATCAACGCTCCATGGGCTTTATTAAAGAGGCTCGAAAGCATCTCTTTGGCTTTCCCGCGTGTAGAACTCCCGTTCTATGCAACTGAATATAGTGCAGGAATGAACTTGCAGACAGAATTGCTGACGCTCCCCGCTTCCCTGGTGAAGGGCCACTGCGTGCCCCTGGAGGTAAAAGCGTCTACGGAGACTGGAGATAGGTTTATTTCTTTGGACGACGTTCATGTTGTGGTGTCTAATACTCGAGTGCACTTTTGTGTATATTGTCAAGAGTGGGAGAAAGTTTGGGCATGCGGGTGGTAAGCTGGAGGGGGAGGGGTGTTACGATACAATTGATGTACGCACATGTTCGCAGATGGCTACATGAATGAACCATGCATATGTATTTCTTGACACGGATTAATGGGCTTGGTCGAGATTCATGAACGTTGAAATAAGTAACTTTACTTTCGGTTACAGAACCTTTACAGGTGAGACTCTTGCTAAAGTCGGAGTCGATCAGCTTGAAAGATAAACGAAAGATATCCCGATGGAATCGGCCGCCTTCATAGTTCAACGAGCACAAGATGCGAGACATCTGACATTGCTGAGGGCAAAGGTCTATCTCGATACAATATCAATTACAATTACAATCTTCCCCTTCGCACGAGCAAAGATGGCAACTCGCCATCAAGTCGACTTGTTCGTGGTGTACAGACCAGGCTCTTACATATCAGTTCCCGAGACTAGTTTAGAAACAACCACACGACCGGCCGCCACCACGCTGTCATGTGGTTACCTTGCACTCTTGTGAAGGTTGTTGCGAATTTGGGTGGGAGTAGAAGGAACATAGTCTTCATCACGAATCAGATCCTCGTCGAATGTGGGAGCATCTGCTGCAGCATGGCGCTGTGAATAGATGTTTGAGACTCGAACTATAACATAAAAAAATAATTGAGCACACCAGTTTAACTGGAGCAAGAGGAACATCGACAAGATGAGGTAGTGCGTGATCTAACACGAGCGGGTCACCAGGTTAATGTGATATAGTCGTGTTTGAAGGTGATGGGAACAGTGGCAGAGGATGAGGTGCCGAGCGGTATGGATCAAGCCTAAAAGAATGTAAGTCGAAAACAAGATAATGACAGCCGACTCTCGCATCCTTGTGGGGATACATCTTTGAATGTGGCTTGTACAGAGGGAGAGAAGCTGTGAGGTAGGGATGAAGTGGCAGGAAACTGTTAAGGGGCTCTCAAGTCGACTGTGAATGCACCAGGAAGAGGAAGCACACATCCAGGGGATCACGAGGCTGATGAGTTCGAACAGGAGTCATGCGAGAAGGAAGCATTTTTCGGAGGTAATGAAGGAAGGCATGCACCAGTGGGTATATGGTGGAGAAACCTCTTTGTGGGCGGGGGACGATGATTGGTTGTATTTGGTTAGGCGCACGGAACAACATGTTGCGTCAGACTATACGGAACTAATGGTGCATGGATGCATACATTAGGCCGCCCTTCTTGTATAGATTCGATAATGGCAAGGACTCGGATGTGTGGTGGGGTGTCGCATATGTAGATCTCGGTGTCACCCCAGGTAGTGCATGTCAGTTGGTGTGAGTTGGGTAAGATGAGGTAGTCAGGAGCATGAACATCGCATGAGGCGAGGAGCTGTCGTGACGCGAAAGCACAGTGCGGCCAGAGCTTGATGTCTGGTCATTGGAGGCGCTAGCGAGGAGTGCACCATCGAATGATGGCCCTAGACCACTTATGAGATTGGTGTGCCCTTCAAAGGAGGCTCCGACGGTCTGCAGTGTCGACGCTTCAAACTGATAAATCGTCTTGGGCTCGTCATAGCCCTGGTGCCACCCCTTGGTCCGTCCGCGTGAACATTTCATCATCATCCTTGAAGTTAAATGCAGCCAGAATGGTCTTGCTTTTGGGGCATATGTCACTATTCCGTGAGCAGATTTCTACAGTAGCCTGATATCCAGTCTATGAGTTTCAGCATCCTATACATCGAGATAACATTTAATGACTGCGAACTTCGAGTCTTGCGAGAATCGCACCGCGCCCACCCCGCTAGGGTTTTGGGTTATCGTTCAAGCTCTGGGATATCTTACCCCTTGCTTACCCCGCTCATCAGTGCAAGATGCTATCAGCGAAGATATCATGATCGATGCAGGTGATACTCTGCGAGTGGCCTTCAAACGTTCCTATGATCCCCGGACATTGAGCCCGCACTCATTGTCATCTACACCAGCAGTGACGACCCATCGACCATCCTTTGATACACGGTGACGAATCGCTGGAAACGCGGCCAGGACCGGGGCCTCGATCTTCTCCTTCTTGAAGTTCATTATCAAGTCATGGACCCTGTGTCGTACGCTGTCCTCGGTCGTAGGAGTATAATCAGTTGCATGTTCATGCGAACAAGACTTTGTATAAAAACATCAGTATGGGCGGCGCCTCATAGGTGTACTCACGAACCTGGCGCCGTGGGTAGAAATCCAGAGGATGAGAGAAATTTGAAATAATACCAATCTCTGTCCTTCTCCACTCGTATTTCCTGCTTGGATACTACCCTAGCTAGGGAGAAGTTACTCAGATGAGTGTGGAACCGGTTGTTTGAGCCCCGAGTAATGCCGAAAGCAATTGGGTTCAATTTGCAGTGGCTCCCCGCAAGCACCCCGTTTTATTATAACACCCCGTCGGCCGCTTTCTTGCGGCGTCCAGTTCTTTTCTGTGCGACGAACTGTGTTAACTTTCCGACTACTCCCTTGCATTGCACACCACTCTTTCTCTCTCCTTCTCTTTATTTCTTTGTGGACAAAGCATTGTTGATATGAATCCAGCACGGTCTAGTGCGCTCCACCAGGGGAACCGACTCCTATCGCGGACAACTTCTTTTCGGACGGCAGCACAAAGCAAGCGGGCGTTGGCTACCTCAGCACCAGTTGCCTCACCTTCCAGCTCTTTTCCGCCTTCCAGTCATGGTCATGGACACGGGAAAGCGTTCAATTCCTCGCTTGCTGTAGAAAGCACAATTGCACGCAGCAATCCTGCCGAATTCGCTACAATCAACCAGTTTGAGACTTCGCAAATGTTCCCGGAACCGATCTCCCCGATAAAGCAACATGAAAAACTCGTGCAGTCTGGGGTACTTCGAAGTGACGATCATCAGATTCGTATCATCGGCAAACTTCAGCGTTTCTGGGAGCAGGTACTCAAGTACGATCCTCCGCCTATACCCGAAGCGAAGACAAGTGATTCATTGGTGATTTTCTTTCGTTTTCTCTCAGGACCGCTGACCCACTGGCTGATAGATATCTCGTCTGTTTTCTCGAGCACCTCCAGTACCAGAAACTGCGCCTGCATCAGCACCAAAAGGTCTTTACCTTTATGGTGACGTTGGTACAGGAAAGACGATGCTAATGGACCTCTTTTACCAAACGCTGCCCCCTTCCATCACACGCAAGCGTCGTGTGCACTTCCACGCCTTCATGATCGATGCACATAAACGCATACATGCTGCTAAGATGACCATGGGACACTCTGGTGGTGACCCCATCGGTCCCGTTGCGCGGGACCTCGCAAAGGAGGCATATGTGCTATGTTTTGACGAGTTTCAGGTTACGGATATCGCGGATGCCATGATTCTGAGGCGTTTATTGGAGGGCTTGATGAATCACGGTGTAGTCTGTGTAATAACATCCAAGTGCGAGTCCCGCTTTTCATGGTGGTGTTTTATGGTTGACTGTCACACAGTCGACACCCAGACGATCTTTACAAGAATGGAATCCAACGCTCGAGCTTTATACCTGCCATAGAACTTCTCAAGTCGCGCTTTGAAGTGACGGACTTAGACTCAGGAACTGGTATGTATCTAGTCGACACCCTTCCAGTGTATCGTCTCACAATTGTTACGCACAGACTATAGACGGATACCACGCGTCCTCTCCCACGTGTATTATCATCCATTAACACCGGAGAATAAAGCAGAGATAGACAAAATCTTTAATTCACTGACACGTCCAACTCCTACCGCCGCGCTTCAAGATCCTATTGTTGAGAATCGCCCAATAACGACGTGGGGCCGCACACTTCACGTTCCGCTTTCGACGTCAAAGGTTGCGCGATTTTCATTCGAGGAAATTTGCGGCCGTCCGTTGAGTGCCGCCGATTACTTGGAAGTGACGAAGCAGTTTGGTACTCTGTTTATCACAGACGTGCCGAAAATGGGGATGGACAAGAAAGATATGGTATGTTTCTTCCTTTCGGAGATTCTTACAGCCTTGACCAACATTATCCAGGCAAGGCGATTTATTACATTCATAGACGCATGCTACGAATCCAAGGCAAGCTCACGTGTTTCATCATTATGATCGATAATCTAATGACTGGCGCAGACAAAGATTTTTGTATCGTCAGAAGTACCCATATTCCAGATCTTTTCGGATGAGTCGGCGGGCTCAGGCAAGGGGATCTCAGATCACATGCGGAGTGTGATGGATGACCTGGTGCGTTTCTTTTCTTCAATTCCCCTCACGCCAACTCAATTCTGTAAAGGGACTATCACCGGAAACTGTGGGCTCAAGCTCAATGTTCTCAGGCGATGAGGAGATATTTGCGTTTGCGCGGGCTTGCTCCCGGCTGGTGCAGATGGGGAGCAGAGAATGGGCAGAGACGGTTTCTCAATAGCAAGGACACGTAGATGCCTGCGCGCTCCCTGGTACATAAGTATTATTATATATATCTGATCTTTCTTCTATATGCAAACTCATCTAATGTTTTCATCTGCAAAGCCAATTGTTTACATCTTCATTGTAAGGGTTTCTTATTGTGACATGACCACCGTATGCTGACTCTTTTGCAGGCTTCCTTGCACCGATATATACAAATTACGTTCACAGACCAGTGTTGTCCACATTATTCCCCCAATGGTGGGTGAATTACGTCCTTTTATTGTTGTGCGAGTCGCTTTATCTCTCCTGTGACTCACCATGACTCGGTGGGCGTCTTCATCTCTGATGCGGGGAATGCGTTGATCAGCAGAAATAAGGTTCCGATCTAGTCACTGATCAACGAATTCCCCAAAACGCTCCTATCCTGTCAGCCTCCTTTACATACTTAAGGATCGCATGGAGTCATAGACACCCTCTCTCCCGAACTCGGGATTTGTCATGCGCAAAAGTCATACCCTACCCTGGGAATTTCTTCGACGCGCTACGTATAAATGTGGGGAACGCTCGAGGTGCTCCATCGGATTCCGCTACAGCATCATGACGAACACCCCTGTTACCGAAATAGTTACGCTCACTAGTAATGATGCGATGAAGACAACCTCTAACTTCCAGGAGGCCGTTGAGCTCTTGCGCCAGACCAGTTTTGATGGCCTTCAACAGATGTACTGGGGCGACCGCGTTCAGCAGCCTGAAATCAGGCAGTGGTTCATCAGTAAGGCATTTTGACTCTGATGACTCCGCGTGGAACTAATCACACGCACAGATTGGAGCCACCGCCCTCAGAGGTCAGAGTCGACGGCTGCAGCAATGGCGCAGATCAAAGAAAAACTTGGCGCAGTTGTCGACTCCCCACCGAGGCGCAGGCTCGTCGCTTTCAATCCCTTCCCGCCTACCAAATGCTTTGCCGCACCATTCACAGAAGTCATTATCAGCATTGTAAAGCCTGAAACCGATCTGGATGAATTCAACAAGATCGTCGACGCATCATTGGAGGTGTGCCATGACGTTGAGGGATGCTACGGAACTGCGTGGGGATACGTTGTCGATACAGAAGATGCAAAGGAAGCAGTATTGTTAGTTGGATGGGAGAGCCCAGAGGTGAGTACGCGTAATCTAAGAAGCATAAACCGATGCCCATCAATATCGATAAATCTCAGCATCATGTTGCGTTTATGAAGACGGAGCCTGCTAGAATAACAACAGCTCCTTACGTTGAGGGAGTAAAGGAGTCAACCGTCTTCTACGTCCAGGCTCAAGTTGCATGAGTGATGAATCGAAGAAGGGCGCGAGTGATTTCTCTAGTAATACATTTGTGACTTATTGTAGACATCTACACAATCGTGATCATGCTCTTTATATCCCTGACATCCCCTTGCCCTTGTTGTCGATGGTGAAGCTTCCGCGTGCGACATTTGTGGACGCCGTTCCAGAAGTGAACCCATTTCCAGGCTGATCTTTCCCCTTCTCCAAAATCTGCGTCATGACATCGACATCTTTTGTCGTGCCAAAGACAGTGTCAAGTTGTTGTTTTGAAGGCGTACCCAGAATGCCCTGTGCGCCTTGATTGGAGTAGAACACTTTGAAAGCTAGGAAGCGATGCGATAAGTTAGATCACAATCACATGATCAGATCAGTGCTCACAATCCACTACCTCAGCTAGAGGGATCGTTCTATGCATACGTAGGAATCGTTAGTGGTAGATCACTAGATGGTACTCGTACACTTTACCTGTCTGCAGAATGTAATCAGGTTACGGATTATCGGATAGTCAAAAACTAAGATGCTTACCTCCTGCTTTCCATTTCTTGTACTATGATAAAGTGAGATCGGTTGTCTGCGAGTTGAAGTGAAGCCAATATCAGCTTACCTCTGTTGGATTAACAATGACAGTAAACTCGTCTGTCGACTGAGTGTCGGGCTTGTACACAACCTTGGTGAGGGACTTTGGCATGATCAATAGAAATCGGGTGTCGGTGTTTGGATGGTATTGGAATGATTTGAGTGGTTCAGTAAAATGATGTAGTTGATTGAATGATGGTGGTCAGACGGAGCTTAGTACGAGTGACCTTTATACTACGCACGCCACCCTGACGTCATTAAGTTAATGAACACTTCGATGTCACGTGACCACAATTGCTTGCCTGCGTGGACCCGGATTTTTCCGTTGCGTCACAGTGATATTTGAGTCAGAATAAAATAAGCTTAATTCAAACACCACATGATTCACATGTCTCATATTCTGAGTAACGTTTATCTGTGCCCATGATATGCATCTAATAATTTATGGATGTTTATTATTGTTTAATATTGGCACTTCAATGTCACGCGACCATCGACGCATCACGTGCCAGCGCACAAGGACAATTGAACGAGATCGTCAATATTTGTATGTAACAAAGGCGTTCAAAGATACCGACTACGCAGCTCTCAATAAAGGTCTCCAAGGTGAACACAATAACGATAGTTTAGCCCGATGTGAGTAATCTTAGCCTTGTCCAATCCAATGCTGGTGCGGATCGCCCGCCACTCGTGACACTTACATGAGCCAAGGGAACGAGGGAAGGTCTAAAAGAAGTGCAATAATTAATAAACGTCAATGAAGACAATCTGAGATACTAGCCTTCCGTGGGCGCATTGAAAGGGAAATGCAGTCCCAGCAAGATTTCTCACAAGGCGTTCACACTGTTCCAGTGACAGTGGATCGTTGAACATGACCGCGCCTGAGTAATCAAATAATGAGCAAGAGTGTATATAAAACACCTCGACGTTAGTACCACGACAAGCTTTTGAGTTGATCAAATCCAGAAGTTCCTGTGGACACCAGCGAAGAGCCTTGAGCCACTGCGACTCGTCGTCCTTGATGTTATCGGCGTCTTTTTGCTGCGATAGGTTAGGAGGAGACACCCTCTCGCTTTCGAGAAATCCCAAGTAGCCTTTAACAAGGTCTTGCAACTCATCGTTCATGAGTAACTATACCACAGAATGATAAGCCTGCAACACCATGAGAGTGTCTATACGTACCTTGTCGCTCACAATCGCAGGTATTGCTCTGACGAAGACTTGTACATACCCGTCACTAACTTCATCTCTTGCGCATTCCGATTCCAACGAGGTTAACTTAGCCAATCCCTCAAATCGTACACCCCACCGGTCGAATGCCGATTGTACTTCTTCGATAGTCGCCAAGCGCGAAGCTTCGTGACGCGTGAGTAAAATAGGCACACCAGGAGACAGTTCTGAAACTTCGACACCCCCGGTTCCCTCGCAATGCCGTAGGAAGCCGGAGCAAATTTCCGATAGAAAGCGTTCGACCCGGACTCGTTCATCCGCAGCGTGTTGATCAATCAGGATCAGAGTTGAGCCATCCGCTGCAAGATTGTTTGGGGGTTTCCCATGTTCCTGATGCGTGGAATGATCCAAATCGACTAAACAGGCGATGAACTTGCGGTCGACCTGGTTGATAACCCGTGCCTTCAATAGGTCTCCTTTGTGAAATCTTATCCGTGCGTGCTCGGAGCTTGATGATTCTGACTGGACATATGGTGTCCCAAAAGCGGAGGCGCAGCACAAAGGATGATTAGAGTGAATAATAGCAGAACCCTGATCGTCGGAAGCTTGATTAGCAAAGAGCGACAACGATGGAATCTTTGGCTCCGTAGTAGCATATGCATTATTCGCCTTAGATACCGAAAGGTCAAATGATGCCTATCTGAAACATCTGGAACCTACAGCGAGAGCTTCTTGCAGCCAATCGGGCATTTTATCAGGAGCAGGGCCGGAACATGCACTTTGTATAGGATTCTGAGTTTTCTTCAAAAGACGTGGAATTCGGGAAACACGGTTCGGGCTAGCCGTGTTCGTTCCGTCAATCGGGTGGCACGAATTTTGCAAATATGAATTTCCAGTACGAGCATTCACGATGAACATTTCACCCGTGGCAGGATCTTCCCAAACCGTCTCTTGCGGATTTTCCTCGGATTAGGATCAGCTGAGTGTCAAAGCTTAACGATAGGCTCCCAACTACTCACAGGGTGAATGAACACCGTCCGTGCTTCTTTCGGCCCTGCCTTCCTACTGGCTGGCGGCTGAGAGTCCTTTTTTTGGGCCGCGCTATTTGGAACCAACGAGACTTTGCGCTTCTTGGGCGGGGAACTACAGCCTTCTTCAGCGCCACGTTTGCCAGATGTGAAACCATGTCGATTTAGAAAGGAATCTATCACAGAAGAGAGGAATGTTGTCACAACGCTCTTATGCTATATTCGCCAGATTCAGATCTCCCGGGGGCCGGTCACGGACAGAAATTTACACACCTCGATCTGAACTGCGGATTTTGCTGGTTCCAGGCAGTTATCAATGAATTGCGTTGGTATGACCAAATTTAGAACATAGATAGGTTTCTTCTCGCCTTTGCGGGGCGAACGGCGGACCGCTAGAACTGAATTAAGAACATTCTCAATCAGAATAAACTAACCTACATGATCGCAGATTCGTTTCTCCTCCTTCATCATACGCCTACATTACATAAGAAACACGAAGTTACCATAGGTATGCGACTTACATGCTTTGCGAACGTACTATTCGAGAATTTATTATCGATTAGGCGATGAAGATCGCAGAATGATATCGGATGTTTGTTTATGTCTGAGAACGACTCAGCAACCGCTGCAAATATGATTACTCATACTCACACAGATACTGATGAGCCTATTTTGTCGTGAGTTAGTCAACAGGTGTTATGCAAGCTAGTGTCAAAACCTTTGAACGTGCCCCAACAAGGGATATGAATCCCTCCGCTTTCAAATTTCCAGATGTAGCATCAACCTCTTCCACATGCTGTACCAGTCGATCATGAGTGAACGACGCTGGGTTCAAATCTATTTTCTTACCTCGGTCAGTGCGCGACCATACATGTGTCGATATGCAGCCAAGATTGAACGGGTCTGTGTCAAGCGTGAGACAAGATGTCATCCGTTTTGAAAGGATTTACGTACCTTTGGAACCCGGAGGACGTGACCTTTGCTCGAAGCATTTTCTCTTGATTTGCTATCATCTTGAAGAGTGAATGACACATTAGGAAACATGAGAGCGTATGCCTCAAGCTCTTGTTTAATTGCATCTATTGTCTTAGCTGTAGAGGGATGAGATTGACGACGAATAGGAAGCTGTGCATGCGCGTCAGAAGGGGAACGACAGAAGATAGCTTGGCTCACGCTAAAGAATGCGTCCCTGACGCATACGACACTCCCTGCAGTTTCTCTTCGCCACCGAATCGATGGACCTGAGTACAAAGACTTCCCACCCTGAAACGCTAGTTCAGCCGCGTTCGCAGAACAGGCACAGTCACAAACCTTGAGGATGACGGACCAACTTTCTCGAGACTGAGATGTACGTGACGAGATTTCCAAACAGCATAACTCAGCCATTGATGAGAGAGCTATGGAAAGTCTCAGCAATCATTCGACATGTGAAATAGCACAAAACCTTCTCCGCGAAAGCCAAATGTCGAAACGAAATCTAGGGATGCTGGAGTGTATGCTTTGGATGTATCTGCGGTTACTGGCTGAGTGATATGTCTTCATACCAACAAATACGACTCACTGTATCTTCCTTCCTCCGACCCCCTGCCAATCGTAGTCAATCCCGCTTTGCTAATTCCAGCACCATTATCTCGCACCCAACAGCTCCATTCTTCGCAGTCTATGCCAATATCCACCTGAGATGCTCCAGCGTCTAAGGAGTTCTGCAACAGCTCTGAAACTACCTGTGGTAAGGAAGTAAGAAGTTGTGTAGAACGTAGTTTTGCACGGGTCTCCACAGAAAGCTGGTTCAACGACGTTTCACACGACATGAAGAGAAGGCAATGAACCAAGAAAGTTTTGTTATGAATCACGCATTGGTGTGTCGAAGAGCAGTCAAATCTTTACATGATGAAATTGCATTGGGCGTTGTTTGGCAAAAGCCCTAAGAACAAATAAACGAATATGGCAGGTTTAATATTGTTTGGCTTCGAGGAAGCATGTAGGCGGCCAAATATTCATTGCAGTCCAAAGCCCGCAGGAAGGTTGGGGTTCAACATTCAACCGTCCGACCGCTCGGAAAAAAAATAAATCTTTACATCCTAAATACGCCGAATCCTTTGCCATCGCCGTCCCATGTGGTTGAGCCGACCGATCCCCTTCCGCGTGACGTAGGACGCTCTCTTGCTGCCAGCGCGAGCCCAAGACCAATCACATCCCGTGTATCCGTAGGCTTGATGATCCCATCATCCCATAAACGAGCTGTAGAGTAGAGCGCTGTTGACTGTGCTTCAATATCTTCTTTTAGTGATGAGTGCTGGCTTGGGTCTCTGCAAATGGCAAGTATGAGTTCGTAAAAGGGAGCATTTGTGTTAGGGAACTGACTTGGAGACCGTAGCCATAACTTGCGATAGCTGACCAGAGCCCATGACCGATACTTTCGCATTCTGTCATGACTGTTATCGCAACGAACTGCATTTGAAAGAAGTCCGGACTTACGGGCCACATCCATAGGAACCGCGGGGAGTACTAGATTACAAAGCACGAACGTGAACTCAACCTATCAGCATGTCTAAACGGAGGTTACTTACAGCGCGCCCAGCCATTCCTAGAGCAGGACGTTCGTTAATCTAATAGAAGGTCCTCAATGGAGCATGCATTACCATAATTGCCAGCTCCAAAACTCCCTCCGACGATGACGGTTAACTTCGGAACATCAGCGCATGCAACTGCTCGAACCATCTTGGCACCATCCTTCGCAATCCCTCCTCTCTCAGCCTTCGAACCTACCATGTAGCCTAGATGGGATAGGTCAGATAATCTAGCAGCTGGAACTATGACACCACCCGCCAGTGACGTTCACCAAGAACAAGAGTGGTATTTGGCGTTGTGAACATAGTTGGATGAAGTGTGTGGCTTTTAGAGCCGATGGGGAGAATAGAATTCCGTTGTTCGCGACGATACCTACTTCGTATCCATGTACACGAGCAAAGCCCTGGACTACTCTGTAAGGGAATGCAAGCTGAAAATAAATAAAATGTTTTACCGTAATCATGGTCGGACCATATTCCTTCTTGAATTCTCTGAAACGACTACCATCTGCTATCCGAGCGATCACATCTCTCATATCGAAAGCCTGGCGCGGATCAGTGCCAACAATGCCGTGTAGATCCGAAGCGGGGTACACAGGGTCCTCTGGCACTGCTGATGGCTAATCTCCCGCGTTAATGAAATGTACAACCAACCCTGCGTCATAACGTACACCAGTTGGTTTCCATCCAGCAAGGCCGAGGTCGCCGACTATGCCCCTTGCTATTGCGATAGCATGCTCGTCATCTCGCGCGAGATGATCGGTAACGCCACTTTCGCTCGAGTGCATTTGTCCACCACCGAGAGTTTCTTCATCGACTTCTTCGCCTGTAGCGGCCTTGACCAATGGTGGACCTGCGAGAAAAATACGCCCTTGGTCCGCAACAATAATATTCTCGTCGGCCATTGCAGGAACATATGCTCCACCTGGACGGAAAGTGAGACAAATACAGTATTCAGGGGTAATTACTCACCTGCGACAGATATACCATGTACTAGTGCAATTTGTGGAATACCAAGAGCAGACATTTGAGCCTAAGAAGCGGGGTAAGTATCACATGGCATTCGGCATGCATATACTTCGGATCTATATTACCATGTTGTAGAATATGCGGCCAAAGTGCTCTTTATCGGGGAAGACCTAGAGCGTTCGTCACAATTCTGTCGGTCCCTGTTCCATAGAGACTTACGTTGGCTTGATGAGGCAGCGCCGCACCCCCTGATTCGACTGAATCGAACATATTGCGTTTGGCAAGCAACGTAGCAGAAATATGAACGACATACCAACGTAGACACACGGGAGACCATGCTCCCGTGCGATCTCCTGTGCTCGTAAATGTTTCTTGACCTGAGGGGTTGTCAACATTCGAATCTGCATACAATTTGGACCAGTTTCTGCTCACAGTCAGAGGATAGTACGACCCTCCTTTAACTGTCGCATCATTCACGACGACCATGCACTCCCGCCCCGATATTCTACCGATACCTGTGATCATCCCAGCACCAGGAATATGCTCTGGGTAAACTTCATGGGCTGCTAGTGGTGATAGCTCCAAGAATGGAGTATGTGGGTCTAGTAACGACGACAAACTAAATGAGTAGTTCAGCAACGATTTCTAAGAGTCTCAGGGTCTCTCAGAGTTTGGGAAATGTCATTAATATTGTAAAATAAGCTCACTGACCGTTCCCGGGGTAGTTTCTTTCCCCTGCTCCGCATGCGCTCTGCAGCCTTCGGACCTCCGCCCTGTCTCGCATGCTCCAACTTGGCCTCCAAATCCGCAACTAGTATGTCCATGGCATCTGCTTTCTCCCGAAACTCGGGCGAAGTAGGTGAGATCAGCGAAGGGAGTACTGAAGCATGATATCTCCGGGAGCATCGTGCAGACACGATCGATGACCGTGTTGCACGCCTAAAGACAGACTGCATGACGAGTGAACAATCCAACCTCGAGAACTAGTGAGAAATAAACAATAGCAGACGGTTCACAGAAGAATAAGAACGCTCGTCGGCTGTTTCATAGAATGTTGAACCAGCGCGGCCGGAGCTAGGGCGCCGCCATTCACGTTATTCGGGGATCCACACTTGCATGTAAATATATTTATGCACTACAGCGCTTAGCGACATTGATCACCACCAGTGGTGTCCACTATACACACTAGCATTACAGTCGCTACAGATGGCACAGCGTATTCTTGAAGGTCAAAATCTATATTCACAAACCCCACGACGCCCATCAGAAGTCCTTCCACTCATCCCAGTCGTCGTCCTTGGATTTCGAGGCAGTCCTCGACGTACCTGAAGTGGGGTGAACAGACGACTGACCTAAGCTTGTGCGACCGTCGGAGTACTCGCTGAAGAAATCCTCTGTGTCATCGTGATATAACGCTGACGTCTCCCCGTCATTATGCATCGATAGGGCTCCGTACCCAGAACCCTGTGGCCCTGACCCCAACTTGTCTTTCACCGTCCCCACCACGCCTCCTACTTGATCAGCAACATCGATACCCAACTGAGTTTTAGACCATTCGTTTGCCGAACGACCTGCATCATTTGCGCGGCGTTGCGCCTCCGACATGTACTCGCGAACGGTAGCATGCAGGTTCGGATCCAGAGCACGCTCCATTCCAGGCTGAATCACATTTTCACTGACAACACGCGATGCATTAGCGACAACTGCAGAAAAGAGAGACCAGCCCTTGCTCAGGGCGGCTCCCGGATTATCCTGAAGGTCTTTGAGCGTGGGAGCTGAGGTGGATGAAAGGCCGAACGACGGGTGTTGAGAGGTTGGAGGTGAAGGCGTGTTCCCAAATCCTAGATAACGGCCGCCCTGGGAGGGGGGCAAATCTGTAGGGCGACTGGCGTTTGCTTGACCAAGGGATGAGAAAAAAGCTTCGTTGGCAGATTTTTGATCCCCGGTTGGATCCAGGGAGGGTTGCGGCGAAGTTGCGGAGGACACCGGAGACGTGATATTGCGTGCCAAGGTACGCGATTTGCGTAATCCTTGCGCAGAAGACGGACGTCCTGGAGAGCTGGATGTTGGTGGGGACTCTGGGGAGGATGGAGACCAAGATTTGTCGGCTAGGGTCGCATCCAACTGGAGAAAATTGAGTCAGAGATTGAAGATAAGGTGGTCGGCATACTTTTTCGCGATATTGCGAAGCTGCCCAACAATGGTAGGTATCGTAGGCACTTGTACCTTGCTTATATCCGCCTTGATCTATTGGCGTGTATGATTCAATGAATTGTCTGAAAGGAGCATTCCCGCCGAGCTTGGGACAAGTGAGTGAGGAATGTAAACTCGTCATGCATTACCCACCTGCATACGCTTGATCTGATCCGACTGCCAAGTATCCATTGAAACTGATCTCACGAAGCTGTTGCCGCGTGAGATTCGGTGGTTGAAGAATGTGCGTATAGGTTCGTGAATTCACCTGATGTGCACTCCGAACCCTCTGTGTACACCGGCGCATTGCAAGCACAGGAATATCGCGAAACTAACTTTCGGGGAATGACTGACGAGGGACGCGAGGAGATGGAACACATGTATTCACCTGAAGCCCATTGTGGATTTGGATTACCACAGTCTACACATGTCTTGTTCTTCAGATCATCACGCTTGAGGAGCTCTTGAAGAATCTTCTTGGCCGCGACCTGATCCATGTCGACGTCGACGTTGCTCAAAGGACTGGGCGTGAGAAGGGTTACCAAGTTTAGGTGGTCATTTCCGTCGACATTCGAGACAGTGCTTAAAGTTTACATGCTCACGCGCATTGAATGACGTTAATTTTACAAGAAGCCGTATTCTAGCGTGTAGCGAATGAAGGTTTTCACAGATCATGACGGTTATACTTGCTTAAATGTTTTTTTTTTGAATTTCTTTTTTTTTTTTGATTGACCACCATTAATTAATATTAATTGGTTACCCACGGAATTCCGGCATTCCCAGGGTGACAGGTTTATCTGCCACAGTAAATCTGATAACTAATTGAGGATGAATTTTGAGTTTTCCCGTTGCCACATATATGTGTCCGAGTAAGTCTCGGAGTGCGCTGGACGCATCTTCCAGGAGAAGGAATGAAAGTTTATTACGGCTCTGCATAGCTTTGGATGAAGTACTTATTTGATGAGGAGTGTTTAGCTAAATTTTGGAAGATCTGCGTCCTGTGCAACGCGTGCCTCGAGCTAAACTAATCAAGGCAGCACCCAACGTTATCCTCATACCGTGACCTTCAAGCCGTCAGGATACTATAACTGCATCCCTGTAGTATTAGACAATCCAAAACAGCCATAAGGCGCCCTACGAGCTTTCATTCGGGTAGAGCTAGTAGAGAACAAACAGGTGCGTTTTCATCCTATTAATATCATACTCACCGACAAAAATGACTGTCTTGTCACTGAACCTCGCAGGCTCGTTTCTCGAACACCACCTGCAACCTTCGCGACGTGAGAACTTATCTTATCTGATTCCCAACTGCTCGCTGTATATCCTGTAGCACGACCCCCGAGTCTAAATTGTCCGCAGACAACCCGATTTCATACAAGTGCCCTTCTCCTTCCCCTATAACGCACCAACCCCTTACCTTCACATCTTGGAAACTTTCATGATTCAAAAATCAAATAACCGCTCCAACATCGATCATCAACCTCGTCAAGATTCTGATGCAGGCATCGAGAAATGGGGACAATGGTGGGGCCGAAAGTCAGTCAATTGTGTCTCAAGTCATACGCCACATTTCCTAATCTTTAACGATTATCAGACATTATTCACTTGAAGTAGTACAACACCCTATGCGTGCCCGTATGTGCGGTTTTGGTGATAAAGTGCGCGAGCTGTCGCGCCTTTGTCTCATAACCTTATAACATTTATTATCAGGATCGCAGGCCACTCGCACCTGCAGCAGTCGCAAAGATGGTTGTCCGAAGAGAAGACAACTCTATCGTAGATGTAGAGTAAGTATAATTATTTCTTTTTTTCCTTTGGTGCAGCTCATTACCTACTACTCAGGGACATCGATTGTTCTTTCTTTCTTGTAACGGTCGACCTGTGGTCGGCTGACGGTAAACGGGAGATGAATCTCGTGTTACATCCTTCATCATCTGCGGACCGGTACGTCGCAGCAAACGCTCAAAAATCCAGAAAGCCTCGGAGTACCAATGCTCCATCATCTCCTCACGATGAACAACATAGCCCCACGTCGTCTCATTCCACGCCGAATTCTGCTCACCAACATCCACGCCTACCAGTGGCATGTCACCTTATATCTCATTATTGTTATTTTCCACTGACTTTGAACGTCAATATAGTCCACCATGACCCCGATGATTCCCGCTCCGTCGTCAGGATTCGTTAATCAATCCTACCCTTATCCCCAGCAAGCACAGATGCCAGATAACATAACATATGATGACCAAGATTCCTACAGCTCGCCTTCCGAATCAAACAGCGCATGGGGATATGCTCCATCAGGAACTCCCCTCGATCGCTCGCATAATTTCAATCACCCTCATCCGTCTTTGTCGTCGTACAACCGCAACGGCATACGCAACGGCATACCTGCGGCTGCGCCGGGAGAACCGTGGCAAGCTCAATCATCGTATCGTACGGATTCCGATCCGGCGGCCAACTATCGCAATTGGCCAGCCACGGAACCATCTTATCCAGTAATAGTCAATTCACAGACCGGCGTGTACACTGCTCAAGAAGTGGACCCATCGATAAGACCTCCCGAACATGCCACTCAGCAATCTGAGACAAGTAATTGGCCCCAGCAAGTCACAAGTGACCCGTCGCCACGATTCGTTCAGGAGCCTTTTCAAGCCACAGGGAATAGTTACGATCACGCCCAGGCTTATGACGCACCATCACAACCACCTTATTACCAGGGTACATATACTCAGAGCTCCTCATCTTCTCCGTCGGCCACCCATCCTCCGTTGCCTCGAAATTCATACACACGGACTTTAGTGGGACCGCTTTCGTCCAATGCATGCCGACTGCTCGATGAGCATCGGCAGTCAGGAATATTCTTCCTCTTCCAGGATCTATCTGTTCGTACGGAAGGTATGTCCTCATTTCTTAGACACTCTTCTATCTGACGCCCTGGGGTATCTTAGGAACCTTTCGGCTGCGTTTACGTCTAATGAACGTTGGCGAGTAAGAACCGTGGCGTTACGCTTGGGAGATAACAACAACAATTGACATTCCATTTCCAGACTGCCAGCACCGGAAACGGGTGCAATGCGAGTGCATACTCATGTTTCACCGGTCCTTGCGCAAACATTCACCGAACCCTTCGTCGTTTTCTCAGCCAAGCGCTTCCCAGGAGTACCCGGTATGTTCTAAATTGCCGGTCTTAATACAAAAAATGATTATAACCTCCTATGGCGCGCAGATACGACCGCGCTGTCAATTGCTTTTGGTAATCAAGGCCAGAAACTACCGTTGGTAAGATCCTTCCATGCTCCGTCTAGGCCGGAGGCTTAGATCATTGCAGCGAAATCGTCACGGAACTAGTAAGCATGGGCGACGTCGACGAGATGGTGATTCCGACCCCTCTGATGAGTCAGAAGATAGTTGATGGGAGTCACGTAACACAGTACTGCCTTTGGCCTTTGATGATCTTCGTGTTCAGACAATGTAATCACCACTGCATCACTAATGTCTCCTCTACCTTGCAATGTACTCAGTACTCGGTACCATATATCATCGTCTACCACCCATCGTCTTGTCTCGTCAACGAAGATTTCCGCGCAATCCGACGCTCGTGCAAGCGAATAGTTTGGATCGTGTCAGGGTAACTGTGATAAATGCGGTCAAGCATCTCTCGTGCGAGGTTTCCACGAGTGAAAGCGTTGTCTAGTGCCTGTGGCGCTGAGCTACGGTCTCCCATCGGTTGGACAAACATCCCAGATTCCAGATGGCGCAGCACACCTGACAGCAGGGCAAGTACAGCACGATGTGGGCGCCAAACATCCCAGGAAGGGGATATCTGGTGTAGAATGTGTAATGGGTGGGCAAAATCATCCGAGGTCGGATCCATTTCTAGTGCGTCACCGGATCTCTTTGTAGCTACCTTCGATTGATAAGCTCGCCGCTCACTACGGTGCATCGGCGACTGAGAAACTGGTTTGTTGATATCTGCCGGATTGGTATCGAAGGTGAGAGGGGAATCAGGAGATAAATCTCTGTCACGCTGTACGCCCTCGCTCTGACGCTGATAAGGTAGCAATACGCGTTCGACTATCTCGAAGGCCCGCTCCGGCTCTCCCGCACGGACCAGGGCAACTGCCAAATGGTTCCAGTTATGTGAATCGAAGCTGAAGCCATGAGATCTCGCTTTCCCCCACATCTCGGCAATCACAGAGTGTTCCCCAGCCGCAGAAAGTGCATCGATATAGATGGATAGGGGAGCGCAGAGAAGAGTCCCTTGACGTTTCGTGGGGTCGGAAGGGTTGTTATCTTCTCCTTCGAAAAGAGAATCCGTCTTCGAAAGACGTAAGGCGAGTTGCCATATTTGTGGCCAAAGCCCATGGATGGCTTCAATGTCACCAGAGCGACGGTAGGCGTCGAGGAGCACCGACAGGCTGGCCAACGAAGGTTCTCCACCTGCTTCCAGCATGGATTGGAACAACCGCTCCACCTCCTCCGGTTTGTCAGTTTTCGCATACGCGAGCATGAGGGGACCGTGGACGTGCTCGAGCGCAGCGGTGCGAGTCTGAGGAGGGACCCACGACGCCGAAGACTCACCAGCCATGATGGCCTTCAAGAAGGCCTCTGCAATTTGGAAGCTTTCTTCGGTTTCCTCCTTGCCATAAGTGCGGAGGATATGATAGAATGTGGCGGATGTAGGTTGAATGCCTCGCTTGCACATGTCGTCATAAACAGCCTTTGCACTACGTTTGTCACCCAGCCGCAAATGACCAGCCATGATGATCGTCAACACAAAGGCATCAACGCTGTAAGTTGTCTGCCAGTTTTTTGAGGCTGCCTGCATCTCGGCAAAAATCCTGTTGGCGATGTTCATATATCCTGCATCGCAGGCCGACTGGATGACGAGGGTATACATCCGCCCATTAGGCTGAACGCCCAGATCCTCAAGCTTGCGAAAGATTGCAGAGACGACACGAAAAGGGGCGCCGATGAGGACGTAGGCCTTCAACAGAGTATTGTAGACTTCTACTGATAGCCGAAGGCGAGGGTTTCGAGACGATTTGAGGTAGTCGAAAACGCGCACTACTCCCGCCCAAGAACCAGCTTCCACATGTGCATTCATGAGAGAGGTGATCATCATGCGATCAGGAGCTATCCCTTCACGCAACGCACGTTTGTAGATGGCCTCTGCGGATATCGGGTCCTTCCTATGGGCGAGAAGAGTTATGACAGTCGTGTACAAGATACGAGTGGGCATAATTTTGGACGCGCGCATCTGGTCTAAAACAGCGGAGACAGACTCTACTTCTCCACGCGCAGCAAAGCTTTTGAGGATGATGCTGTAGACGTAGATATCAGGAATGTGTCCAGCCTTCGACATAGCCTGAAGCCAAAAATTGAGCCCGTCGTAATCCGCGCGCTCTGCGTGAGCGTACACCACAATGGTGTAATGCACGATCGAAGGTTTTGGTCCGAGCCGCGAATTCTTTGGGTCAGGGAAGAACTCATGAAATAGTTCGACGACTTTGTCCACCCGTCCGGCAACTGCATATGCATGCATAAGAGTGGCTCTATCCTGCGACGTAATCCACCGCGCTATGCCGAGTTGAGAATAATACTCCTCGGCGCGGTCAATGTCACCCTGATGTGCTGCGAGAAACATTCCAGTAGAGATGAAAAATTTATGCTGGGCGCCCGTCGACTCCGATATGGTTCTGTACAATTCATTGGCGCGGATGAAGGAGTCAGCGCGAACAAGCGAGCGGACCACTTGGAGTTGCATGTCAACTGGTATCAACATCTGCTGCGCTCGCATTTCTTTGAGCAATGCATACGCATCTTCTGCCAGGGTTTCCTTCCATAGTACGTCCAGCAACAGGACTCCAATACGCTGCCGCGTCTCCAAACCCTCCTGTCGTCGCTTTGCCAATAGAGATGCGGCATCCGGTATGTTGGCCAAAATCGAGTAGATCGTATCTTGGAGCGATGAGGGTTTTACGTCGATGTCTAAAAACTTCAAACGAGTAGAAAGAGGCAAGAGATGCATCCCGATCTTGGCCCACTCCGCAAGAACAAAATCCAGGACGTGCTCGCTATCTTGGTGAAGCGCCATTAACCGTATAAGGGTCCTATATATTTCATATAATTCCTCTTTCCGTCCGTCAATAAGTAGATCCGATAGTTCGTGGGCGGTAATGATTGCATGGTCCATATCTCCTAGAAATGCCAAGCCTCTCGCTACGAGTTTTAACCGCGTAATGTCCTCGCTTGAATGCTTCTCGAATACGGACTCCAGCCGCTCATTTAGCGCGGCAATTCGTGTGCCCCACTTCTGAAAGTATGGAACGCTGCCTTTGTCCTCACCACCTGTCTCTATAGCAGCAGAGAGCTTTTGAGCAAAGTTTAAGACGTCTAACGGTTTCAGATGCTGGTTGTCGTCAGAGTCAACGAGCATTTGGTAAGCATTCCATGCATAATCCAAGTTAAATGGGTAATTTTCTTGCAGGAGAGACAGGAAGTGGTTCAAAGGAGAGGTTATGACGTCTTGTGTTTCAGGACCCGGCAATGACGAAGCCGTCAAGAGATTATTAAACTGTGGAGAACTTGAACACGATGGAAGAGATGAGGAATAGCGGCGGATATTTGGAAGACTCGCAGAATGATTCGATCGACGGGGAGCCGCGTCATTGACCATTAATATACGATTTCGCCCTGTGGTGCGCTCCATCGTCAAACTTTGACAAACTACCATTAAAAATAAACGACACGTACTTGGACACCAAACGGAGTGCTTCATGACGCAGTACGATTCGTGTGATGCTCCCAAGAGCCATTCGGCGCATTCGGCACACTGAGCATAGTCCACATCCTGCTCCACTGCTTTCTCTTTGCCTTTCCACTTTCTTGCGGTCGGAGTAAAAAAGTCGCGTAGTAGGGGACGACGAATGGGCCGACCCATGTGTTCCAAAGAAGGCCTGAATGCAGAGGCGCGTCCAGCAGGTGTACGCAACAAAAAACTGTTTACTACAGCTGCCGCTAAAGGCTCGATCATGGGCACCCGCACCTGGGCGTGGAGTGCTGTCGAAGCAATCTTCAGACTTGTATCTGCTATAATGAAAACTTAGATTTGATATATCCGGAAACTTGAAAGTAAACTTGTATGAACTCACGCGAAACAAAACCCACGATGCCAGCAACTGTAATAGTATCGTTGCAAGTCGGTGACCTCACTATGTAAACTTGGACGAGACGTGTTTAGCCTTGTTTGGCTGGTTTTTTTCCGCCTCGTGCGAACCATGTTGGATATCGACGTCACACCCTACTACTAGCTCACCTGAAGTGCTCCAACTTGGTATTCAAGGAGAAGAGCAGCGTGGTGCTCTCTTTTCATTTCTATTCATTCCCCTTTCTCGATAATCTTCACAGGTCTGAGCATCCTTTGCCAAATACTCGCGCGACGTATGATTTGCCAAGCCACACGTCGGCCCGAAAAGCTTTCCTCGGATGTTCGAGCCCATCACGATTCGCTGAGCTGCTACCAGCACCGTGAAGTTCATTTCGAGGCATTTTCAATATCTAGTCAGCTACAACAATGAGCTGTGCCATTGATAGCACACTTTCATCCGTATGGCCGAGCCGAGAGCTGGGAATTTGATTTGCCATCGATGAACCCCATGTGATACGCAAGCGGCTATTAACGTTATCCTGGTTTATCCCCCCCCCCACCTCATACATTTGCAAAGTGGGTTCCAAGCCTATATCTGACTACATTGGCGAAATAAGTTATATCAGTCTTCGATATCATTTTCATTTATCACTATGGGAGATGATGCTGTCCTCAGGGTCCCACCCACCCACGAGATTATCATTGTTCCCCCTCCCGAGCACCAAGGTCACCATACCCTCCTCCAGCAGTGCATCCAAGTTAGGATCGCCGTTTTCGTCACAGAACAAGGGTTCCCTTTGGAAGTCGAAGTAGATGAGTACGTTATCACGTTCTATATCATCCGCCCGCTTCAACTTCGATCTCTTTTATCTTATTGGTGAATCACAGACATGATCCGACTGCGACTCATTGGTTGTTAAGAGTTTTACCGTCTCTTGAGTCTATAGGGACAATCCGTGCCTACAGAGTGGAGAACGCAGGCGGCTCATATTACAAACTATCGCGACTCGCTGTTCTACAGGAATACCGACATTATAAATTCGGTCGCAATCTTGTACTAGCATTGCATAATTGGGCAGAAGTTCATGCCAGAAACTCAGGGGTAACTGACTATGTCAAGATAGTCTGTCACTCACAAGCAGCCCGTGCAAATTCGGCTGGTGCTATAGCCTTCTATCGCAAGTACGACGTCATTATCAAACCTATTTAGAAACTTGACTTACCGCCGGTTGTCTGCCTAGGCTTGGTTATAAAGAAGAGGTAATGGCTAGTACCACGAGACCCCATGACGTTGCTTATCATATCTGTCAATCCAGGGCGATCTGTTCGATGAAGATGGTGAACCACATCAGAAGATGGTCGCCCGATTGTCATTAGCAGAGTAATTGATTACAGCGTTCGTGTACTCCTGTACTAGATGGAAGAAGGTATAGAACATGATATACTAGGGGGGGAATCTACCGATACACATGAGGAAAAACAAGGTCGTAAAAAGCAAGTCCTGTGTCGTGAACAGAAAAACATAACCATAACACGATGCCCTCGAAAATGGGCTGTGATGACCAAAGAACATATAGCAAATTAAACAAAAAGCGGAATGTGATCGTATCATATGCGGTATCGACTGACACCATCGTCCGTTGTTGCCGCCTCGCTCTCGCTTTCCGAACTGAACGACATTGCCCGCAAGGCACGGAACGGACTCTCGGTGCCGGGGCTGCTTGGCAAGATGCTGAAATTGATACTTGTGCCAAGATCAGTGGTGCCCTCCTCGTACAGCCTCCGTGCAGCCTCATACTCGAGCTTCTCCTGCTCGGCTTGCGCAAGGAAAGGCTGAAAAAATTTGATGAGTTGATTACGAAATTGTGACAATTTTTGTCGTACCTTGCGCTCATCATCAGTCATCGATCGCCATTTGGCAGCGGCTAACACGCTTTGCTTAGTCGTCTCTTGCTCGTCACCAAATATCTCCCTCACAAGGGCAGGGTCGGATCGAATGCGCTGCAGGAACATGAAGTACGCGCTAAGCGGCTTCTTGGGTGCGTTTGGGTCCTTGATGTTGCTCTTCCGAGAACGACCTGCCTTGCGTTGGGCAGTGCGGAAGGCATTCTCCTTCTTGATATCATCAGGAGTGAGACTCTTCATGTAGGCCGCGTTTTCGCGTTCCCGAGCCTCTTTCAGAACGGCAGACCGTCGCTTGTAAGGCTGTGAATGAGTCGTTAGCTTATGCAGACTTGATAGAATGAATGGCACGAACCTCCTTCTCTTCTGGAGTCAGATTAGCATACTCCTGACCAGCTTCTTTGGCAGCTTGTGCAACATTGAGTTTTCTCGTGCTCGTTGCTTGGTGCCGTTGAATCCAGTCTGTGAAGTAAAGCTGCCAAGCACTTGGTGCTAGTTTAGGCTGCTTAAGTATAGACTTGAGAGGAGCTATAGCGGCGGGATTAGTCAAAGTTTACAAATAAATTATAATATTGCATACGTGAGTCTGTTGATTTGTCCTCCCTGGAAAGTTCTTCGGTGGATAGCCGCTTCTTGCGTCGCACGGTTGCGTCGCGATCATCGCTAACGCTGACAGACTCGCCACGACGGGAACTATAATTTCTCGTCATTGACGGCATGCCCGTGTTTATTGGAGCGCTTGAAGACTGGAAGCCCAAGCTTGAGATATCTCGTCTAGGTTGAAAGCGTTGGCGTTTGACTGCATAAGGGTGTTCTGATAGGGGCTGATGAACACGCGATGAGGACGTGGAAGCTTCGTATTGTGGCGAGTCCCACAATTGACTTGCCCATGATGGTGGTCTTAGTGAAGTCTCGGCGGGGGATATGGATGACACGCGGAAACCTGGCGAGCTGAGATAGCCGTCAGAGCCGTCGGCCGGCGATAACGATCTCGGTAACTGAAGCGGTGCCGCAAATTCCGACGGGGAGAATGATGCGCTGGGCGTAAAGTTATGGTTAGGGTAGGAGAAAAGTGTTTGCGATTGCAGATCCGGGCCAGCACCGCGGATGGGTATTGGAGAAGTAGGAGAGTCGAGTACTGGTTCTGTTAGCCAATGGGAGAAATGGGGTGCATCTAGATCGAGCATAGAATGCATATCATCAAAACGTCCGAAAGCAGAATCATAGAAAGAATTGTTGGGGGATGTGTCTGTTGCATCAAAGTTTGAGACGGGATGTGGAGAGGGGGTAGTATGTTCGGAAGTAGGAGGGGATAATGGGTGATGATAGCCGAAGTCATTTTGGGAATCCCACGAATGAGCCATTAGTGGGCTCTCGTCGAACTCCAAGGGACCGAAAATCAACTGATCACCATCTGGTGACAACATGTCATAGGAGGAAGTATCCAAGAAGTTCATCGAGTCTTTCATTGAGGTATCAGTAGAGAGAGAGATGCGGGGAAGGGTAGAATCACGATGGGGATAGCTATCCATAGGCATTATAGAGGTAGGTGGAAGAAAACGGGAATGCAAGAGGGTTGGTTTTATAGTTGGCGGAAGGGTAAGGGAATGGGAAGGGGTGTCAGCGGGATACGAGGATATGTACGAACGCCATCGGGCCTGCTTAAGAGGGGCTATCCTTAGCGGCATCCGAAACCTGAGGACAGATGCCATAATGGTGAATTTATGACAACCTGACTCGGGTTGAATCAGATTGTGATTCCTTGAGAGCTCGATTGGCCCGTACTACTGAAAAGGGGGTGTGGCTTCGGGGTCGGTGCCTGATTAGGATAGAGCAATTAATAGCTGTACTGACTTTAGAGGAAAATCCCAAGGTGACGCGGATCCCTGCGAAAAATGCAAAAGACTTGTGAAGCTATGCCAGCAGCTGTCTTGCGGCGTCAGCTAACGACAAAGGTTTACAAAAGTTTAGCTCAGAGTTAACGATGACCTGCCCTAAATTCTATGTTCTACTTCTAGTATCTTTGAACCGAGGATATGGGCACTTATTGTGTATCGCCATTCGCCACCGGGGGAACTAATAGAAATTATGGCGGGATCAGATCACGCTTTTGGATATAAATTTGCTGTGTGGCGCCCCTCTATGGAACCTTCTTCAACTGCGCGCCAAAAGATCTAATAATTTGATTGTGAATGTCTAAAAATCATCCAATCATAAAATGACAATCGATTCTGCCGAACGATATCGTGCATTGTTATAAACACTTTTACCAGCCTGAGTTACCGGATTAATCAGAATTATACATTCACAATTTGTCATCAATCTTACCTCCCATCCTTTAACATCCTTCATGATCTCTCGCTCCCGTTCCAATGCAGCTTGCTGACGACGATACGCATCTCGATCCCCTTCCGCTACTAGCAAAGGAACGAGGTGAATGCGGGACCAAACTTTCTCTCTTTGAAGTTCCCTGTCGCCATATCAGTTTACTTTGCTTTTTCTGGTACGGCCCATGTACGGCCCGGAAAAAGTAGGCGCGATAAGAGCAGCGGCCGGATCCTCGCAAAGGGCACGTTTTATGGCGAGCGCGCCATGAAAAGACACGTTTTACAGCCTGCGCCACTCTGTCGGTGTTCGAAAGATAAACATACCTTCTCTCCAAGTTTCCCATTCCAACACGATAGAAACCATATGCACACACGGCTGTCACAGCTCCAAGAATGACTAGTCCACTTGGTCCGCGAAATGGAAGGTTTCGTTTATACTTGACTGCCTCGAAGCCCCCGGGTGGAGGCATGTCTCTGCAACCAATCAACTAAAGTTCATCACCGACGTATTACACGTACTGTCGGTACTGTATAGACACTGAGTTTTCGTATTAGCGCTCTCATGTTTATAATAAACGATTCAATGACTCACTTGCTGAACGTCGTGGAGGATAGCGGTGAAGGCGGCTTTCGGCTTCGCCAACAAAGTGCTTACCCACGTGACCCAACAGAGCAACCTGCCCTAAGCCACCATGCGGTTCAATCGAATGATAATCGTTTCAAGATCGGTAAGACTGAATCCAGGCCCCAGGTTGGGTACATAACGGACTTTTGAGTGCACAGGCTGCGCCTTGTCCTGGTGCCTCGCTCATTCCGATAGCCATGCATGATTTGATAAGTTAGCGTACATACAACCCGTGAAAAATATTTACTATTACTAAAATTAAAAACATGCTGCTGAACCGAATTCTGTGACCAGTAAAAGTACTAGACTTGGTGATTCGACGCATACCGTAGCCGCCGTGTAACCCAAAACTTTTTCGATGAGTAATACTGTCCAACGGCTGCCACCTCAGAGCACTGCCATAATGTCCCACATCCACTCCCCAAGCCCACTCACTCTCCCTCGTCTACAGATGCCTGCACAATCCGTTTCCGCTTCTGCCCCACCACGTCAGAAATCAAAGGCTTATGCTACAGGTATAGCAGCCGGCGTCGAAGATGAAAAGTATCAGACAAAATACAAGGAACTAAAACGAAAAGTAAAAGAAATCGAAACGGTTCGCAAATACAACACGACTCGGTGTATTCTTAACTCACCTGCTTCTAGGACAATGATAAGCTTCAATACAAGGTCCTCATGGCTAAAAAATCTATACAACGTATGAAACTCGAACGAGCGTGAGCAACTTAAAATGTACATCATCTCAACACGTATCTGATCCCAGATAAAGTGTCTTGTATGAACGTCTCTCTGCTGTGCCACCTTCTCCAGACCTTCACAGTCATGCACTTCCCCCTACCCACTCCGGTCCAGGTGTCGCTCCCCCACATCCCCGTGATATAGCTCCAACATCGCACCACCAGCATCGTGACCATCGTGACTTTCCACCTGTAGAGTTGAGCGATCACAACGCTATCGAATACATGCACAATCATAGCTCCTTCCGCGTTATTCCTGGCCCGGATGGTCGCCCTATTCAGACTCCAGATGGGCCCATGGGTCCGGGAGTTGCGCCTTCCCACGGAATCTCTGCGGTGCACATGTCGAGGGGCGGTTCCGCCTCAGGTCATGACTCCTCCCGTCAGCTACCACCCCTCTCCCAGTTGAATCCTGTACAGCATCTTGAGCCACCCAGGGCGCATCCGCACTCACAGGCTCATAGCCCTCATCTTCACCCTCATAGTAATGGTTCCTCGCGTTCACAATCCTCACCTTCCAGATCGCGCGGTCATCAGATAGCTTCTCAGGCACCTCCCCCAGGATACCACACAGGGGTAATTCCCCACCCACAACAATACTCCCAGGATTCTCTTATCCCTGTTCAACACGGGTATCACAGTCCGCCACACCCGAGTGATAGGGAGCGATCTTCTAGAAGACACGAGCCACTCGAGCGTGGTAGCTACCATGGTGATCCATACACTCATTCACGGCAGCATTCTTCGCATTCTTCCACGATGCCATCCCCAAACACTCGAGCTTCACGTCTCCATAATCATCAGCGCGCCGGGCCTGGAGGGACAATTAGCCACCCAGACCCAGAATACGAACGTGATCTCGAGAGAGAACGTGCGTGGGCACGTCATGAAGGCGAATCCGCTCGAGAATACGCGCCCTCGGGAGCGATGCATGCATCTCCACCCTCCCACCTAAGGCCTAGACCTCATGTAGACCCATACTCCCGCGAACCCATTGGACCAGGCATGCACGGTCGATCATCTCGCTCTGACACATCAGGATCTGGTTCCGGATCTGGTTCCGGCAATGGTGGCGGGGATGCTTTATCACGGCCTGAAGGTCACATTCAATATTATGACCGTGACAGGGGACCCTATGCACCGCGTCAGGCAAATCCGCCGCGCAATCCAAGTGAAGACCAAGACGTCATTTACGAAGAAGGCCGTTTGTACAGCCGTGACCGAACTGCCGGACATTACATGCTTCCAGAGCAGCATCGCCCTCCTGCGGAATCATCCAGGAAACGCTCTCGTAAAGACATGGAGATAGATACAATCGATGACGTCGATGATTCACCCGCTGTAGGTAGCTCAGGGGCGGGAGAAGCACCGTCAAGGTTCGCAGGCGGTCATCTTACTGATGACCGAGGCTCCAAGAGACTCCACCAAGAACCTGCGCGTTCCCACGAGCGCGAGGAGGAGGAGGAAGAAGAAGAGGAGATTTCGGATACTTAGACAATATTGATTATTTTTGGCGGCGGCGGCGGCGGCATGGCGAGTTTCCTTTTAGATCTTCTTGAGGCCGAGTTCTTCTTTCATGCATATGCACGTATGTAGATGTTTTTTAGTGTATTTCTGTACACATCACTAGCAGTGCTAATGCTTGGTATACCCCGTTCGTCGTGTTGTGCCCGCGCCTTGTGCTCTATTATTGTCGCCAATTGTCCATGATGAATTACATTGTAATGGTCTGACTTGCGGACACTGGGTTTATCGTGAGAAGCGTATAACGAGCGACATATGTTTAGACTGGCGGATCAAAGTGTAAATCTTGCCCTTATCCTGCACAGGAAGGCAAGGGATTTCCCTAAATTAAAACATTATCTAACACAAAGGGAAATCACAAGGAATCATAAAAAAGGACAAGCGAAAAACAGATCGAGAAAAACTTATAGCGCGAGTCATCATGAGTCTAGTCAAGGTTCGGCCGCCGCGCGCCGCCAAACCTTTCCACAGACACCTTCCGAGCATACGCAGCGGTCAAAACGGTTATAGCAGCCCGTTCAAGTTGGCACAGCTCCATTCTGCCAAGATACCCTTTGGACGGGTAAGTTTACTGTGCATGAGAGCGAGTTTTGGCGGCGCAGCGATAAGGTTGTGTAGCCGTCGATGGCTGCGCTGATCCTAGGATGATGTCCATGACCATAACCGTACGACCTGAGCGTCGTGACTCATACTCGGCAAGCTTCTGCGCTTCCGAGAGCAGTTGCCGGGTGCGGTTGGACATGGGAGGCAAGGAACGGGCGTATGAGGAAGGCAGTATCATATCATTCTCCTTGTCTATCGATCTTACGGAGAGATGGCTCCGAGGGTGTGGATGAACTGTCAGGTTTTGTGACTGGATGTGGCAAGTACAATGACTGGGGGTGTCAGGGGAGACGAGGGGGGCCACCTGCTGCGCCCTATGATGGAATCCGAGGATTAGTATCCGAGTCAAGATAATATTCTTAGATGACGGCTCGCCTATTATCCGATGTAACGGAGGTATGTGGTTTCTTTAGAACACCTGTGTTCGGAGCTAGCCCGTCAAACGCCATGTTTTGGCGCCGATGACAATGGGAGTAGAGGGTTTTCCATAATGATTATGCACGATCTCGTCCTTGCCCTCCCATTGGCAATCAGTCCGTGTCATCTGAGACCGCTCACGGGTGGGTATCTCCGGTGGCGATTCCGTGGTCTGGTTTGATTACAGATGGGCCTCGAATTCTACTCGATTACGTCTCATCAGGCAAATATATCCTGAAGAAAAATCAATCAACCCAAGAATCTTGAGGAATGGTTACCTCACAGAAAATATAGCACAGAGATGGCCAGAACATCAGGGTTCAGAATCAGTAGCACATGGTTCGATAACCTAAGCTTAAAGACACAAGATTGTGACTGAGAAGTGCTCCTTCATGCATATCTGATGCTAGCTTGCACGAATGGAAGACATTTCCGTCATTCACATACACCGCGCGTTCGTGACTGCAACGAGGCGGCCGGATCAACGTGTTCAGAAGATGCCTGTCTTCAAGCTTACTGTTCAATTTTGATGACATCAGGTGAAGAAATTCAAAATTGGACCAACGGATAACTACACGGTTCATCTAAACTACCACTTCACCGGTAAACATGGTCCGCTGCATGGCGATTCAACACGTGTAACCCCAAAAATGTAATGGATACTTACAATGCAAGTTAGCAGCAATTTCGGCCTCTGCCCGATCGCCATTTGCGAGCAACTTCTCTTTGTTATACAGGAGCTCCTCGCGAGTTTCCGTGGAGAACTCCTGATTTTGTGCTGAAGGGATGCCATCAACATTCCAGTGTCAGTGATACTCCTTTTTGACACATACTTTCAACGATCGCGTCAACCGGGCAAGCTTCTTGGCAGAAACCGCAGTATATACATTTCGTCATGTCGATATCTTAGGAAAAACCGTGTTAGTGCAACGTTCCCCATCACAACGAGACATGTTATACCGTATTTAGTTGTTTTTCTGGAACCATCCGCGCGGGCTTCACTCTCGATGGTAATCGCTTGAGCAGGGCAAATGGCCTCACAAAGTTTGCAAGCTTATGGTACACATTTTAGCCGCGCAAGATACGGTTAGAGATGTTCACAAACCGATGCACCGCTCTTCACCGCTGGGATATCGTCGAAGAGCGTGTTCTCCACGGAAACGAGGAGACAATGGACCCTTCTCATATGGATACATTATAGTGTAGGGCGCCCTAAAGAAATTCTCCAGGACAATCCACATTCCTGGACTAGTTATGCAGAAACTGGAAATAATTAGATGTCAGAATACATACCTCGGATGATCTCGGTAAAGAAGAAGAGATGGACAGCTTTGTCGATGGCACTCTGCCCATCCTTGTAAGGATCAATATCCTTTCCAGGCTCATCCTTTGCGGTCAAACTTCCTGCACCTAGAGGCGGTGACCTTATTGGACCTTCGAGTCGGCTTTCGAGATGTTCTGCGTGCGAGCAGCCGGTACTATGAATGTTGCGGTATGCCACTAGCGACGAGCGCAGCGCAATATTATGCTGCGTCGCCACTATCCTGGGCGCAAGGCCCAGCACAAGACGCGGGCGAGCGAAAGACATGGCGGTCAAAGTCGGGCAAGGTTGCTAACACTGAACATTCTGCTGTGACGTGTGTCACTCATGTGTGACGACGCTAACTGGCAGCCAATCGCGTGTCCCTCATCATTAAGTCAACAACCACCAGGCCATCGCCGTTCTCCTGGACCATGTCGACCTCAAAAGCAAAATCAAAAGTCCAACCATTGAGCGATCAGGGCACGCACGCATTCTACCTACCATCCTCGCTTCTAATCGTTTCTCCGATCAGATAGAAATACAGCAGACTTACTCCCGTCTGCAAAATGAGCTTCAAAGCCTTGCTGGGAAGATAGGCGAGCTGGAGCAAGAAGCAGAAGAGCACGGGTACGCCCTTTGTTACATATTTGATACCCACATTCGACTGACTTTTGCATTAGACTTGTACTTTCCACTTTGAATGAAGCACTTCAAGTGGAACCAGGTCGGAAGTGCTTCCGCTTGATCGGCGGTGTGCTAGTTGAGCGTACAGTCAAGGATGTAGTTCCCGCTCTCCAAACAAATCGCGAAGGCGTATGTGCCTTTTTTTCAACATCTCACCGATTGTCTGATGCCTGCGTTTCTTCAGATCAAAAAAGTTATCGCCAATCTTACTGAGCAATATACAACGAAGGAACGCGACTTTGAGACTTTTAAACGCGATTATAATGTTCGTCCAATCAGCAAGGCGTAATTCTGTGACGCTGGTGTTTGGATGTGCGTTCATCTTGATCTGCTTGTCTTGCGCTATTGAATGATACTTCCAGTCTACCCAATCACGCAGTAAGCAGCGAGGTGACCCCACCATAAACATGTTCAGCAAAATTGAAGACCCAGATGCATATTGTTCAAGCTGTCGGTTTGGACTAAGTTCTAACTGTCGGGCTCGAACTTTTGGTCCGCAACACATCTTGCAAAACACGAGAACTATAGCTGACGGCAGCGTTGTCTCGTAGTGCCTATGGGCATGGTTTGACACTGCGATTTCGTCTTGTAATTTATATTGCATCGTCTTTGTGAATCAAGATTGAGGAATACAACGCGCGAGCTTGATCTAAGTTGTTTGTTGCAATGCGAAGTTGCTGTGAATTACATTTGCCTACATAGCACTTTCACTAACGCTACTGCAGGTGACGATATACTGCGGCGGCTATAGGCTATAGCTAAGCCTTTGGGCCATTTAATTAACTCCGTTCTCACCATATTCAATGCCGTTATACCAATGAGACTCGAATCTCTCAGTTGAGCTTATTGCTATAATCATTGACAACCTAGATCTGGAGTCGCCCATCAAAGTGTCGAATTTGTCTCGAACGATGGAGACTAAGATATGTCGACTCGACTGTGAACGCCTGGAAACGCTCGATTACCCAAAACCTGGCTAGTGGCAGCTACAAACAAAGTTTCTACCACCTCGGTTTTCGTTCAGTCGTACCCAAGAGTAGTAACTGGATTGATATCCTTGCGCTCGCGCCGCCAGGTTTCATACTTTTCGATTCTTCCCTTCCGAACTTGAAGGCTTCCGAGTCCGAGTAGGAAGAATGCTTCCGCAAACGATTCATCCCTGGATGGTCACGGTTGAAGTGGAAGGAGCATAACACTTGGAGGGCCACTTATACCAGGTACGTATATCTCGTGTACTGTCGGGCTTATGAGTGTGAATGGTATACACAGTTGTAGAGTGTTATACCCTGTTATACCGTGTCTGACACAGAACTGACACGACCTGCACTACGGATGAAGCTTGGACTAAGTAAATTATGCTTGCTGATAGCTGTTTTCAAGCAGGTGTGGCCCTGATATGTCGCGCTCAATCGCAATGGTTCAGTCAACGAACTGTAAGCGTCCTCGCGGGGCTTTAGTAGCATGACTATCTTTGCCGAGATGCAGTAAGCTCAACGCGGTGTTTGCGGGCCGTTCACCTACAATAAGAGGTCAGTGCTTTGTGCTCTTCATAGCCATATAATATTACTGCTAAAGCTGGCAGGCAGTCGTCATATCTGCTGACGAGTAGGTCATCGCGATCGGAGTCCCTCACATGCCTAATCGGTTCAATGCGTAGGCTTTACACCATCCCGGCGGCATAAATGTCACCAATCCGATACTCTTCAAGTTGGAGCGAACTTGAAGCTTGAAGGGCAATGGCCGGGCGTCGCATGAGTCTCCTTACGGAGATGAGTATGATGGCCCGTCAGCTGGTAATATTGAGCGGCATTATTGCTCCATTTGTGAGAAATTATTTCTTAGCAGTTCACGGTTCGCGTCCATACAACCAACACAATGATTCATGGTCTCGGAATATAACACTTCGTCTTGTCACCCACTAACCAATCCTCACACCATTGTGCTGTTTGGAAGGGTACCAGTATGACTCCGCGATCTGTTTTGGCTGACCAAGGTGAGACATGGGGCCTTGTTACCGAGGCTCCGGGCAGCATCAGTGGCCTCGGTCGTTATATTCCTCTTATTGTCAATTTCTGCACAGTAGGCCGGTTTTTTGTCATTCTCAGCACGGCAGTAATGTCGAAGGTTTCATATGTCTTCCTCGTCATAGATCAGCTATCGGTTTTCTTTCCGTATTAGGCGCTGACGTCGCTTCAGCCTTACAACAATGGATTTCTGGCCAAAGTCAAAGTCCGCGAAGCTTGTTCTTCTTCCTCGGGGACGGGTGGCTTCTTGGCCTTAAATCATGGCACAATCTGTCGACTAAACTCCTGCACTTTTTTATTGCCTCTATATTCTTTTAACCGACGTCGCTGGCCAACGTCGCCCACCTTCCTTAAAGTTAGTAACATTTTATACTATAATGTCGACAGTAAGTGGCTCATTGCTGGGACACGAAATTGGTTTACTGAGTAATACGGACAGCAGTGGTCATGTTCATCTTGCCCCAAGAGCTTCTCTCGCAAGGGCGATCTTACTCGCCACCAGCTGCTGCATACTGGAATTAAGTGAGCTCTTCCTCATATTGAGGCATTACGCGCGCAAGCTGACAATCTCGTCTTCCAGGCCACACGCCTGCGAGTTATGTCCAAAAAGATTTGCCCAATATTCAGGCCTCAAGACCCACCGCAATACACAGTGCGCTTGTTCGCTCTTGGATTTCAAATCACTCTGACTGTTATATAGCACCAAGGCTAAGCCTTACGTGTGTGGCATTGGTACTTGTACGAAAGCGTTCAGTGATCCCTCGTCTTGCACTCGCCATCGGAAGGAAACTCACAGACGCGAGGGCGCGTATAAGTGCACTGTACCAGAATGTGGCACAAGGTCAGCTTTAGCTATTGTCGTTGGCATTGTTTTGTTGGGCTCATGGTCTGTTAGAATTAAACGACGATCTGCTTTTGTCGCACACATGAAGAAGCATGGAATCGATGCCCGAAACCTAGATTTAGATGCCATTGCCTCGTCGGCAAATGAAAACACTTCTCAACAGTCCAACTTCCATTTTCTACCTCCCCAAGTAGCCGATTCTCCTTACTGTCCCCCTTCAGAGACGTCGCTTCCAGGCGTTAACGAAGACAATTTAGCACATTGGGTCCCCCCTGCTCCGATGCCAACGAACAACTACCAGATGCCCGTTCCTGAATATGATGGGGCCTCTGGCGTGACTAACGGCATGTATGACTATAGTTGGCCGTCTGAATTTGGTCCTGGACCATCTAATTCTTCGTTCACACCTCCGCCATCCGTATCTACGTCGCATATTGATGATTTCGTTTTCGACACTGGATATAACGAATACTTACAACCTAATGACGCATTCTCTAGGTTGCCCTCTCCATATGCATCGGCGTCGCCCTCTTTACCTCCTCTCCTTGACGGCTTCGTGGACTGTTTCGGGTCTCGCATGCGATCGATATCCTCTTCACCAGCTACGTCTTCTAACTCTGCACCGGATGATCAGTTAGATTATTCACTTTTGGACCACGATGTAATCAAGCCATATCTTTTGTTCAACACCGTTTAATTTACCATACTAATACTTACACTTCATGCATTCAAGGAATGTCACAGGACGATTTTTATTCATAATTTATACCGCAGCACTGTAGCCTACATACCTCTCACTTTTTACCATCATCTGGACTCTTACCCTGATACCAAGTGGCTTTTAATAATATACTGTACTTTTCAAGCCAATACATATATATCGATGCGTGGAGTTAGATAATATTGCAATCTGACAACAAACGTAAATAAAACACCCACAAGTACTAGGCTACTAACGAGTGCTCACTTGAGGGATTTCTCAAGGTCCCACTCGCTCAGGCGTCTTTCCATCGTGTCTATTTGCTTAGTCCATCCTGCTCAATTTTTGCGGCGCGGGCCACCGCTGGCTTCCCTTACGAAGCCTTTTTTTCTGTCCGAATCGCGTTGGTAGCTTTGACCCTGCCAAAAGGAACATGTTAGCATCACCACTGTACCCCACTTCCTCCTTTGCTCCTCAGCTTGCATCCGATGATCATTCTCAGTTTCGCCCTGCCAGAGATATCGAAGCCTTCAATAACTTGCTTCCGCCCCCGATCGAATTCGTAGAAGGCTCGTCTTCTGGCGCCCTCGCAGTTGCGGAAGGCAAGTATGAACCTATCAATGCCACACCGAAGGCATCACAAAATAACGTAGGTGCATGCAATATTTCTATCACAAATCTGCTCACCTGGTCACCGCCTACCAGGTTCGTGAACACCCTCGAACACCCTCCACACACCTGGCTTCTCCCTCAAAACAACCGATATCTCCTTCGTCAAAAAAGTATGGCTCGTTGTTCACCGGAGTCTTAGACTTTTCATGGCCCTGGCCCCCTGGTCACAATATCGGTAATGGCCTTCATAATACGGGGAATACTTGCTTCTTGAATAGTGCTTTGCAATGTCTCCTCCACACGTCGCCTCTGCTCAATGTTTTGATGGCGCACTCAAAATCTGACCCATGTAAGGATAACCTTGGTAACAATCGGTTGATCTTACCTAGCATGTAGGTCGAGTAAAGGGGGGCTTTTGCATGTCATGTTGTCTTCGCCATGTGATGCTTGACTCCCATCAGAAGAAGCATTCTTCCACGCCGTACGTGATTGTTTCGAAGTTGCATGGTGCGTATTACGTTCCTTATTGAAACATGTGTCCGATTGTACCTTTCTAGTCATCGCAAAACACATGCGGAAGGGCAGGCAGGAGGATTCTCATGAGTTCCTTCGCTATGCCATTGACGCTTTACAAAAATCATGTCTAGCTGGATACCCGCAGTGAGTGTTTTGTCACCTTCAACCTGTGTAATCGTTAACAAGCATTGAGAAGAAAAATTGATCCGAAACTTGCTGAGACCACCTGGGTTCACAAGATATTCGGCGGTCGACTGCGATCACGAGTGACATGCAAAGAATGCCACTATAACAGTGACACATTTGATAGCATGCTGGATGTGAGCTTAGACATATATGGCTTAAACAGCGTGAAGGACGCCTTCCGGAAGTTTGTTGCTGTCGACTATCTCAAAGGGTCAGACAAATATAAGTGCGAAAAGTAAGCAATATCCATCAGTAGGCATGGTCACATCTGATGCTCAACCTTTGGCAGATGCAAGAAGCCGGTCGTTGCGGAAAAGTGGTTTACCATTCACGATGCGCCTGCAGTGTTGACTATCCACCTCAAGCGCTTCTCACCCCTCGGTCGGAAGATTGGGCATTTTGTCCATTATGAAGACCGTATCACACTGAAACCGTTTATGAGTGAGGGTCAATTTGGCCCAACATACTCATTATACGGTGTCATTTGTCATGCAGGCGGCGGACCAAATTCAGGCCACTACTATGCCACGGTCAAAGGTGCCAATGGCATGTGGTACGAGATGAACGACGACAGTGTATCACAGCACCGTAATACCCCTGGGGCTCTGAAGAACGCGTATATCTTGTTTTACGTCAAGGAGAAAGGCCAATCTCTCGAAGCTGCTATCACTCGCCCCTCGATGACTCCTCGGAATGTTGTCGCTGGAATGAAGAAGAGGAAAGTTGTGGACTCTGAAGACGATGGCAGTGACGATCTTGGTGTCAAAACTGATCGATCATTCATCGGACCTCTCCTTCCTTCTCCGATAGCTAATGATGCCGAGGTACATAAAAAGGCTAAAGTGGACGACAGGGACCCTCAGGCTGAGAGCATCAAGAAGAAAATTGAAGCTGTTAACAAGGTTCCCAGCCCCAGCACTGCTCTCACGAGCCTCTCGCAATACAACGACGATGACGACGATGACAGTGAATCACCAGGTGTGACTCCCGTTGACTTTAAGCCACCTTCAAGCGCCACTGAGTCGCTCAACGCTGCCTCATCGCCTCCCCCTGGTCCTCCTACCTCTCCTCCTATTTCCAGTACATCATCCCTTAACTCCGTACAATTGAATACAACCCCTTCATCAGGCATTTCGCCGAGCAACTTCTACGCGTCATCGAAGAATAATGACAAGAAACGCAAATCACCAGATTACGATGACCACGACCAACAGACACCTCGGAAACATTACGCCCGCGTGCCCTTGCATACCCAATCTTCCAAACAGTCACACGGTCATCGAAAGTCATCGTTTGGCGGTGGCGCAGTCAATCCTTACGGCCGGCTAGCAGGAAGTAACACATTGTCCCAACATCGATCAGATAGCTGGCAAAGACCCCCACAGCAGTATGGTAAGAAGAAGAAAAGGATGATCATGTAGACCAATTTTTCTTGGCATTAATTCTAGAGTATACGCTGCAAGTCACATATGTTCACGATCCTGTACCAAAGGTCACGAAGCTCGCTCTACTACAGCTTTGCTTTTATATTATCAGAAGAGAATGTCACAGTTTTGGCATTACCTTCCTGTCCATCTTCCCACCAGATAACAGTTACGGTGGTATCATCTCGATAGCTCCTGGCGGTCGGAGCAGGTATGCTCATCAACTTCCTCAAACTCTCGGTGTCGCCCCCACCAAATGCGTTCCGGATGAGATGTGAGCTGACGTTCTCATCTTCAAATGACCAGGAGCCACTGCTGTTATTTCGTTTCTTGTCCTTGCCTTCCACAGTTGGTGCCCCTGACGTTGTCGGTACGAGTTCTGGAAGGGCTGTTTTGGAAACCACTCCTTTGAGACCCTTAAGATGTCCGCCGACGAGGGCTACGGCATCCTCTGAGCTAAGCTTATCCCACAGCCCGTCAGTTGCCAGCACCACGAAACGGGATGCAGGTGCGCGTGACGGCCGCGCAACACTGCCAAAGTCAAAGTCACGGTGGGTTACGACTGGGGTAGCAGTAACGTATGGCGGAGTCTTGAATGACGAAGGGGGTGGGCGCAATGGTTGATCGTTGCCCACAAGGAAGGCACGGTTTAGTCTGGACCAGAGTCAACAATGGGTTTGTTTGACCTTGCCATAATCGAATCTAAAATCACGTACACATCTTGCACCTCACGGGGCCATTTGTACCGGGCATCTCCGAATGCGCGACTGGGTTCAAGCCCGCCAAGTACGCGACCTGCTCGTATCACACTACCCGCCTCATCAGGGGGATGTTCAGATTGAATTCTAAAATCAATTGTAAAAAGCTGTAACGGATATTAATCGCTTTAGCAAACCTTTTCAATTCACTTGGGTTACGACCGGTCTGGTCTTCGCTAAGAACTTCGACGCGCCACAACCCCTGGCCTTGCTCATTTTCCTCCCAGATGCCGGCAACAGCACGACTGTCCCCTGAGCAAGCCACGTATAGATGCCGATGGGCGGTGTCGAAGACAGCCATCAGCGCACAACTGCCTGAAGATAGAACAGCACGTCATATTTGAAAAAGACGGACAGAGATTGTGCCGTACCAGATACAGCAGGAAGCATTGTCTGTAGTGCCAGCGGATGTTTGCTAAGATCGGGAAGAATGTTCTTCTTTATTGATTCAGTATCCAAGTTTGCGGCGAGAACCGAAAGGGGCGCATTGATGAGTTCCTGATCCAACTTGGTGAAAGCATTTCGTATGGCAAGGGAGATTCTCTCTGGATTTTGAGGGTCCTCGCGAGATTTGGGTGAAGACGTGCGGAATATCAACTTTAAATTTTCCAGAAGTCCGGATTTCGGAACGTCTGAAGAGTGAATCAGGGAGGATAATTCCAGAACCACGGCGCTTATGAGGGTTTTGGAAAGAAGTTGAGATGTATGGGGGCCACCATGACCATCCATAACGGTGAAAAACAACCAGTCACCTGGTGCAGATGGGTCCGATGGGTCACGGGCAATTATAGCATCTGCATGTGCATCTTCCAGGGGGTCATTGGCGGCTACAGATGCCGTGGCGTATCGCCACACTGTGCTGTCGGGTCTGGAAAAGCTGTCAGACGACGCGTTTTCTGTCAGACGATCTTTAACAGCGTTCTGTGACAACAGGGAAAATGTGCGGTTGGCCATGATTGGCATCCCGTCCGCACCGCGAACTTTGACTGCAAGGTCGAATGTCTGCTGCTTGGTGAAAGTATAGTAGAGGTAGCTTGGTGTGCCAATAAGAACGGTAGTGGCAGCCAGTGGTTTCCAAGCCCTTCGAAGCATGCCCGACTCGGAGTCCTGGAAGTTGACCGGTATGCGGTAATGGATGATCTCAACTGTAAACAATAAGCGTGATCCACGAAATACACAGCGCACATAGTGCCACACACGTTGAAAAAGGCAGAGAGTCTACCGACAACACAAGTCCGGTGTCTGCTGTGCTGCTACAACCTAAAAAGTTGCCGAAAGTACGCAATAGTTATGAGAAGCGGAGCGAATGCGCGAAAAATCGATGAGACAAGTTTTACCTACAAACGAGGGTATTGCACCGAACCGACAATGTCATGACCGACGCTTGCCAAATTCGGGCTTAACGCGCGCCCGATCACGTGCACGTGTAGACCGTAATGTCGGAGATTGAAACCCATTGGTCTTCCCATGCTGCTGTCAGCGCTGGACAACATCAACTTGTACTGTTACCACAACGTGTTGCTGTGCTATAGCTATTTCTTTCAAAGGTCCATTGTTAACCATTACATCCCAGTTCATTCAATTCAATCCAAACTTTCATATCTCTTTCGTCTAAACAGCTCTTTCGGATGACCAGTTCGGACAACAATGATGCAGCCATGCAACCATCGATAGCTGTGGGAACAGAAGAACAGGAGGGAGATTTCCTATCGACGATGAAGACATTCGATTTCGCGATCATCGATGATGATGATGATGATGATCCTGAGCTTGATCTTCCGTCCCAAGTAACGAATGTAAGTGAAAAGACATGTCCGATGACGCGCGCAATCAGTCCTTAAGTGTGTCCTGTTATGTCATTCCTCAAGCCACCAAACTTCACAGTCCCAAGCAATGTACAGCCTCAAGTTCTAAGACCGTCCTCTCAACAACCCACCGTAGAAACGCTCCGGTCTCTCGGAATTAAAGTGCGAGATTTTGCGTATGAAAGTACTTTGCCACCCATCGCGCCTATCCCGAGAGTTCCACGCCAGACTCAGCCTAGTGCAAGGCCGCTGAAACGTACCAGAGGGGACTGGGAAGAAGAAGAAGATGGAGCGCCATCGCATTCTTCACGTCCGCAATTCGGACGCGAAGCCACCAATGCTGGCATGCAAGCAAGTAGCAAGCCCGAGTCTCTTGTGCGAAAAGCCACTGAGCCACTTGAATTTAACACTTCGCCCGTTTCAAAACGCGCGATGGCACGCGCAGACTTGAGTAGACCTGTTCTATTTGGAAGTCAACTACCCTTCCGTACGCCTCGTTGCGCCCTTAAAGCTCGTCATACCCCGCCAAGAAGATTTTCCACAACTCCGCTGACTTCCCCTCTATTTGGGTCGCCATCAGAAGAGCCATCCCAGGGGGGATCACAGGGGTCGGCGTTAGTGATGACACCTGCTGAACCTGCGTCCTGGAATATCGAAGATACCGGCTCGATACCCGCTTCGCACATGGACACAGACTCGTTGGCTTTTGTGCCAGAAGAAATATCTTACCCCCAGCTAGGGCTTTCCTCTCAGTCTCCGCAACTTGCCACGTCGCTTTCTACTCCCATAGTCACCCCTAGTCACGTTTCGCCGCCGTCTCAGGGAGTTGATAGCTTTGAGTCGTCGCATCCTATTCTACAAAAACCGAAATTCAGCCGGGAATCCAAACGTAGCGTGAAAAGTTCGGCGCCCAAAGTTTCTACGCAGACGTCCCCTCGTTACCTCCTGCGTCGACGATCCCTATTGTCCGTTCATACTCCCACGCGTTCGCGGTATCCCCATCCTCTCACTCCCACGAAGAAAGGAAGCCCAAAGGGTTCTCCGGCTCCTCGCTGCAGACGTTTGCAGCGACCTGTGCTATCGAGGTGAATTTTAGATGCCTAGATTCGGTTGATGATATGACAACTTGGTACAAGGAAGGGTTTAAATTATTTTTATTGCTGTTGTTTCAAGATACATTCCATTCGAGGAGTATACCGTGTACAGTGATGCTCCATGTAGTCTTACATCCCCGTTAGTTTGTCGACAAATTCATGTACACGTGTACTGTTATTAATTAGGACTCAAGACCGCAACTGATCTTCTTACTATTTTGGTTTTCATCGAGCAGACTTGCGTAGGCCGTGGAATGTATATATGTGACAGAAAGTCGACATGTTCTCATCGGCTCCTCGCTGGTTGATGGACGACCGAAGGAAATGCCCGGACTGATTGACATGGGCATATGGTATTTGCGGTATTGGGTAGCGAAATGAAATGCCGATTGCCTGAGTCTGGGGAAACCGCATGCTTTAGGTGATTATAGTTAGGTGCTAGGGACGGCCCTTTTTGACAAATATGATTACTTGGTCGGTTCAAGCTTGAAGATCTTCGCAGTGCCGCAGAGACAATAAGCGTGGGGCATAAATGTCGAGTAAGCTTTTCGTGGCGGTTCAAAGCTAAATGTAACGTAGTTCAATTAGATCCTGAGTCGAAATGAAGGTCAAATTTACTGGAAGAGCGTCTCCGACGCATGTGCGCCTTGGACGAATGTGCACGGCTGTCAGCTGAGGTTACTCGTTGCTAGACGTAAAGATAAGATGAAAAGCACGTAAGGTAAATCTAGGAGAAACATAATCGACTTGGGTGATCGGTCCGTATCAAGTCTAAGGGCAATGAATTGGGTAATTTACAAGATAAGTCTTTCAAATTCAAACCTTGTTTTTCACTAGCACACGCCTTCTTCGCGTGACTCCTCTATATATTTCAGTCAACCCAGTCCTTCCTTCTTCTGCCCTTCCATCATGACAGAACCCTCCTCCAATGTTACCGTTTCCCTTCTCCCAGTTTCCCTCTCCCTAGTACACATCCCCCGCTCCCGTCTACCCCACCTATCACATCCCGTCCTAAGGCAGATCTTGCAGCCAAACCCCACCTTCATCAATGTCACCTGCAATGAAATAGAACTTAGTCTTTTCGCAGAATCTCACATGCTAGCTGACTTCGAGCCCGTCGCTAGACGAGACAGGCAAAGGCAACGATCTCGCTCTGGCTCCGGATCTAGTTCCAAGCGTGCCCACTCTGTATTACCCCAAGACCACCTTGAAATATCTTACGAAAAGTGGAACGTTCTCCAAATTGATTCCCATTCTGATCAACTCGGTATGTTTGACAACCCCTATGCGCAAATTTATCAATTCACCTATTTCTAGACAGCTCCGGCGCCCGTGTACATGAGCTGTCCGCACCGTTAGCTGCAGCTGGAATTTCTATCTTATATCAGTCCTCTTACTTGAGCGACTTTATATTTGTACGTCCAATATTAAATCATCCGACACCTATCCATTAGTAGCCATTTTAAATTGTAATAATCAGGTCAAGGAATCGAGACTCCAGGAAGTCATGTCTTTACTCGGGTCAACAGGATTCGACCTCTATTCCTCCGACCCGGAACTACTTGCTTCTAGAGTAGTCTCCCCATTGCTTTCCCCAATCTCACCCGACGACTCTTCCATCCCCGATGTAGCCCAAGACATCACGGTAGAATCCGGCGCCATTCTGACTCGTACAAGGAATAGCTTGGACACCGTTTCTGCCGCTGCCCTTAATTTGCAGCACATAAATCTCACGACAACACCTGATGACTCACTATCAAGCAGTCCGACTCATCATAAACCACCTTCGCGTCACAAATCACACTCCCCGACCTCGGGAGAAGTGCGCGTATTGACTCCTAACCTCGCTTGCGTTGGCCTTTCTGATGACAGTGTCGACACATGGGGACTGAAGATCGTAAAGCTGGTAGCGTTCCCTGAATTGATCCCCACCAAGGAACAACCCTCGCAGTCACGCAAGTCACAGGCTCGCAACCCCCACCCTGCCGACGGAGTTCCGCCATCGTTGTCAAGTCGAAAACGATATTCAGATTCATCAGATTCATTTTTCTCCTCGAGTGATGACGACGAAGAAGGCTACTTTTCTCACTCCCCTCTCCGTAACTTGTCGTCTACTTCACTGCAGTCTTCCGCTGCTTCCCGGTCCTTCCCAGACTTGTCTAGTTCTGTCCCTTCTCAAATGGGATCTTTCAAACCCTCCGCAAAACACATCGTTGCATCACTTGCACCTCTCTCTCCTCTGGAATCAAAGCCAGCATCACATCGTAATCCCACTTTTCACCATCTGGACGCATCGGCTACCACAAAGAAGCCTGCAGATGAAACCACACGTGGCATGGTTCCATTCTTCAGCTTCACCCGTACACAAGAAGGCACCTCATTAACGACTGATGTTTCCCTTCTTGCCGCCTTATTTCCTCCGAATGAGCGGCATATGATGATTTGCGCTGGCGAACTCGATGCTCTTGATGCGCAAAGTTCAAGTACAGATTCAGACTCCGAGGACGACGAGGACACGCTTTCATCAGGTGGTGCCCTTAAATGCTTGCAGATCGATCTGCGTAGATTCGGGCTTGGTACGCCATTTTTTCGCTGTCTTCCGGAAGGCTTCATTAACATCTGTGTGCTTCTGTCCCACGTAGACAAACATGGCTTAGTGAACCGTTTTTCGCGAGTCTTGGAACAAAATGGTATCAATCACATGTATAGCTCGACCTATAAAACGGCTAATCTACTGGTACGTATCTCAGTTCCTTAATTACGTGCTTTGTTGTGACAAATTCTGTTATCGGTAGGTTTCTAAAGCACACGCCAATCGTGCCCGAGCTTTGTTAAAGGCTTGTTAAATTCCATCTCCATTAGCAATCATCTATGGCATCAACCGCCACTAAAATGATGCTGGCAAAGCCCGGTGCCGCCTGCATTTCACACACATTGGGTCACACTCAAGAAATTTAGAAGTACAGTACTTTACAAAACCCATATTTTTCGCAAGCCCCCGCTTTTTTTCGTTCACAACGAATGATACCCCCTTTTGTATATCATGATCTTTTTGGTTTAAAATCCCCCCCCACTTTGCCCGTTGTAGCGTATGTCAGCATGTCACCTCATCGTCATTTAGTTGTTATTTTATATCGGGCATTTACTAACCCATGTACATCCAACCACACGCATACTTTTTCAGGAATATTCTGTAGTATGTAGCATCTTGTATTGTTACCGCGACGAGAGTGCCTCATGTTCACGTCAGGGGGGCAGCTTGGGACACAGTTGCCTTTAAGGCGACCCATAATTTCAATATGATCCGTGATAATGAGTGTGAAAATGATGAGAGAGTGTAAAAATACAAAGAAGTTCTGCGGGTATGTGACGTTACTATGTGTGGGGCAGGTACCAACATATGTCGGGAGGTATATAACGATGAACGGAAAGAAACCGTTTCACGCTAAGCGCCAACAGATTTGGAACGCTCGATAACAGACAGGTACCAATCATCGAACGGGGGAAGATCGTCTTCGTCGTCGGAATCCGGCGTGGGCGTCTCACACCGAATAATAGAAAGATCGATATTTGAATCCGTAAACTCCTTGACGTCTGGGGTAAAATGCGGGTGATCGGTACAAGTACAAGTCGTACGCCCCTTCTCCTGTGGTGTGAGAAAACACCCAGATTCGTGAAAGGACGGAGGTATACTAGTCAGATGACACTCCCGCGAGTGGTCAGAGTGGGGCTGAATGAAGGCGGCGTTATCAGGGTCGCCTTGACGGTGCGGACCAGGAACGGAGTCGGTGGCGAGGGAAATGGGATTGATCGGAGGTGTCGAACTGCTCTTGGGATATACCGTGAGGTACTCGTAATTTTGATCTTCGACCCTGTTGCCCCAGGAGATCCACGGGTCATGCGGCTCCGCCGCAATGATGATGATATGAGGTGCTCTAAAGGCACAGTCGGACTCTATGATTGAAACGCCTGGGAAAATTCTGGAGGCAAGTAGGATAGGCTGAAGAAGTTTCGATGTCAGGACCTAGAAGTTCATGCTCGACAATCTGCAAATTCGCACCTGAGCAGGATCTGTCCACACGAAGGGCCGTTCCAACTGTGATGCAGCCATTGATTCATTGAATCGCGTGCAAACCGCGGACGCCGAGAGGGATGCTTCGAATGCCTGAGAGAGAAGGCAAGCATTCAGTTGATTGGTTCGACTGAGGTATTTGTAAGACGGCTAACCACAGCTTTACGGCGGTGTCGGAATATTCCGTCCACTATTTTGCGGAATACAAGCCTTTCAATTGAAGAAGCTTCGACCTAATACAGAGTAAAAAGGAGATGAGATGTTATCAGGGTGGCATAAATAATACAAGCCGGCTTACAGCGAGATGAAGTTTCTTGTGACTGAACACGCGAGGGGGAGATCTCGGCCGAATAACACCAAGGTCATCTGATGGGACTACGGACTGTGAATGAAATTCTTTCGAATTGCAGCCAACTGATTCATCGTGGGATGATGGTGGTGGACGGTGATGGTAGTACATGCTAGGGGATAAACGGGGCACGTTGAGAAAACATGGCCACTGAGGATCAACCCGGTTCTGGTGCGGTGTATAAAAATCGTCTGGGTAAGAGACAGGGGGAGTTATGACTATATGAGGTGCGATGTCAGGATACAATGAGTCAAGCACGATGTTGCGGCCATCCAGGCGCAAGTCGAGGAGGGTATCCTGGAAGCGAGACATTGGAACGGGTAAAGAAAGAGAGGGAGAACACTCACATTCTCTCTGTTCTCTTCACAGATGGAGCAGGAGCATACCAAAGGGTGAGAACCTACGGTCTCTAGTTCGTCTTCGCGAACTATGTGGGAGTCCACAAAAAGTTGCTCGGGAACGGATTCGATGGGTTTAGCTTCCGAACCACCAGTCTTTAAAGTATGTTCTCAGCAAGCTGGGACAGTGTGACAAAGGTGTGTAACATACCATGACATCTGTGCGAGAAAGTGGCTGAAAGGTAGTTGAGGTTTCTGGTGAAGAGAGAAAGGTAAAGCGCTCGTCTGCATCTAAAGGCGAGGCAGAGGCGCAGCTGGCATCTGGCAATGTGCTTGCATTCTGGTTCTGAACGCTTCCAGCGTTCAAATTCACATGCGGCACCAAGACCACTGTGAATTGCTGAGGGTCCGACTCTGAATGTGACATGCAGGTTTGTGTGATGAAGACATCCTGATGCAATGCGTTGATTAGACTTAGCTGAACATGAAGCTTCGACTTACTTTGCTTGTGCGTTCAGTGTCATTGTTGACTGGTTTGGTGTCATGCGAGTAGACTGCGTCCAAATACGGTTCATCGAAGCTCGTGAGCGCGTGGAGCATACGTTCCCACGCCTTACTCCATCTTCTCTCCCTGGTCGCGTTGCATGAGAATGCACATATCATCGACTCTGGGACAGCCAGCATCGACTGTATGATGGTAAGTGCGAGTGATATAATGTTGCTCATAAATGTAGGTGGTCCAGAGTCTGTCATTTGGATAGTGACGCGGTTATGACGCGTCGTGGAGTATCTGCTGTCGAAATAGAGATTTGAAAAATCTCGAACTGAACCATGCTATTTAATTATAGGGACCCAGAACGCTTTGCTGTGGCCAAGCGGAGTTTCTTACACCTTTGTTGCAACTGTGGAAGTCCACAATTCTACACGCCACTCAAATCCAGCACACCGCACCCTTTGTGAACAACTATGGATCTTCAGTCCTGTAGCGTTTTTGGTTGGTCCGCATACTCGGGACTTGTCTGGGTGGCCTCACGCGTCGTAGAGGCCGCAGAATGCTCTGGTCTAGGATCCTTCTCTTAGTGCCCGACAGCCTTCTGGAATTCGGGCGGTCGCATAGCAATATCAACAGGCGTGTCGGAGTTAGCTTTGCTCAGCCTGCTTTGATGACTGGAATTTTCTGCCCATTTTCCCGGCGCCAGCAGTCTGTGCGATGGCGGTGGCGAGCCCGTTCTTATTCCACAACAGGGCATTCATGTTATTCCTGCAGGGACATAGCATTCAGGGATCAATATCGAATGGACAAGATACACAGCCAGGTCGCACATACAAATAGTCTTCTATTACTTGTTCAGCTAAATTTCGAAATTTAAACCCCTGACCAGACTATCTGGGAAATGCCAGTGGTATTATCACCGCATAGCCAAAGCTGCAATCACTGATATCATACTAGGAAACTGACAGTCTGGCTGTGTTTATCCAGCCAGTATATTGCTGCAGCGATATTGACAGTGTTGGTATAATGCTATCACTCTTTACCGTTAGCAACGGAAAGATCTTCCTCATCCGGCCTGCGTGCTGTCACCTTTGTAAAATTCCGCATGGAATGATCAGCTCCGGACAACTGGTTCGCTATCAATCAATGAATCCTCATATACGATAAGATAACAAACCTTCTGACAAAGATCCCGAAGGTAACTGGGTATCATCCTAAGCGCCGGTGACAAATTTGCGTAGAACGGCAGATAAATGGTTCGGGACTGCTGTGCGTCAAGTGCAGTGATGATTTCCTTTACTACTGTCACTGGCGCGACGGATGGTGCGAAGAACTGGAAGAAGCGGTTGGATGGCAGTTGCACGGTGGAGAACAGGGGGGTTAAGATGTGTGCTGGACAAACAATGGTGGTACGAATCCCCGGCGCATTATATCTAAGAGCAGGATGAGTATGGCGCAGTAATGTATGTAATTCATCTACGTACACATTGTCAAGCTCGTAGCGCAGAGACTCATTCATGGTTACCAGAGCTGCCTTTGATGCGCTATAATCGGCTACAGGAATGTGTGAGGGTAGTATTTTATGGAGTTTCTTGAAGCTTACCCATCCGAACACATCCAACGAAGCCCATAATGGATGACATCGTCACCTGGGGTAGCAATTCGTAACATTTCACCCTGACATATGAAGAGACTCACAATGTGACCTGTTTTATTCTTTATCATTCCCGGTAGGAATGCCTTCAAGGTCCAGAAATGGGCCAGGGTATTCACACCAAATGTCCTGAATGTCACAACTAAGCCTTCAGCACTCAAAAGTGTAAAGTGGCATACTGGTATACGTCATTTGGTGTGAGATCGACGATGAGTTTCCCTTGCACAACGCCAGCGTTGTTGACAAGCATAGTAGGTTGCCCAACCTATGGTGCAAACTTAAACATATGTCCGCAAAAGATGCAAGACGACATACCTCGTCAATGATCCTCTTCGAAACGGCTTCGACTTCCTCCCACTTGGAAATGTCACATGGGTAATAAACGACATTGTCTAGTGACGAGATTCGCATTGAATAGAAAATATATATAGGAGATGGGGGCGCACGGTTTTCAGTCACAATCGGATTGATATCAAGCACAACCACCGTGACGTTGCGAACAGCGAGTGTGTTTGCTAATAGTTCTCCTACTCCCGAAGCGCCTATGTTTGTTTTGAGTCACAGAAACGCTCAGTGCAGCTGATAAGGGTCGTACCTCCAGTGATGACTACAATCTGTTCGCTCCAATCTAAGGGTTCAGGCTTGAAGAAAAAGCTCCCTTGGTTACGGTACAATTGTGAGATCCACTTTAAGAGCCCTGCTTGAATGTTAGTATCAGAAGCGCTCGTGTATCTGAGGACGTACAGAAAGCAGAAACAGCTGCGCAATATAGGCATGGAACGAGCACGACTGGATTTGTGAATTCATAACCTTGAAAGACGTAGAATATGGGTATGAAACACGTAAAAAAGGGACCTGTGGAACATCAATGCCTCATCACAAGGATACAAACGACAGGTGCACGAACTGAAAGCTGTCTGCGACAGGACTTTGACAACCATGTCGATATCTACGCTGTCATAGATTGGCGCAGGCTCGTAGCTGGACCCTGGTGCGTTCATATTTAAGTCGGTCGGAATATACCTTGATGATGAGTGCGTAGCAGCCGACAAACTGGATAATACAATAGGAAGATTGATAAGAAAGAGAGTGATAATCGTACGGCACAGCAGAATAACAGCAGAATGAACTTCGTCTTATGGTCTTACATAGCTTAGCCGGGACGACGGGCTATGAGAGGCTGTGAGATTGTTACATCAGCCCATCGCTGATTCACTGTTGTGGACCACAGCCATAAGTTGCAAAGTTTGAAAAAATACACGGTGAAGGACCTAGTTGAAGGTGACTAGACGTTCGAGCTCATGCCAGGACGCGATAGTTTTTACATCCCCATGTGTGCCTTTAGCAACTTTTGAGTTATTTACTATTCCTACCCTGGTTTAAAATTTAAATGGACTCTGCAAATATTATCTACAGATTATCATTGAAGCGATACGCCGTGCATCCAAGTCTGTGCTGCTGAATCTGCACAGGTATTATTGAGGCCGCCATTGTCGGAATTTTGGTATATTGGGATGACATATACTTGTTAGTTTTTTCCTTAATGTCAGCCAGATAGCATAGTGGTAACTTGGACCCCGTTGCGATACTGTGCGGGACTTATCAGGAAACTCCTTTGCTGTTCGACTCTTGCCAACGTCACAATTTGTTGTGACATATATCTAGCTAATTGGCTGAGCTTGCTGACTACTTTTTATATTCCACACCTGGTGGATTAGACTTTTCGGGGAGACACAATTTCCTTTTTGGGTGTTAATTTCGGGGCACATATTTTATTTCGCAATAATATTTGTGCAGCGTTGGAGCTCGTTGGAGTCGAAACATATTAACGTTTGGTATACTGCAGAATTCTGTTTGGTCTACTTTGCAGCCAGTTCATCGTTCGACACTTGAACATCTTTTCTAAGAATCTCTTTACCTTCATCCCCGCGCCTTCAGTCATTCATTAGACAAGTGCCCGCCAACCATAGATAATTAACGCCGAGGGCGTATTCATCCAGGGACACAGTACGTTCGCGCTCTCACTGGCAGAATCCTGTCTTTCCTCATCCAGCCGGAATGATAATAGCTCTACCTACAACTCTCACAACAGATGGGGGTTGAAGCAAGTCGCCCTCCGGCTACTACTCCCATCGGCACTTCAGAAAAGCCAGCGACTGAGGTCGTAAACACCGCTCATGCTCCGTGTGCAACCGCCGTGTCCGCTGTGAGCGCAGGTGCCACTAGCGAGTTCACGCCCGGTCATATTAAAGCAACTTCCGTAAGTCCCTCGCTGCCTTGAGCATGTACCTTTGTCGGACCCTGATAATTTGCAACAGAGGGCCGATGCGACTGCGTCTAGGAACAAGGTCAGGTATTTTGACGCTTTGACTTCAAGATCAGTGACTGAGTTAGGGATAATCCTCAAGGCGATCGTGCATGAAGACAAAGCTATGGTTATTGTGCCTATGCCGGACAATGTTCCGCTTGATGCGTCCTGCGCGGCGGATGCCGTGAGTGCCTTTACAATCTTACCCTGAATTACCACATCTTAAAGTTTGATAAGACCGCAGCTACTAGCATAGAGGTATGGGTTTTAGAACATTTGAAGTCCTTGGAATCTGGACATTTGATATCATAGACACTCGGCCTTGATTACGCATCAGTGACCCGCCAAGAGGTTAGTTTTGCTCACGGTCGCTGCGGAACTACTTTTCACGTCACATTACAGACAAAATGCAACCAAGACTTTTATATCCCGGACCTTGTACTACAAGGACCTCCGTGTACACCGGAGAATGAACCTGTCATTTCCAGAGGCTCCGGCGCATCAGAGGTAAGCAATTATGACCGCTAATCCTCATCTTATCTTGCAAAGTCTAATCTTTGCAGAATATTATTCTACTGCCGTTAATCGAAAGAAAATTACCTGTCATACTTAAAGAAGAAGATGTGCCTGTCAAACACGTCCGTAACATTAAACTAATTGATGCCTACGACACTCACATTTACTGCAGCCGGCCAATAATTCCCTAGACTCGATTTCATCTGCAATCATTCCCGAGTCATTTGAAACATCAGAATCACCGTGTCTTGGTCACGTACAACAGCCATCCTCTAATACCACTCAGCGACTTATCACCACCGCATCCATAGAAATCAGTTCGTCTCCTTGCAAGAACAGCATTATCGTGAGTGTTCCTAGATGTCGGTCTTTATAATATTGGCCAATCAAACTTCAGACACCCGATATAGCATCTACAAATGTCATTCCTTCCGTCTTTGAATCCGCCACTAAGTACAATATGGAGAATACCAGCAGGACCTATACAACTACGCCTATCAAGACCAAAGGTACAGCAGTGCCTGTTGCGGTTACATATGCGGACGCCACAAACGTAAGTTGTTATCATCTTGTTTGTCATCATCCGCGGTGTTTTACAATCAAAATCAACAATTATAGTTAGCCGCACAATATCCAGACCTAGCCTCTCAGATCCTTGTTTCACCACTGCGGGAGCACACCGCATGTCAGGAAATTACCCTGACATCCGAACAGAATTTGATCAAGGAGGACCCGCCAAGCAAGCGTAGGCCTCGTCGACATCGCAGGCACAGGAGTAAACGTTCTCGGGAAAATCAAGAAGAATCGCAGCAACAAAGTCGAGGATCCTTGTGGACCCCGGGACCTGATTCTTCTCCATCCCGCCACAAGGATCCCAGTTCCGCTTCTGGGTTGGTCGATCTGAAAGGGACCTCCGGATTTCATTCCGCGCATGATTCTCGGCAGCCGGATTGGTTGGTCGATTCTGCGCTGCCTACGCCAACTCCATCTGTAGAACGTGCCCCGTCACTCCAGACGAATCGGCATACAGCTCCAGTGCCACCACAAGAAAGAACGCGCAACTACCAACAAGAAAGTGATGACACGAACTGGGGCGCTCCCGCAACTGAAATTCAGGCTTCGATTTCACCTCCTATGAGATTTGCAACGCCGAAACGAGCTCATATTCAAGAACAGCACAGCGCTATGCCTTTACAGAGCGAAGAGCGTGGTGGTACTACCAAGGCTACGAATCTGGCGACTGCTTCTATCGGGCGACGTTCGAGTAATGCGGAGATGTTGCTCACGGAGCTGTTTCGCAAGGCGATGGAGACAAGCAGCCCGTCTGTGACAAAGTTTCGCCACCCCGAGCATAGTCCTCTTAGGAAATCTCAAGCTGAAGGACCGGATCCTATCAAGGCACTCGTAGCAGAGACTGCATGCTCGGTGAATCAGGTGGAGAAGATCATGGAAAGAGACTCCCCTCGGGTCAAATTGCCAGCTCCATCGACGCCTCCGATGAAGACTTCTCCCAATCCTACACACAAGTCCCCAACAGCTTGGATGGAAGAAGACTACACTATACGCCAAAGTTTTACACCCCCAAGCGTGCGGACACACGACCACACTTTAAGCCAGAGTTACTTGCCCCCAGCAGCACGGACGACGGAAGACCACGCTATACCGCAGAACTACAAGCCTCCTCACCAGCGCCTTAACGAGAGCAAGATAACTACGCAGAAGCCGCACATTAACCACACTTCCTCGCTGAATAGGCATTCGAACCCTTGCACGCCGCCTTCTCCGCGCGCGATTGAGTTGATAGAAAGAAGGGAACGCATTCGTCATTTAGAACGACTTCTTTCAAGGGAGCGCGATCTGCCGATCAGCATCACCGGGCTTGCTGTGCCGTCACCCAAACCGACGCAGATGTTACAGCCCATCGGACCGTGGCGGGCTTCTGACGAAAAGGCGTTCCATGAGGGCGGCGCGAACGATGCCGGTACCGGCAGTAATCAGTCTTTAGATCTCGTGCGCGTAATGCAGGCGATGGGCCTGGGCATTTCTTCGAGGAAGGATACTTTGGCTTCGCTCAGGAATGGCAACCCATCTGACATACGAAGGCAGCCAGGTACTATGACGATGGAGGACGGCATCATGCGGAATGACTTTACACGCGCGGTCCGTTCACATGGCTTGAGGTCGCCTCGCGGAGGCGGAGGATATAGAGTGTGAGTACGGGGACTTGAACGTTCCAGTTACAGGGTGGACGCGCTATAGATAGATGAAGGTCCTGGCCTGGATTAATAGCGAGGGAATATTTGGTTGACAGTGAGAAGAGATGAATGATCAATTGATCAATATGATGAGGTGGACTAAAGTTGTCACGTGCGTGTGTGAACTGCAACCTTGTTTGAGTCTATTTTCGGAGATTAAGTATATTCAAATTTAGAAATGAAGTATTGCCTCAACCATTGCGTCCTTTTGTTCAGAATTATTCGGTTCTGCCTTTGTGTTCTTGTTCAAAAATGCAGTCTCAGTTCTTTGAAGAGTATCCTCAGTAGTACGAGATTTCCCATAACAACTCGAACCGTAATAGAACCAGTCGCATTCGTAAATAGAGCCTTCTACTTACTTCTTTGGTTTGAATAAAGTTTTGTATGTCACTACTCCGTTAATCTCTCCTACAGGTAACTATAGATCCAAGCGCGTGGTTACGCCACCTTCTACGTTCTTTCCACTCCCACAACCATGGTGTATTCAGCAGGCAGCGGAGACCTCACCCTTTCTCCAGAGTCGAAGGCGAGCTTGTTGCCTCGTAATAGACACACTCTTTCTCAGTCAGACAGGGTACAAAGTTTCGCAAGTATAACGGTAAGCTCCATCCCACTGGGGCCCATAATGTCTTCGAGCACGTTTACAGACAGAGTCACCGTACACTGCTGGAGCAGGTTCGAGGTTGGCTACAATATCAGACCGCGTATGTGGAGCTCTCCTGCATCGCAAAAGTTGACTAACCGCATGTTTTTCAGTTTCACCTATCGCCGGACCCTCGTGAATGGGGCTTGAGTTTATATAATGATTGCAAAGAACCCGACGACGACCTTCACAATCCCAATGTCAGGGATTACAACACTTGGGGCCCTGATCGCGGTCTAGCAAATCTCGGTTGCCTGCTGGTCTTGGGCATCGGGCTAATCACTCTTTTGTGAGCATTCCTGGTTATTCAAATATTTTCCATTTAACTAAATCTGCATACTCGCAGCGCTGGATATCCAGTAATAACATATTTCACGAGGACTGCGCTATCAAATCAAGGTGGGTTTAACCTAGGAGGGATAAATGCAAGTGGACAAGTAAGTCTTCTTATTATTTTCAAAAGTCCAGTAATTCAACAGTATCTTGCTTGGCAGATACCACAAATTCCTGGAAATCTGGGCCTGATCGACACACAAACCCCTAGTAACGCGTTTACCAAGCCCTCCTGGAATGGCGGGCCGGACTTGCAGCTCGTCTTTTCTGACGAGTTCAATACTCCAGGAAGAACGTTCTGGCCAGGCGATGATCCATACTGGGAAGCGGCTAATCTACATTACTGGGTATGTAACTTACTTCGACAATGCCCATGCTAGGGTGCTGATGGTTATCCCAGCAAACGAACAACCTGGAGTGGTATGACCCCGAGGCGATCACCACGCAAGATGGCTACCTTGTAATAACACTGTCTCAAAAGGAAACGCATAACCTGAACTATCAGGGCGGTGAGTACTTGATAATCTACGATGCTTCTAGGCTTTTTTAAAATCTTCGTTCGTTGTCCTATTTCAAAGTTGCTTATACATGTTCTTAATAGGCATGGTATCTTCATGGCAAGTGCTTAACTGGCCGGCATCTGGTGAACCGTCTCATTCGTATACAGGAATAAATTTTGTTTCACCGGTGGATACATCGAAGCGTCCGTCTCTTTGCCTGGTGTAAACAACATAGTTGGTAAGAGAGCCCGCCATGAATATAGCCATGCATAAACAACGTGTACCACAGGATTATGGCCCGCTATCTGGACACTCGGAAATCTTGGTCGAGCCGGCTATGGCGCAAGCTTGGAAGGAATGGTCCGTCGTTTATCCTTCTCCTCTCTGTTCTCACTCATCGGGTTGACCATGGTTCAGTGGCCATATACCTACGACGCCTGTGACGTCGGCACTGCACCAAATCAAACCTTTAATGGCCTTCCGCTCGCTGCTACTCAAGGCGGAGACCCAACCCAAGGCGGGGCCTTGTCTTTCCTCCCTGGCCAGCGGCTCTCGCGGTGCACTTGCAAGGGCGAATCTCACCCAGGTCCTATGCATTCAGATGGAACATATGTCGGGCGCGCCGCTCCTGAGATCGACATGTTTGAGGCACAGGTATGGTTCGGTTTATGTATTAATCGAACTGGGATCTGATAAACTCCAGATCACGGGTGACCCTCTTACAGGTCAGGTTTCTCAGTCAGCACAATGGGCGGTATGTGTGCGACATCGTATGACCTAAGGCAGAGCTCACGTATCCCTCAGCCTTTCAACGCTGGTTACATCTGGAAAAATACGAGCGATAACGAAATAATACCGAACCCGTCGCTCACAGTTCTAAATACCTACATTGGTGGGGTGGAACAGCAAGCTACCTCCGGCGTGACAACCACCAATGAAGGTTGCTACGAGGGTGAGACAGGGTGCTTTTCGGTGTATGGTTTCGAGGTTCGTTCATGATATCACATCGATCGTTCGCTGGCTGATCGTGCTTCAGTATGTTCCTGGCTTTGAAAACGCGGTTGGTATTTCCCATGGCGTTTTAAAATATCAAAAGTTAATTGATTTACAGTACATAACCTGGATAGCCAACAATGAAGTTGCATGGACACTGAACGTTGCTGGCATGGGACCAGATCCTACTGTCAACATTTCCGCTCGGCCTATACCGCAGGAGCCAATGGTATGTCTTTTTGCATTTCAAATTCATCATGAACTCACTTTTCGTAGTACATCATCATGAATTTGGGCATGTCCACTAATTTCGGTACTGTCGACCTGGATCACCTGCCCTTCCCTGTACACATGCGTGTGGACTATATCCGTGTATACCAGCCATCAAACGCACGTAACATTGGGTGTGACCCGAAAGACTTCCCAACAGCAGATTATATTAACACGTATGTTTCCTGTTCGCTTGGCTCGACGAGAGATTCTCATATCTGTCAGGTACATCGAGGCATATACTAATCCTAACCTTACCACTTGGAAGAACGACTATAAACAACCCTTCCCCAAGAACTCATTCTTAGGCCAGTGCTAGTTTTTTTTGCCTGTCATCACCACGTCTGCGACGTTGCTTTCCTATCCCTTCACTGTATCGGTACAACTGCACCTGACTTTAACACGTTCCCTTTCCCCATACTCACCCATAGCTTGTTTACATATTGCTTTTTGTCTACCGTGGCCTGCTTCGCCCCATGACTATTATTGCTCCTCATCTATTCGTCCTACAATCGTGCTCAACGCGATTCCACGGAATTCACTCACTGCATCATCATTTGTTGGTTAGCAAACCTATATACGCCAATAGAAATAGCATATTGTCTGTACACGAAATACGACAATTCATACATCGGCAAGCTTTGATGGCTCGCTTGAAGTGCGCGGTATCCCTATGCCTGGTAAAAATGAGCGTCTGTTGAGAACGAGACCTTTGAGTGCGCGTATCTCGCGGCGGATTTCGTCCACATCGGTGTTATTTGTCGTGGGGGAGCCGCCGATGCCGCGCATGTAGACCCCGAACGAATATGTCTGGGTGGCGATGTACCCGGTGAAATTTGCGAGTGTTTGAAGGGTTCGTTGTGCAGGGCGGAGAGGTGCTGTTTCGGTCTTGGAGAGCGGAGGGGCTGGTGCGTTACGGGGAAGCGCTGCTCGCAAAGTATCGAGAGCGACGATCATGGGCGGAGGGGGTGATACTATTGGAGGAACATATGTCCAGAGGAGGCTAGAGGGATGTACAGGGATAGACGAGGAAGAGGAAGATTGTGGTGAGGAGGAAGTGAATAGAGGTGATTTGTTGAGTGTTTGCCAGAGCTCATTCTGTGTGACCATATAAGTTCATGACGTTGAAGGCAGATGAAGTACGGACTTGATACTCAGCACCTTGCTCTCCCTTCAACCATGGAAGCTTAATTTCTAGATGGTTAAATAGATCCCCTGTGCTTATTCCCTCTGTGCTTTCCTTCGAACGAGTCAACTCCTCGATACCAGAACGCAAAATCGAGATATTTGGAGTGTCACCAGCATCCTCGTCGTCGATGTCTGCTTTGCGGCGACATGCGAGGATATCGTCTAGCGAATGGCAGTCTGCGTACTCTGGCTCCTCTTTATATATCATGGGTTTTGGTAGGTTGACAAAACATTCCGCTTGCTTCTCTTTGAATGTAGCGATGGATTTGTTAAGACGGAGCATGAGTTCGGACTGGTGCATACGGAGTGCGTGGCGAGCGTGGTAGGTTTGGGAGATTCTCGGCAGAAAGAACCGCTTCGAACGAAGGTCAGGTGTGGTTTAATATGGAACGAGTACACTCACGTAGTAGACGAACAGGACGAATGCAGAGCTACCGGCTAGCCACGTAAATATACGCACAATCCCAACGAGCATATTGGGGAGATTGGATGGAGGGGGCTGGGGATATGTCCGTGGTGGTACTGGTGGAGGCTACGTGCTCATGAGCGACCTGAATCCACGCCAGCTTGATCACTTTCACTCACGATTTCACGGAGCAGTGAATGGATCTCGTCCTGCGTAAGCCCCTTCTCGACGAGGAACGCATGTTTGGAGGTATCGTTCTGCGAGAGGATATGGGGCGTTGATAGGAAAGTGCGGGCTCTTGCTATTAGTTCTGACCGGTCGACGGACGGTTGAGGGGTCTGATCAGGTTTGGTTTCTGGTACTGGCTGCACTAGCTGTCTGTCGGTACCACTTGAAGAAGCTTGCGTTGAAGCCTCAGCTTTCTGATCTGGTTCCATAACACTGATATGTATGGGCTGCTGGAAGGGATGTTATTTATCACTGGAATGCCAACTGATGCCGCAATATGGGAATGTTTGTTTGTTTCTAAGGGCGTTGGCCAAACAAATCGAGCTCAACGTCTCAACTTTCATTAGTTTGAACAAATCAGGCTGCTGCAGACTAAGCTTCTTTCTTTCCATGTTGCGTCGGGATTTAATATCTTGAAGTCGCCAAAAATGCGCGTTATTGATGGGTCAATGACTACGAGATAACTGTACGTCAGAGACTTCGAAGGACTTCGGATTCCCGGGCCAGTACAACAAGTTCCACCTGGCAATGGGCCAACGAGTTTCATAGTCTCATAGACAGGCATTGGATCAGGTGAAATTAACGCGACACCACGACATGCAACATTCCTCGAGATGCTGGAGTCTTATCCTCAATGCAGCGATGATGTTGAACTACTTTGTAGTACGGACGCTGCTGTGCAAGCCCCTGGTGGGGCACGAGATGCGCTCGCTGTCAACCCCCTACTCCTATTGGTGATGGTTTTCCATGAGGTGAATTTTTATTTCTTTTTGCTCATTGTTTTTGCGTATCTGCTTACATTGATTTGTTGTTTTAGACACATCGTGTATCTTTGATCGTGACTCGGACCATATACAGTCTGTTCGATGTGATATTTTTGATTCATCTCAGTCAACGTCCCTCGGCGGGGCAGTTTTGTCTTCTCGTCAACGCTCTGAGTCTATTCTAAATGATGTTTTCTTGGGATCGTATTCCTCGGGCATTCGTTTCAGTCCTTTTTCGCCCGAAGTTGCACTGCTCAAAAAGGTGTGTCTTTTGAAAGGTCTAGATTTCGATAAGTCTTGTTCGTTGACCGAGCTATGTAACTCACTGTTGAGGCACTTACTTCATGGGCAGTGCGTTGCTTCGCATGCTCGAGCTAAGCATCGTGATTATACCGCTTGTTGGGAGATTGCTGCAGGTTTTAGATCGTCCTCTGATTTAGAGCATGTAAAGTGCCCCGAAGAGCGATGTATGCGATGCGATAAATTGTTTGACATAATTGGATACCGCGAACTGCCGAGACAGGTAGCGGGTTTTGCCACTTTAGCTGGCGCTATAGCTTATCATGAGTGAGATCCAGCGGAGAGTCGCCATAATTGGCGCCGGGTAAGTATCGCTTTTGATTTGACGGTACGCTAACCGAGCATTGCACCGCGCGTAGTGTTGCTGGGTTGACCCAAGCTATTGCTCTCAAAACCAAGCTTAAATTTCACAATTTCACAGTGGGTACATCTATGCAATGAGTGGTATGCTTGCTGAGTATTTCAATAGATATTTGAGAAAGGGTCTGAAGTCGGTGGAGTGTGGCGGGTACGTTTTTATCATGTACCAAACGTTTTCCTAACGTTCTTTTCCACAGGCCAACACATATCCTGTACATGTTATCAACGACTGAAAGTGCAACATACCGCTCACATCAAAGATTTTTTAGGGATGCTCGTCGGATCTCGACATCCATTGGTACAGCTTATCAACAGACCTTTACCCATACTGGAACAAGTCGCATGGCCTCCAACCGGAGATTCAAGCCTACTGGATTCGGCTCTCAAAGAAATATAATCTGTACCCGCACATCGCATTCAACACGAAGGTGTTATCTGCGGAGTGGGATGATGCCAAACAACAGTACACCGTCGTCGCGGAAGATACCTTATCGGGCAAGAGGACGATGAGTATGGCCCACGTCGTGATATCTGCCCTTGGTATTATGGAGGTCCCAAATATACCATATGAGATCCCTGGAGTTAGGAAGTTCCAGGGAGCTTCGTTTCACTCTGCAAAATGGCCAGATTCAATAGATCTGCAGAATAGGCATGTCGCAGTGATTGGAAATGCCTCTTCCGGGTGAGTTACACAGTACTGCGCATTCAGTGATGATTCAGACATATAACAAGAGCACAATTCGTACCATCTGTATCTGAAGATTCGTCTGTTGAAGTAGTAAACTTCATCCGCACCCCGACGTGGTTCCTGACTCGAGTGAGAACCTTTATGCTATGTTTAATGGGACGACAACTAAACGAAGCATATAAGCCACATGTTCCGTACTCGGACACTGCGAAATGGATCTTTGCTAACATCCCCCTAGTGATGCGATTGCATCGAGCTTGGATCATGTTCTGGGTCGGGCCTCCTGCATTTCAGAATTTTAGCTTGCTGACATTTGCTACAGTTCGTTGCTCCCCTTCATCTACCCATGAGTGATAAGGCTCTCCAGAAACAACGTGACGTGAGCCGGGGTCGCGAGACTGGGTATTCGGTCTAACACTTTTGCTTAGGCAATGTCGAAATATATCCTTGATAACGTACCAGATAGATACCGTCCTCATATGATACCTGATCATCGTACGTGTCTGATCAAAAGCTCTTGTTTGTGCTCACATGTTCCACAGCTCCAGGTTGCAAGCGGACTGGTTCGTCGGCGGCAGTCAAACTTGTGCGATATTCTCTTTCTCATTCCATTCCGTACAGTCGCGGACGGTGGTTTCCTGGAAAGTCTCCATCGCTCTAACGTGACACTGAACTTCGACGGAATCGCCGAGATAGTGGAGAATGGCATCATTACAAAAACCGGTGTGTGGGCCGTCAGGGACATCATCACTTTCCTCACATCAGTTTAGGTGAAACGTTGCCATTTGATGTCATTGTATACGCCACCGGATTCATCGGCGTGAGTTGCTATACATGATCCAACATCCATTGGATGCCAACTGCACAAACAGGAGCGGTTCCCGATGCACGTTCGTGGCTTGAATGGGGCCACTGTCCAAGGCTATTATGATGCACGCGGTGGCCCTACCGCATACATTGGGACTGCGATTCCAGATCTACCAAACTTTTACTTGATCAATGGTGAGTTCAGTGGGGAACTTACCATCATCAACTGTCACCTGAGGTGATAATCACAGGGCCAAATACTGGCACACGAACATCGGCGGTGTTCATTGCAGAAGTGCAAGTAAGTAGACTTTGATTTCTGTATCTTTTCACTCAAGTCTGTTGCAAGGTTGCATACATCCTTCAACTCATAGAGCCGGTCCTCACCGGATCTGCCTCATCTTTCACCATCAAAGACACACCCACAGATACATATAATGCCAAGATACAACAACAGCTCTCTCGCTCGGTGCATGTACACTGCCACTCTTGGGCGCGTACAAACGGCACAGACAAGATATTCTATCCGTTTCCTTGGCCTGCAACGGTTTGGTGGTGGTTACTCCGTAAACCAAATTGGGATCATTATATAGCAGTCGACGCCGAGAAATGGGTATGGGCAAGGCGAATCAAGGTTATTAAGAAACTTTTGAAATGCAGCGCAGTCTTTACGCTATTATGGTCATGTATCAGCCTGCGCCGCAGATTTGACACGATACGGTGAGTCAATCGTTGTTCTCAATGTCTGACAAATAAGTGATCTCTATTTTTAGGCAGGCGACTACCATGACTTGTGACTACTTGAGTAAATTCTCCCTCCGTCTTTAAGATGCCATAGGTCTACGAGACATCATAATTATATGAAGTAGAAACTGGATGGCTTGTCTCCTGATCTTACAATGAAGTTCGTCTCTGTGTGGAATTTGCACTTATTGGTGGGGAGCAGTGATGTACACGTGCGCATTCCGTATCAACTATTTTCGACTGACATACTTCATTGCACTGCACATAGTGGCGCAGTTGTTCTGCCAAAAGTAATGATCACTGGCACTAGGCCCTGCCTCGGACACACTTGTTATCAAGGGCACAGGGAGAGGTGTTTTAAATTCCAACAGTGCCGTGGAAAGAGCAAGAAGAAATCAGTCTCTATTTGAATCAGCCTGGATTTTGTCGAGAAATTTACAATAGTAAGTCCTGTGATCTCGATCAAGCATACACGTAATGAACTAACAAGTTGCACGTCGTATATACCAGCGATGGAGCAGCCCAGCAAGTTGGTCATCTTCGACGTCATTGTCAACATCAAGTCAACAGGCCTCAAGGAGCACCAACGATCCTTCAAACAACAAGATACTCGATGAAGACATTGGTCATGGCTTTCAACAGTTCATGCACAAGGGCCAAGACGATCCACGAGTTGACGCTAGAGGCCTCGAAGGGCACACCGACATCATCTCTAGTCTAGCACTTTCATTTGATATGCTTTAAGTTCTAGCGCTTCTTGGGACAACAACACCAAGGCCGCCAGCTCCTCGCCTTGTTCCACGTTCCAAGTCCCTTCATACTACACCACTAGCTTTAACGAGGTGGGAAGACACCGAGATTTTCATGTGCGACATTCCACACGATATTCTTTCGACTGTCTTGTCTGCACAAGAAGCGCAACCTAATGTATGCATTCATCTGTATATATCTATCCGTTCGTGCGCCAACATTCTCGTTCAGACCAGTGCAGCTAACGTCCTCGCCGGTTGATTGTCTCAATGTATGTGACCGACTATCTACCCACACCGTTCCACTCGATTTTATTACAACAGTCCAACGCAACACGTCGGGCCGTGCGTCGTAAACCAGTAATCTCGCCTGTCACATCGATCTTTCGCTTCTCGGCCGCTAGGACCTTTCCTTACAACATACCCACAGGAACGTGATTTCCTTCTCTACCTCCGCAAGCTGCTTCCTTCCCGCACAAATGTAGATCGGTACGAAATGCGCGAGAATGGTACTACGCACCACCGCTTTTTATCACAGATTAAATGAGGTTTCAACTCCTCATACTTCGTTTTTTTGGATCCTTGTTTGTTGCTCGGTGGGGCGAGCGTCGCTCTATGCTGGACAGTACACACGTATAGTAAGTTATGTGTGTGGCTGTTGTTTTATGACCTTTTCTTTCAATTCAGCGCGTTCTAGCTGGACCATCAATCGCAAACAGTTTACCCTCCGATCGGCTGACATCATGATATTTAACAGATGTCGATAACCGACGCTCAAAGAAACCATGCTTGGCCTCCGCACGGATTCGTTAGGCTTACAACGAGGACAAAACGATGAAACGTAAATAATTCAGTCACAAGGTATACATTCAGGGTCTTGAGATTTTCTGTCCTAAAATCTTCATTGCTCGAGCAGTAACATTTATTCAGAAGCAAGCGTTTCCGCAACGAACTACCCACGTGTGGTCCCATTAAACACCCTGCATCGATGAGAAAGCAGAAACACGACTCACTGTAGCTCATTAGACACAAATGTACACCAAGGGAGCTGGCTACCACGCTGGTGAGACAACAAATTCTGGATGACACTACTCATACTCACCTCATCAAACCTTGGGTCAAATTCTAGCAAACACTCATAGCCAGGGCAGCAATCTGAGCTTGTTTTGCAATAGAAAGGATATATATAACATTCACTGTCAGCACTGACAGTCATAGACGCTGTCAAAGCGGCGACAACGGCAAGGACGACTTTGAAGGAGAGATGCATTATGTGTGAGATGCGATATGTGATCTCGAAAATGAACCAAGTGGTAGGAAGACTGGGTGTCTTTACTTCCTGAGCACTATTCTACGCAGAACTTATAGCAGATGACATTTACCATGCCAGCAGATTGCTGACGGAAATTTGTAAAGCAAGCAGGCACTTCTCCTGAATCTCCTCAAACAAAACATGTTGGTCGAAATGCTACTTAATGAAATTCACGCGCACGCATGATAGCCGGCTAGATATATCGAATAGGCTACCGCCCGTTCGGTGTCCACCTTCAGCTGAGGATGGTATCTATCTGATACACGCTCGCTCCATGATTGGTTCTGCAGTATATGTTAATGATCGCTGTTTTATACTGTTCTGTCACCCCACTCATGCTATTTTCATCAGATGTTCTGACAACTCAGTGACGAGTTGCCCCGAGTCAGGCTTGCTCCATGATTGGAGCTACAGTATATGCTAATGATGTTCGCTGTTTTATCATATACTGTTTTGTCACCTCATGCTATTTCCACAGGATCTACAACCTCTTGATGACGGCAATCGTAGTTAAATCATCTTTACCAGCCGGAGCAATCTGAATGAGGACGAAGAAAGTGATTTTGTATTATGAAGGGACAATAAAACCCAAATGACCGAAGGTCCAGGTCATCGCTTGTATGCATATAAATTGATCCGTGTAACATGTCTTCCAGTATCGTTTTTATTGCTTGCACTATAACATCAACATCAATTTATCATATCATCGACTAGTACACCCCTCGGATTACTTGTCCTCACATGTAAGATACACGCATCAAGGCCTGCGCGTCATCAAGTGCGAGTGAATCGGCATCGGCGACTGAAGGTGCTGGACATCTGACTATCCACAACACTCCTCTCCGACGGCCCAATCGAGGTCGACAACAGGCGCCCACTTGTTGCCTCCCGGAACGAAGACCGCTCGTGCTTGACGCAGACAATTCACATATACACGCACACTCCAAATCACGCTCCACTCACCGCTGCAGACGCATGGTCCATTCCAGAATCAGCTCGTTGCCAAGACCAATTTCCCAACGAGCCTCGCGCAAAGTCATCTGATTTCATTCTTTCCCGTAGTTTGACTTTTGCGTTTAATGTGCGGAGGATGGACAAGGTGTAGAGCTTGCCTGTTTGAAGCAGGAATACTAGAACTAGACGGTTGGCGTTTGCCTGGGTATTCGTCAGAATGCGTTGGTATGCGAACAGACGTCAAGTGGCACCTCACGTTATGCGAGAAGCGCAGTACTGCCCAGCTTCGATGACAATGATGCCCTGGAAGAAAAACTGCATGAATACGCCGACAAGGATCGCACCGGGTGGCTCCTCGAGAACGTGTATGGTCCTATTAGCTGCAATATCGATGGTCGGTCGACTGGCGTCCAACATAATGGTCGATGCGTGAGATGAAGAACTGTTGAACTGATTCGTGTCATGGGCAGTTAGAATTCAAATCAAATTGTGTACATGGTATGGCTGACATTTCGTCATGTGCATAATATAAAATTATCACGATTCCATTGGACATAAGATAACAATATGTGCAAGACGTACTAGCGTAGGGACATAAAAGATGAAGGAAGGAGAGTCACGAGGATGGAGGTGGTGGTGCTAGTGCCTCAAGGTCTCTCCTATGGCGTAAGTCCTCCCAGATCGTGAGGTGTTCCTGCGTACAATGCATAAAGAGATCTTCAAACTTTGGTATCACTAACACATCCGGTTGTTCGGGTATCATACCCATATCATAGCGATCACTGGGAGAAACGATGAAGACTGTGGATATGCAGAACGAGGGTTGACTTACAGGCATCTGCTACAGAAATAACCATCAACTACTTCAGCGTCTGCCTCGTAGATCATGTAGACACATTCTTCAACGGATCGCAAATTATCCCCACTCGATGGGCTAGGGACCTTTTCTTAAGCAGGCGACGGTGTGACGGAGCTTGGCGAAGTTGGGTTGGAACCAACTGCAGTGTCTGAAGGCGTGAATGCAATCAAAGCCTCGTCGTTCGCAACGTCCACTCGGCCTGTTGAGGTCGCGCCTGTATTTTCTTGAAGTGGCGCAGGAAGCGAGGGTGGCGAAGTTGGATTTGAACCGACTATAGTGTCTGGAGAGGATTGTATTGGCTCAGGATTTACGTTGGCGATCACATCCTCAGGCGACTGAGTGGGTTCTGTGGTCCTCTGTCTCTTGATTAACACGTCGGGCCGCGCGTCGTGAACCAGTAATCTCGCCCTATGCTGGACACTGCAGTGTCACGTATAGTAAGTTATGTGCGTGGCTGTTGTTTTATGACCTTTTCTTTCAATTCAGTGCGTTCTAGCTGGACCATCAATCGCAAACAGTGTCCCCTCTGATCGACTGACATCATGGCATTTAACAGATGTCAAGGACCGACCGAAGCTCAAGGAAACCATGCTTGGCCTCTGCACGGATTCGTTAGGCTTACAACGAGGACAAAACGATGAGACGTAAATAATTCGGTCGCAAGGTATACATTCAGGGTTTTGAGATATTTCTCTGTCCTAAAATCTTCATTGCTCGAGCAGCAGTAACATTTATTCAGGAGCAAGCGTTTCCGCAACGAACTACCTACGTGTGGTCCCATTAACCACCCTACACCAATGAGCAAATGACTCACTGTACCTATGCACATAAGTACACCAAGTAAGGCTACCACGCTGGTGAGACAACAAATTCTGGATGACACTACTCATACTCACCTCGTCAAAATTTGGGTCATATCGTTCCACGCAATTATAGCCAGAGCAGCATTCTGTGCTTGAATAGCAATAGGCAGGATATCTAGAGCATTCACTTTCAGCACTGACAGCCATGGACGCTGTCAAAGCGGCAACAACGGCGAGGACGACTTTGAAGGAGAGATGCATTGTGTGTGAGGTGAATTAATTGGTAGGAAAACTGGGTGTCTTTATTTCCTGAGCACTATTCTGCGCAGAACTTATAACAGATGCCATTTTTCATGCCAGCAGATTGCTGACGGAAGTTTGTAAAGCAAGCAGGCGAACGTGTTGGTCCAAATAAAACTTAATGAAATCACGACGCATAATCCTCACGCGCATGGCCGGCTAGATATATTGAATAGGCTACCGCCTGTTCGGTGTCTACCCTCACAACTTCAGCTGAGTCATGGTACTTAACTTATTCAATTGCTTAGTCAGCGGTTTCAGAATTCAATACAATTAGACGAGACATCCGTCCATCCGTCATTCGTCACATCCGAGCTCGAGGATGTTGCTGCACTTAATAGCGACGACTTTTACTTCCTTCATCTACACGTCCTTTTTCACAAATGATGATGCAGGATATCGATAACATGTCATCTTTGGGATCGCACTCCACTTCACTGTCCCTTTATCATTTCCTTTGGCAGCGACAAGACCGGTCTGTCGTGAAGCGAGGGTTGAAATGTCATGCTCTAGATTTGGAGGGATCCAACGGGTTAGTTGGTTTTACTTCTTATGGTCTTGGAATCATACTGAGGCCAATACAGGGTATACCCACTCACCTTCGATGCCATTGATCTTTCTGGATGTCCTGGTGTTGAGTTACCAAACGGAGCGACTTCCATGGTCATCCGTTCAGAGTATGAATCACTCTTTGAACACATCTCCGCAATTGAGCGCAATTTCATAGTGCATGGATCGGCAGGTATTGGTAAGTCGAATTCCTTCCAGAGGCACTGCTGCTCAATGCAACTGACTATCCTTAGGAAAGACACATTTCTTGGCATACCTCCTCGTCAAGCGACTTCTCGCTCGTCAACCGGTGACGTATCAGATTGACCATTTACACTCATTCGTCATGTGCTTCACCGCGGATGGGTTCTTTATCCTCCCGCAGGAGAACAGCGAGTATCATCCCCTGTTCCAACGCGAAGATGTATGGCACCTCGTCGACAGCATGCATGAAGATCCCACCACGCACCCGAACACCGCACATACTCAGGCATTGATGTGGGGCACGTGTGGCAAGGCTATCTTCACCACGTTTTGGCCGGATAGTCTGGGCTTCAAAATTGACTGGTCACCTGGGTATGAAGTTTCTCTTCAGCGGTGGATGAAACCGTGTACATGGGACGAGATCGTTGCGATGAGGTAAATCATCATGTACGCATTCTTCGTGATGACTGACCACTTCCCTTAGTGCTCTTACTGCAAACAAGCACGAAGAGCACGATCCAGAGGCTCTGCGATGGTCTTACACTCATTTCGGGTCCAACGCGCACACTTGCCTACAAGTGTCTCGCCACCCCAGCCACGCTGAATATTACACCAATGAATTAGAGTGCACTCGCGATAATTTCTGGTTCCAGCGTCCCGCATTGCGCGAGCATGCAGCCCTATTCAGCCGTAGCCTCTTCGCCGTGCAACCTGGAGATACTCGCACAGAGCCACTGCCCTATCCGGTCTCACAATTTGCCAGCAGGCTCCTCGCAGACGGGATTGCCTCCTTTGATCCTTCTACCGCCAAGGACGCTGTCTGCAACCTACTTGACTCAGAAGACACCGAGGAGTCAGGCAAGATATTATATCGTCAGGCTGCGATAGCGCTTATGTCCAGGTTCGGAGGGGCTTTCGAGCTCTGGTGTCCCGACTCACAGGGGCATTACCAGCCAGCACACGAAGACCTGAATTTGCGTGGCAAGCTTGACCTCGAGAGCAAAGAAGGGCGGGCTATACTGCCCTCAAACTATACATACTCCACTCAAAGCGAACTTGCGGCGCTGGCCGAGAATTATCCGCACGTTCTTCACTCCCCAAAGCATGCGCTCGTACACCCAGGCATCGACGCGATCATGTTCAACGATAGCACCTCCACGGTCTGGCTTGTGCAGGTGACACATGGACCACCGCGCCCGATATCTCCCCAGGGTCTGCTCTTCCTGCTCAGTACCGTAAGAGGCACCGCCTACGAGCCGTCCCCCATCCGTGCTTGGAACCTCATAATCGTATCACGCGAGCAGCCGAACACAGACTCCTTTCAACTCAGTGGGTCGAAAAAGACGCAGTTCTTTCACTCTGTGTTCTGGGACCCACGCATCAAACCATACGTCATGCAACTTCGTGATGCGGACAGCTCTTCTAGTGAACCGTACGAGCAGTGGGGTTTTCCTTACAAGAACACATGGAAACACTCGCTCGGCCTCTCACGACGCCTCGCAAAACGACTGGTGGATTTTTTGCACAGACCTCGGCAGGAAACTGGACTAAACAGTGCAGATCAAGTGACTGCAACACTTTGGAGTACGACTATACAGACGTCGGGGGTACCGGGAGCTCAGCTGCTCGGGGAATTGACGAGAGAGCAACCAGTTGGCCCCAATGGGTTTCATACGCGAATTCCTATTGGGTAAAGCAGGAGAAGACTGGTGATAAGTCTATCATGAACTTGTAGAGCTATTATGATAATGTACGCAGCCAAAAGGATTCAACAGTGGTGGAAGCTCCTCTACATTTTTCTTGACCGAAGTTGTGATAACCGAATAGTACTTAGTCGAAGTCTGTCGAATTTCTTTTCTTTCTAATGTTGTGCTGGTCTTTTCTCTCAGGTACTATCTAGCATTAATGATGTATTAGTACTCACAAAGGTCTTTTCTCTTGGCATTCAGGCCATTGTTCATCTGCAAAACACCCAAGTTCTCGCTTAGGTCGCTTAAGCTGTCAAAGAAGTTTGATGGGTTACGACCTGCACCCTGAAGCATCCGATTGGTTGGACATGATCGATGTTTGCGTTATTCAAGTTGTGTCTTTGCACATCTTATCTTTACTTACATAGTAGTAGATAGTAAAGCTGACACTGATAATATCACATTGATCTACTACTAGTACTACACTGTTGGATAAAACGAACTACCAGAAATCTGTGTGCAATGAATGGTACCATTCCTTGTCTGAAAAACTGTTGAGATAAAAAGTATCATAAAGCTCCAAGGACGTTGCGGAAGTAACATCACAATTAACTCTTTCACCATATTCAGGGATCAATTCAATCGCATGAGTAACATCGACAAGAGGCACAATGATTCCAAGCCTCGCCTGTGTGCCATCAGGCCTAGTCTTAAACCGTCTCCTGACACGGTACATCATGACCACAGGATCATCCTGTGGACGCGAGATTACTTCAAAGAGTTGGATGTAAAGAAGTGGTTCAGCCAGTTCGGGAGGCAGCGTGGAGCCCCTCGTTGACAAGCCAAAGACCATTTGAACTTGCCCAACTACAACTTGATCTATAGGGCCAGGTGAGTATAACAAGGCTAATGAGATATTAGAATCTCACCATCATTCTGTGTCCGCAAGAGTACAACATCACAATTGCCGAGGGGGTAAGCTTGAGATGGTGGATATGCTTGAACTTGCTGACTTGGCATCACAAGACATGGGCGCAAGTCCGAATGTAACTGCAGACAGAATTTGTTCCAGACTTTGAGGAGACAGGTCTGGAAGTGGGGCCCAGGCCCATTGACATGCTCGATAAAGGAGCGGAGCTGGTCAGGAAAGCTTGGAAGCTGATATAACTGTGCCAAAAGGTTAGGTGACTTGTCGGCCAGATCGCTAGAGACGGTGACATGGAATGCGACAGTACTATCTTCAGAAAGAAGGCCCTTGAGGAAGTAATTACGAATGGGATGAGGGCCGTGAAAACGAGTGATGTCCTCAGGAGTGACACGTGCGATCCAACTGAACGCCGGGTCAATGTCAACGACTTCCTCAAATTCATTGTCGATTAAATTGTTGAGGGATAAGGTTTTTGAATGGAGGAGAGCGTAGAGGTCAAACTGGCGTGCTGTGTCTTCCCGATCCAAAAAGCGGACAATTTGCTGTGTAAAGCTTGCACGCTGGTGACTAGTGCACACAAAAGGACTTTTACAATGCGTGATCAGCATGCGTTCACTGGTCTTGGTTGTAAATTGGATTGGGGCGCCGATGTTAGGAATAACTCGAGCAAATGAAGAGAGGAGCTCAAGTTTGGGTATGTCAAAGTGCTCGATAGGACCAGTGGTCCCCCTGCAAGCCTCAGCATTGATGATTGCTCCTTTGAGGTGATGAAATTCTGCGAGCGAGGAAGTCATAGCAGTAATCGACGATGGTGTGAAAGTTGGTGATTGAGCTTGATAGATAAAATTGATAAGTGCACAAATTGCCTGAGTAAAACCTGGATCAGCAACACCCGCAATTGTGGCAACAATTGTGCGCTGAATATTGCGATGCTCCCGCCCGGTCATTTGCTGGACATGTGAGACACCTTGGGCAAAGTGGCGAGTTCCAATGCTCTTGTGCTGTCTACGAAAGCGGGAATCGAGCTCATCCGCCCCGAGAACCTCCTTGCACCACTTGAAGGCATGATCGAAATTTTTTTTATGGAGGGTATGAAGGATGTCGGGCACAAGGAACAACACAGGATCACTAAAGCACCAGTTTCACCAGAAGGGAAGTTGGACACCACTAAGGTAAAGTGCTTTGGCTTCCTCTTGGAACTGTTGGACTTTCCAAGGATCCACACATTGGCAAAGCTGGTGAAGCACTCCAATTGTGATATGCCCATGACGAGGAGGGTACAATATGCTGTCCCAAAATTGTGACTGAGTGGCTAAAGTAATAGGTGATACATTCTTACTGACACATGCAATCATCTGCTGTTTGGGGAGGTTGGCAGTGTATGCAACGAGGGGAGTGAATGCATAGCGTAAGTGACTGGACAGGTCCACCATGCTTGTGCCAGTCGCAGCGGCGATTTTCAGGTTTTCACACATGATATCTACACACCAGTGCCAGACACGGGCTTGCAAAAGTGAGCAGAAGTCCGGATGGCAAACAAATTGCGGGATAGGCATATAAGCAATGCATGACCATGCGTGCATAGTGGCTTTAATGCGGATATCTGATCGAATGTTAGCTGTGGTAAGGAACATTGGGTGCATCTCAAGTGCACCTGATTGGTGAGTGATGGGGGTTTTCTCAGAAGCGAGAACGATTGGTACAATAGTAGCACCTGGTGGAAGTTGGTCCTAAGAGCAAGGCAGCCATCATTAGGTATATTCCATAGAATAAAAAACACTATATACCTGGATCTTGTGAGCCCGTGAGCAGGACATCCATTCACTGTACTCTCGTTCTCTGTTGACCTTGATCTCATATGGATCAAACTCCACATTGTTGGCAAATATGGAGTTACCAAAGATATGCTGCATCACCTCCAAAGCTGTCGCACCAGATTAGGTGCACAGGATGAGTGGTGATGTAACCTTCAGTATGGATAGTCATACAGCGCCACTTTGGTCCCTTTGGCAAGGCATCCATGAAAGTGAACATTTGTTGGGCGGACTGTATATGCCAGTGGTTTCTGCATTTCTGACTTCACCTGCTCGTAAATCATTAGTGGTAATTCAACATTTGTAGCTATATCACTGACCCACAATAGCTTCAAAAACTGAGTTATTTGACCTTGGTTAAGATTGTCACTAAGAAATTTGGCTAACTTCCATTCCTCCCTGTCTGCAAATGGATAGTACACATTATGCATATGGTGAACCTCATAGTTGTGAGTCTTCATACGCTCAAATGTATTTGGTTTGTCAAAGGCATAGATAGATCCCGAGTTTTCATGATAACAAGCCGTGCGCTCCTCCCCTGGACCAGTGGGTTGGTGGATTGAAAGTGAGACAGGTATGCTGTTGCAGTGCGGATCATCCATCAAGTGATTGCACAGATCTTCTACTGACCTAAATTGCATTGCACAAGTGGGACAATTATACAACACTCCTCTGGCGACCAGAATCATTGCTTGGTGAGTACTTGAGTCGTCAAAAAAAGCACTTACTTGCCAGCCCTAAAAGATGCCTCATCAGATATAAAGTCATAAGGATCTGGTGAGTGATCTCTTTCTATGCTGAATGACATCGAGGGGATTATCAACGGAGTAGTACTGCTAGATCGATGACAGTTGCAAGTTTGCTGGCAGTCCTTGAAAATTCACTAAGTCCTTCAAACTCCAGTGACTGAGTTCAACAAACGGAATCTCACAGTGACTGGCCTGATAACACTTGTAAGTTTGCTTGCCACCTATCATGCCAGATGTTCTCATTATGAACTGTGGATATCAGAACCCCCCTAGCCCAACCAGCTCTGCAACTTACGTCGACTGTCCTTCTCCAGGTTACAAGGCTCTTATGGGCACCAAGGGGAAATTCACCTTGCCTGCGCCTGAGAGCGAGCCATGGATCTATGGCAGTCACCCATCCACTAGCATGTCAACCGGGATAAACTCTGAAATCTCTTCTGCTAGCTTTTTGGCTCAGGTAGGACTTATGCATTCATCCATTCCTTTATTATATCGTCATTAACAACTATATATTAGGCACAGGTCCTTTTAAATGATTCAGATATCCCTATGGATATAATAAAAGACGCCATCACAGCTCAGTTTGCTACCTGTGAGAAGCACCACACCCTCCTGATGTCGAAGATGTGGGAACTTGAGGAAATCAATCAGTGGAGGAGGTTCTTGAAACACACTGTTGCCACCTTGGAGAAAGAGCACAGGGCCACTCAATCAGGATTGAAATTATGGTTGGATTTCAGCAGAGAAGCAGATCTCGAAAGATTCAGCCCACACCATCCAGACCTACCGCAAAGAACAGGAGACTCTTAGTGCTGTATGCATGGACTTTGATAGCTTGGAAGGACTTGCTACTGCCCAAGGGTTGGCTGATTGTCACAACCCAATAACGAATTAACGCTGGGCAGAGACTAGGACTCAAACGAAGGTTATCGGACAAGAAAAGAGAGGAGCAGGTACGTCTTGGATTGCTACAGTTGTAGATACAAGAGGTTTGAACTAAAGAACTATCGACCAAGACATGCTAACTATATACAACTATTGAAACAGAGATTGAAACTGAGTTACAACTACTAGCCAATCATAAAATAGAAAAGGGAATCGTACCATAGAACATCATGGAATATTAAAGAAGCATCACGTGATCATATCTTATCTTATTGTATCTAATCTAATCTATTCACAATCAAAGAACTCGTCTTCTTCATCAGTCACATCGAAGACACGTGTTGTAGGCGCTAAAGGTATTTCGGGAATGATAGATGCTTTCAGGGTAGGGTTAGGGTTTGTCTTAGGCGCTGTATATTGGCGCTTAGGAAGATTCAGGAAAGAATAATGGTTTGTTAAAGGTACTCGTGACACTGATACACACTTTGTTCAAGAAGGTACAGGTGACAATGACTCTGATGAGGATTCTGTCATGACAGACGACGACGACATTGTAAGTTTGGTTCCTTCTCTCCATATACTCATTGCTAAATGTGTTCATTATTAGGCAGAGTATTAATATTATCAGTTGTGCTGAATAAATTATTGTTTGTGTGCATGGTCTCTCTTGGCGGGTCCAGTCACTGATCTGATTTGTATTTCTTCATCAGGAAGCGCTTGTTGTCTTAGTTGGATAATTCCAAGTTGTATTGGTTCTTCCGGACCAGTGTTTTGTAACCCTTGTACTATGACATTGTTATTACCTTTTTCATTGCACCTAGATTAAAGTCGCACTGATCGCCATGCCACGAGGCATGGTGCGTGATGATTATCTTTTCATGGATTATGTATTGGCACTGATCAGTGTGACTGTATCAAATGGTAAGACTAATTACGCGTTACTGATCATTATCTCTTCCCTTCCCTCTACCATGCCCCCCAAGGCTCCTGCAAAAAAATGGTGTCCGACACGAAGAAACGCAAAAGTAAGTGCTATGAACTATTATAAAGCTTTGAAGACACTGATTGGTATACAGACAATCAAAAAACCAGGGTGCAGATTGAACATCAACCCTTCTCTTCAACCCGATAGTAGTCAACTCGGACTTTACGAGGAATACATGCAGCCCCTGCAGTTATTCAATGACCTTTCAGCAATGGTTGAAGAACAAGAGGAGGATGAGGACGAGGATGAGGAGGATGCAGATGCGGAGAAGGAGGACCACAACAACAGCGATGAGGTAAACGACGAGCATGGGCTCCACCAGGAGCATTACCACCCACTTCCATACAACAATCCATCTTCGTCTCGGCCCTACCTTGAGCAGAACTATGGTGCGCCTCAGTCCTACAGTGCATCTCAAGCCTACGACCCTGGAGCTCCTCAACATTACCAGCCCCTCCCTATTACCCACCACTTTCCCCTCAGCCCCAGATGTATGATGGCCTGCTGCCTTCCAGTCCCATTTGTGACTTCCTGCCGTTCGACTACACACCTATGTTTGACAATCGACCTGAATCTAGCAATGTGCCATCATCTAGTTGGCAACCTGCTCGCACATCACTTGGTGTCTATGACAACTATCTGTCTCATGTGCCTATGTTCGACGACAACTATCTGTCTCATGCGCCTACGTTCGATGATCTCATACCTTCTGTGATCCAGGACCTCGAGCCCATTACGAGCTCGAGGTTCAGCGGTATTGAGCAAATGCGGAGAGAGCACCTTGAACGCCAACGGGTTCGGTGTGCAGTCCAAGCACGTATCAACCTTCCTGGAATCAAAAGAGTGTTTGTATATAACCCGCGCTGTCATCCAGCAGAGAGCCAACAAGGGCAGCTCATAACGACAGGCATAATCAGGGTATGTTTTCCAAATTTCTTATTTATACTCATATTTACATATTCTACAAATATAGCCCACAACCAAGGTCCTGGTTACAGTGCCGGTCCCCTCCCAATGACAACTACCACCTCCTTTCTGCCCCATATCCTCCACAACACCATCCAGCCCTCAGGGTGATGCTGACCTGCCCCAACAACTGACTGAAAAAGAGCGCAAAGAGTCGATGAAGGAGGCGAAGCATGTGATGTGCTGAAAGGTGATCCTCAGGAATGCAATGCTCACAACAGAGCAGAACACCCAGATGGCAGAGGAAGCATTTTTGGAGGCAGTGGGACGGGTAGCACCAGGTGTATCATTGACCACCTTGCAGATACCAGATCACGTTGAGTCCTGCAAGAAACTCTCGACAATCATGACCACCGTGTGTGGGGTCTTCAAGAAGGAGGCGCGATGTGCTCTTCCTAACCACTATTCTCTCACTATCAAAGCCGAAGACATGGGATCACTGATCGCTCACAGAGAAGCTACTGTTGCCCCACTTCTCATTAATCACACCTATCTATTCGTGAGTGCATTTTTTTTGTTCCAGGACTGCTAAACTAATTTCCCCCAGAAAGATCTAACAATTATGTCTCCTGTCAACCACCCCACCGTCATCGAGACGATCTACCATGCCCTCTGGACCACCTCGCTTCATGAATCACTCAACTTCGATGAGCTCGATTAGTTGTTCTCAATTGGGGGTGCTGCAGTCCATAGCACCCTACTGGAGTTCCAGGAGGGAGTCTATAAGTCAGTCCAATTTTCACCATCATCCTCGTCAGCAATGGAATACAAAGTCATTCAAACTCACAACACCATCATCTGGAACACACCCGCATTGCATGCCGCTTTGCAGTCTATAAAGCAAGATATGATTGCTCGAGGGATAGCTTTGCGTGCACGTTGATTAGGATTATAGTAGTACTGTAGATAATCTAGAGATGCAGCATCAATGACTTTAATCTTTGCTCTGATAATCTTTCAATCTCTCAATATAACTATTTTCTGCTAGACAAACTCAAATTCTGTAGCGAAAATCTTAACTGCTTGTGTACAACGTTAAGCGACTCGGGTAAATCAAAGTCCACTCAATGAGTAGTTTCAAGTTTTAGATGTTGGTTGTGTTTGAGTCGTGCCTCGATTCTAAGACATCTGTGTCACAAATACCTCTAATTACATACTTATAATCCTCTGAATTACATTGTTTCATGAAATTTATGTGTTTTTCCCCCGGGAGGTTTTTCCTGATGACTGTTCTGAATCTCTCCACATCACACCAACTAGGTGGGAAGACACCAAGATTTACATATGCGACATTCCACTCGATATCCTTCCGACTCTTGTCTGCACAAGAAGCGCAGCCTAATGCATATATTTATTTGCACATATCTATCCGCTCGTGCGCTAACATTCTTGTTCAGACAAGAGTAGCTAAAATCCTCACCTGGATAATTTACTCGATGTATGTGTCCAAACTTAATGCTATTACAGCAGTCCGACGCAATACGTCAGGCTGCGCGTCATAAAGCAGTGATCTCGCCTGTCACATCTTTAGCTCCCCGGCTGCTAAAACCTTTCCCCACAACATACCCACAGGAACATGATTTCCTTTGCTACCTCCCAGGCTGCAAGCTGCTTCCTTTCTGCACAAATGTAGATCGGTACGAAATGCACAAGAATGGTACTATGCACCACCACTTTCCATCAAAGATTAAATGAGGTTTCAACTCCTCATACTTTTTTCGTTTTTTTGGGATCCTTGTTTGTTGCCCAGTGGGGTGAGCGTCGCCCTATGCTGGACAGTACATACATATAGTAAGTTATGTCCATGGCTGTGGTGTTATAACCTTTTTCTTTCAATTCAGCGCATTCTAGCTGGACCATCAATCACAAACAGTTTCCCCTCCGACAGGCTGACATCATGACATTTTAACAGATGTCAAGGACCGACCGAAGCTCAAGGAAACCATGCTTGACCTCCGCACGGATTCGTCAGGCTTACAATGAGGACAAAACGATGAGACATAAATAATTCAGTTTCAAGGTATACATTCAAGATATTTCTGTCCTAAAATCTTCATTGCTCGAGCAGCAGCAACATTTATTCAGGAGCAAGCATTTCCCCAATGAACTACCTACTACATGTGGTCCCATTAACCACCCTGCACCAATGAGAAAGCAGAAACATGACTCACTGTACCTAGTTGTTGTCACATAAGTGCACCAAGTAAGGCTACCACGCTGGTGAGACAGCAAATTCTGGATGACACTACTCATACTCACCTCATCATAATGTGGGTCATTTCGTAGCATGCACTCATAGCCAGAGCAGCAATCTGAGCTTGAACTGCAATAGGCAGGATATCCAGAGCATTCACTTTCAACACTGACAGCCATGGACGTTGTCAAAGTGGCAACAACGGCAAGGACGACTTTGAAGGAGAGATGCATTATGTGTGAGATGCGATATGTGATCTCGAAAATGAATCAAGTGGTAGGAAGACTGGGTGTCTTTATTTCCTGAGCACTATTCTGCACAGAACTTATAACAGATGACACTTTTCATGCCAGCAGATTGCTGACGGAAATTTGTAAAGCAAGCAGGCACCACATCAGGGAATTGGCAAGAACTTGGTTTTTGTAGCTGTAAATGGTAAGTTTGGACCAAAAATCTACTGGATTATATCTGATGGCAAACAAATATATCCACAAAGCATAATGCTATCCAAGGACAAGCAAGTACAATACAGGCTTAACTCTGATGAACTAATATATGTTTCATAATCCCTCATAATTGTGAGGCCTGATAGATAAACCTTTGTAAGAAGTCCTGCATCTCGCTGACCCAGTGATCATCTATTGCATAAGGTTGACTTTGTTATGGCTGTTTGCAATTTCAATGACATAGCAATCGCGAATTACAAGACCAGTGTAATACTGATCCAGAGTGGTCATTATTCATAGTTGTGAGGGTTCCAGGGCAATGGCTTGTCACATGCTAGCAGTTTGCGATTGCAACGGTCATTCACTGCCTATGCGGAACTTTGTGATAGTTCTTTGCGCTGTGAACCAGTTAGTAATCACAAGTTGCAAAACTGACGTCACGTTGACACCAAATGATCTTTCCTCGTAGTTGTGATATCTCTATAGTAATGTCTTAGAAATACACTGGCTGTTATCAACAATAATGATCTTTGGTCACCTTATTTGCAATGTCCACCAGTAAGTTACCACCTACCCGACAGTGTCGGTGCGTGTGTGGTGAGTCAGAACAGGTCAGGCCTCTTGTTGGATATATTGAGAAGCTCGCATGTGTGGTACAGCAAGCATGAACATTTCAGATCTTTCGGGCACATGTTCTCACACGTCAGTAATGAAAAAAGTAAATGGTTCGCTGATTGGAACCAAGCCTGCCGCTCAGTGTCAACTTTGCTGACACAAAAGATTGACATTATACCACATATATTCTCAAACACTCACAAAATCAATAGTAGGTTGAAGTAGAGCTGAGATTTGTATCATAAGATAAGAACAGAGGCAATTGTCCTAAATAATCAGATCCATCTACTTTATTATAGCTATATATCACTTCATATGTTTTGCAGGTTCCACCAGACACAACTGATTAAAACCCACATTTATGGTAACAGTTGCACTAATCCTAAGGTCAACAGCCTTTTTCTTGGTCCAACAATTCACAATAGTTCCAAGAGCTCCACAATGAACCCCACCCAGAAGAAGGCACTGTTGGTTTTTCTTGTGTGGATGAGCCGGGCTCAGATCGCTGGCAGGGATATGATAGTGTTCGATTGCAGCGCCTGTGCTATTGGATGTACAGAATACAGCAACATGACCCTCCAGTGCAGGTCCATTCTCACCACAGAACGGGTCAGGACAAGCCATTGATACAAACTGTTTGTATAGCCTACTGTGGAGGAAGTTCAGCGACACCTTCAATAGTACATGGTATGTGAAGAATTTCAATGAAAATTCTTTCGACATCAACCAAGGCAGTGGGCCTGGAATAAAATAAATAGACATTGTGAATGGTGAAGTTGAGGACTTACCACTGTCTTGGGAGTTCTCTGCTTCAGTGTCCTGGGCATCAACGGTCCAGGGGTCTTGTATCGACGAGGTGGGATTGATACTCAATGTAGAGTCATGTGTCTTATCAACCTCAGAGCTTGCGGACCAGGTAGACCATTCATTGAATGGTGATGGACTGGGACCTGTGAGAGAGACCAACGAGCTGGAAGGATTTTGTTCTTGTTTGACGGGTGGGGTAGTGGATCGAGGCGGCAGTGCCAAGTATGATCGCCTCCTCATTTCACAGAATGAGGCTAACTCTGGGCCTTCGAGCATCGCACCATTGAGTCTCATTCCATACCTAAATATTGTGAGCTTCAGAACAACTCAAAATAAAAGTGTCTCACCTGGTAGCGACTTCATACAGTTTGAGTTCGATGCGCTGCTGCCCATGCACAGCAACAGAGCAGGTCTCAAAGGAAATAGAGTAAAGTGTGGCTCGATAGCCTTTCTGATTGCCACTAATAATGAATACTTCATGGCCAATATCGTTCTGAAACAAATCCAAGAAGGCATTGCGTATCTTGGTCACAAATCTGATTGGGACACAGAGCTATTACATGTGTTAAATGTGTTCGAGATGAGGCGAATTGTACTTACAAGCGATTGGTCACCACTACATAGTATGGTCAAACAAGTGTTTGGAATATCAACGCTGTGCACAACCCCTTTTGCCTGATACTCCGGTCCACGGGCAACAGTCACAACGTCTCCAGGCCTCACATCATAACCCTTGTCCTTTGTGTACTGAATAGTGTGGGTGAGGCTCATTCATTGAACCATTGCTACAGGAACTGAAATACTGGCAAGTCCAGAGCTGGACTCTCTGCCATCCTCAGTGAGGATATCCTGGAACCATAGATTAGTCGATCCCTTGCAATACCACTCCACAATGCTGTGTTTCCCCATGTGCTTGCCATTCAGCACTTCTATGTGGTCCCCAATTTCGATGGAGTCGGACTCGGGGGAGGTTCAAGATATTGATGCATTGGTAGCTGCAAGTGCATAGTGTGATCCAAGGGACACTGATCCAAGTAGTACTTAGAAACTTCCACCTATATTCAAATGTCAGACAATTTTGCAGTTTTGTGACATCAGGAAAAAACCAAAATGGTGGGAGTACTAGTGACAGTTACATAGTCCTACATAGCTACAGTAGTGATATATAGTCAACCAAGTTACTCTATAGTCCTATGTAGCCGAAGTGAGGGCTATGCAGAGCTACCAGAGGTGCTGCGAGTGACTTGTAGTCCAGTAGCAACAGTAGCAGATCATAGTATCACGGAGCAGTGTAGTACTAAGTAATAGCGGAAATACAAAAAGTATCTAAGTCAATGAATGTATTCAGATACTACAAGCTACTACAGTATTGCCTCGTAGTACTATGTAATACTACGTAGTTGCCTTACTGGCTATATACAAGGCAGGTAGCTCCCGAGCTCTGCTGACTATGCTGACTATATAGCACTATATAGTCAGCTTGCTTTTTCCTGATGGATTGTGCCAGACTTACCTGCTTGTTAGAGATATTTTGACAGATGTCAAATATTTCTTCCTGCATTTGAATGATGTGCCCTTCTAATCCAAAATATGGACCAGCTACAACTTTGATGGTGTCGCCGACCCGAAATACTTGTTCTATGCCTTCGAAACGAACCTCTATTTGTTCTGGACATCTATCAAATGCAAATTTCAGACTTGCGGAACCAACTGTATGGTCTGTCAAGATAACCTGACCTGACTCTCCATGAAGAGGGCCTTCAATGACCCTGGCCCAGTCGCCCATGCGCAAAAATTGCATCAAAAACAAGACCACAGTTTTCTTCAGAAACGGTTTGTCCCATCCAGATTGGAGATGGAGTCGAATGTCGTCGATGTGAGGGGAGGCAAGAAGTTTGAGGTTATTGTGGTGGAAGTCTTTCAGTAAGAGACCCATGTAGTAGCTTTGTCCTTCATATGTCCATCCTACTACTTCACCATTACGAATGATATCAGAAACAGCCTTATTGGTCGGAAAGCGAGATCGATCGAGCAGCGCTTGAGTTCCCTGAGGCATTGAATAGGGGAAGCCCAATGGAGGAACCAAGACCTTGACAGAACTCTCTGTCTGGGACTCTACTTTGCCTATGTAGCCCCTGTGTGGGCTGTGCCTGATCCTCACCCAAGCAGGGCTAAGAGATTGGAACAGTGAACCTTCGACGGCTTCACATTCTGCTTCTGTGATGCGAAGACATTGCTTCACAGCAAGACTGTGTGAGGTAGGCAGTGCTTCACAGATCGTTTTGGGGCTATCTGCGACTATGTAAAGTTGCCCTGCTACCCAAGTTGATAAGCTAACGGAAAACTTTTGGCTCCGAAGGTGTTCAGCAATATATTCTGTAGCAGTTCCTGTGATGCAATGAGCGGTATGCTAAGTGATGCAAAATAAACATACTTTGAATATCAAGTAAATACATCTTGCTTTCGGGTGCCAAAATGTTAGGTAAGGATGATGGGATCGAGGCCGCTTTGGAAGTGAGAGCACAGTGACCTTGCGACAAGCGACGAGAATTCTCTTCTAACTTACTGGCCTAGTCATCGAATCTTTTGGCCAATCTCTCTTTCGCCGATGGTCCTGACATGCGTATAGCCATCTGCAACCATTCAAAGTCACCATCTTTATCCTCCTCATCCTCATCTTCAGAAGCTTCGATGATGATATATGGATTGCGAATAGACTATGTTTCCTCTTTAGTATATATGTTACGACTTGGATGGTATCTGTTGGCGACACTCAAACAGAGCGTGTGTCATCAACGGTCGAGGACGTCCTTGGGCTAGCCCAAGGTTAGGGGTCTTACTTGGCGAGGCTTCGGCAAGTAAGATTTGACGCCTATGTCCAAATCGGGTAGCTTATGTCAAGCGGGTGCGAGACGATAAGCTATATCGGCCAAGGCTTACAACACCCGAAGGTTAATCGTAAGATCGTCATTAATTAGAAGGACAGAAGTCCAACTAGTTAACAGGGGCTTTGCTCGTTCAATGAAGTCGATGAGTAAAGATCGAGACTATAGGCTTATCTGCGAAGAGCAGATAAGAAGATAGAATATAGACTGCTGGTGAGGCAGAAAGGATCACTCTGGTGAGAGTAGGAGGTCAAGAACCAAGTAGATTCAAGTTAGGGAATATGGTACATGGTAGCGAGTTTATATAGAGGACAGGAGACATATTAGTGGGTGATAACTCGTACTACCAAGAGAGGCAAACAGTAAAGGGTGTAACCATAAAAGGAAAGCACATTCGTGTTGAGACACAGGGTGAGGCAGAACGTGCTAGATAAGAAAGTGAGTCAAAGATCGAAATAAGAAGTGAAACGCGCAGGGGCATGATTGTGCAGCTGCGGATCTAAGTATAAGTCGCATGTGCGACTGCGCACTGAGTCAGAGATCAAGAAAGGGAAAAAGGGCAAAGGGGATGCGTCGTGCATCATATCATAGGTTACCGTCTGGACAGTAAGGGCAAGGGGACTGTCCACAGGATCAGTCAGGTGGAGGAACGGAGCATGGGTATGCTTCGTCAGCAAAAGGATCCAGCCAAATGTACTGGCTCTGCTGGAGCGACAGGTAGAGGGCAAAAGGGAATGCGAGAATGACAAGGATGACGAGGGTGAGGTCGGGGTAAGGGTATGACACGAGGGCTGATACGAGGAGGATGAGGAGAAAAATGGTAGGGGCCCAAGCATCTAGATGTTCTTGTAACAATATACCATTATCAGCCATGGTATTTCACTTACTTTAGGCACACAAGATTGCTTTTTGCATGAGCTTGACAATTGGCAGCTGTCTGTTCTCAATATAGACATGGATACGGAAGTGTCTTTTGGTGCAGGAGAGGGGGGAGCAGGGGGTACGTGCCTGGCCATAGCGATATTTTTGGATACCTTACGCGTTTGCAACAAATTCACTGTGCTACCTGCTGCCGAAAATTCTATACATACCCACAGGAATGTGATTTCCTTCGCTATCTCCGCAAGCAGCTTCCTTTTTGCACAAATGTGGATCGGTACGACATGAGGAACCTTCTTTTTCAATCCACCGCGTTGCTATGGTGCCGATCACTTAGTGACCACCACTTAAGTGCAGTGGCCAAACTGACCTCCAGTGACCGATAACATAAACCCTAACCCTAAGTATGATTGATACGGGCTGGCGACTGCGTGCGGATCCTCTGACACGGCTCCTTCGATCTTAGTGCCCCATAGTTCATGTTACAGTAGAGACACATACACAGATGCTTTGTGAATATAACTACCAGTCTCCATGTCCACCTCCAAGAAGCTTGCTGCTGACGGCACTTTCGAGACATTGAAAAAGAATATGCCCTTAGTGATGCAGTCTGTGCAGCTCTGTACAATCCGACTGTGGGAACATTGCATGCACCACTGGATGGAGGCATATTGGACAGGCCTGGGGACGAAAGATGCTCAATTTCACGTCAAGCAATTTAGTTCTACTAAGTATAAGTCACATAGACGTGTTCCTGAGGCAGTGGCATGTACTTTTGACTGATGGGGAGTCGTAGTTCTATATGTGGCCAAATCAGCATCTTCATGAAAAAATTTCTCGCTCAAATTTGATCCAATTGAAAATTCCTCTTGTAGGTTTACTCTACTCGTTGAAAGGATCGTTTCTGCAAGAGCATATAAAAATCTGATATTTTTTCATGGGGGTGGGAACCTTGCACAAAAGTAGTGGTATCTAAGTGATCGGCACCATAGCTGGACCATCAATCACAAATAGTTTCCCCTCCGACCGGTTAACATCACATCATTTAATATATGTCAAGGACCAACACTCAAGAAAACCATGCTTGACCTCCGCACGGGTTCGTTAGGTTTACAACGAGTAGAAACCGATGAGATGTAAATAATTCAGTCAAAAGTTATCCAAATTTTTTAGATATTTTTCTGTCCTAAAATCTTCATTGCTCAAGCAGCAGTAACATTTATTCAAAAGCAAGTGTTTCCGCAATGAACTACCTACGTGTGGTCCCATTAACCACCCTGCACCAATGAGAAAGCAAAAACATTACTCACTATAGCTCATTCGATCACACACATGTGCATCAAGTAAGGCTACCACGCAGGTGAGACAACAAATTCTGGATGAAACTACTCATGCTCACCACATCAAATGTTGGGTCATTTCGTAGCACGCACTGATAGCCATGGCAGCAATCTGCCTTTGATTTGCAACCACCATATGTGGAGCATTCACTGTCAGCACTGACAGCCATAGATGCTGTCAACGCGACAACAATGGCGAGGACGAATCAGAAGGAGAGATGCATTATGTGAGATGCGACTTGTATGTGATGATCTTGAAAATGAATTGATTGGTAGGAAGACTGGGTGTCTTTATTTCCTGAGCACTATTCTGCGCAGAACTTATAACAGATGGCATTTGCCATGCCAGCAGGACAGAAATTTGTAAAGCAAGCAACTACTTCTCCTCCGAGTCTAGGAGCGCAGAAAACCAACTTAATGAAATCACGTGCCACGCGCACAATCTTCACACTGATATATCGAATAGCCGCTGGTTTGGTGTCCACCTCGTCATGCTAACACACACTCTGATCCTCTTGTCACCGTGACCCGTCTCACAGCTTAAGCTTAAGCTGATATGATATCTATCTGATGCTTTCGCTTCATGATTGGAGCTGTGGTATATTCTTTGCTGTTCTGTCACCTCATGCTATTTTCACAGGTGACAGGAATTACAACCTCTTGACGACGGCAATCATGGTTAAATTATCTTTACTGGCCGGAGCAGATGAGGACAAAGAAAGTGCAGATGTAGTATTGATTTTGTATTATGAAGGGACAATAAAACCCAATGAACGAAGGTCCTGGTCATCACTTGCATGCATACAAATTGATCTGTGTAACATATCTTCCAGTTAGGCTCGTGACCAGCCTGGCGTATACTACCACGGATGCTCAAGTGGCGTAGCTACACTACCAACTGCCACTTTGGGCGTAACCGAGAAAGTGAGAAAACTATGCCGTGTTCATGGGAACCAGCTGTGTCGTGTGTCTTATAGAGCTTTATGTGACAAATTAAAAATTTATCAAATAAAGGGTACAAATCCGGGATGTGTCAGGGAATTTGTCCTGATCTCCTACAGAGATAGTAAGAGGCTTTGTATACATAAATAATATCCTGTACAAATGTTGCATGGCAGATGTATGAGGAGGATCAGCATGAGTTATGTGGTCAGGGTCCGGGCGTGAGATATTGCTGAGACACCTGCCAGATATCCTACAGATATCTGAATGCCACCTACCAATTGAGCTCTGTCTGCACACAATAATACTCGAAGCCCCTGCAACAGCATCACAATGTCTTCAACCGCAACAGTATTTCTGTTCAAGTCCTCGACATCATGGTAGCTATTTGATGAAAGAAATGATAATTGGCATTGAGCATCATAGTGACGGAGCACAATTGTGAAGTGAGGTATGTACTACATGTGCATAAATATCCTGCCTGAAACTACATTGATCACTACTACATCATGATGAAATCAGTCATTAGCAATGAGGGAATAAGGATAGAAGAGGGCCGCATCCCTGCAAAGTGCATCCCAGATCTCACTCAAGTCCTCAGCATCTCTCTCATCACCTCCCCTTATTAAAAAGATGTTGTTGTTGTCGACATTGATATTATCATCTGAGGTCTCCAGCCACTGCTCGATGAATGCGCCTTCCAATGGAATGCGGGGATCCCACATATGCCAGGTACCTCTTGGGAAGGAGGGGAATGCAGCTATGAACGTCAACCAAAATATATCACGTCCCCATGTCCACTGTGGCAATTCCATATCGACTTCGATTAGCCATTTTTCGATCCAGTTTGGATAGCAATTCCCAATCAGTCCGCTTGTTATAGTTGAAGTGTGATGGAAGAGGGAGGAATGGAATGGGAATGTTGTTGGCAGGAGAGACAGAGTCATCGGATAATAGTTCAAAGTCCTTGACAGAATGTAAGTTGTATACAGCGAGGAGATCAAACACACTCACATCATTTACAGGACTTCCAGGAAGGGAGTGCCAGCAGTCCAAGGACATAGTTTGTACAATGGGCATGGCGAAGCATCCAAACTCTTCGGCGATTGAAACTGATATTTCAATAGGCTGCAGCCAAACGATGTAAGTGCATCTTGTCAGTTGCCAGTGGAAATCGCACTGACTATGGCCTGCTCTATGAGATGCCTTGGAAGTTTTCCGAAGAATTGAATCGCGAGAAGCATTGGTTGGAGTGTAACATCGTCCGCATCCTTGGATTCGACACCAGGATAGACTGTGGAGTGGTGCGTGAGTACGCTAGACATATTGAATTTGTTTGAAGCTCAAGGAACTGTTATTGAGGATGTGAGATTTCGGACTTTGCAAGAATTCACTATCGTGCACCATGTGACTTTACACTCCATTGGTCATCACAAAGACTCAATTCCATCCATGGTGCACCACAATGATCTTGTTGACGGTACAAGTAAGTTGGTCATTCTATTGCTTGTTATTATCTACTGAACTTTTTGATAACTGATACAGTTCTACAATTCTGTGACTGACACCCATAAACGCATCCTCTGCATATCATGCCCCAGGACATTATCTGGTGCCTATCAGTACCATGGAGCTCCGCTTTGCCAAGAAACATATAGAGTCAGTAAGGCATGAGCATCATGTTGAAAAGGCCAGGAATGGCCAGACGCCATCTTCGAATCCTGTTTTCAAGGCCCAGCCGATCAAGAAGAGTCTCAAAAAACCCAATCAGTTCTATCATGGGGTTAGATGGGCATCCATGACACCCCCAATACGATGGACTTGGAGATCCTGTTGTCCGAGTTATTGGATGATATCGCCAGAAGCCGAACAGTTGAGTTTAGCGAAGGTGTTACTGATGTCTTTGCCAAACTTCAAGAAACTCTCACCTCTGGGCAAGTTCCTTTCTCAACACCACTTGCTCCCATCACCGAGGACGACGAGTTAGTTGATTATGGCGCACCTGATTTTGGGATAGAAATTACGGGTACGCATATTGTTTTCTCCAAACTGTTTTCATGTCTAAAGGCATTTACATTCACAGATATCAACTTTCCAGAAACAAGGGCTGCTATTCTCGATACAAACAGTCCAACATATCCTTGGCCTTCAAAAGCAGTGAGCACTTGTCCCTCAGTTCGCATGATGAATGCTTACACTCTCTCGAGGATTTTGTGACTGCCCTTCTGTTCAGCTCCCCACATCTTCCCTTTTCTGATGCCCAGAAGAAGGCAACACTCAACTGGGCCAAGGAACTTGGCGCATAAAATGTGCCCTTGCTCTATGCCATCAAGAAGTGTCAGAAATTTGTTGAAGATCTCCTCGGTCAACCAACAGAGAAGGTTACTGCTCGGTCTGGGAACACCTTCTATATCAATAACATTGCAAAAGCAATCTCACATGTATGTTCAATTTTGTTTCGAGTTTGAGTCGCACTCATCATATTTTAGGACTATGGAAACCCACTCACTTGCTTTGCGATGCAAGACTATCCTGAAGATGGCAGGAAAGGAATGTCTCAGGTCTTTCATGGCAAAAAGATGCTGCTCGATCTTCCATCTCCTCCAGCATTTTTTTCATCAATGAGCTGTTGCAAGATACTTCGGGAGACTACTTCATCCCGGAGCAGTTTTTTCCTCGGTTCTTCGTCTGTTGACGATGATGTTGAACATTGCAAGAAATCTGACACCAAAATTCTATATGCCCTTGGTCAGGCTGTTCAACGAACTGATGTACGTGACCGTCAGTTTTTGTATGTGCTTACTTTGACCACTCAATAGGCAGGATTCATCGTCAATGATGAACAGGAAATCATCCCGACATCAATGTTTGTACGGTCATACGAAGACATTGCGTCAACGGGAGAGCTCTATTGCGGTCTCACAGGTATGCTAAAATATTGGTTTATTGATTGTAACACTAATCCTTTCAACAGCCTCTTCCGTCCAGTACGCATCACTTGCGCCTAACCCACTGCGCGAAAAGGCACAAGGCCGAATGGTGTATGCAGTCCCATTAATAATTTTCATGGATGACGTCTCGGGCAACATCTCGAAACAATGGAATAAGCACCATGCGGTCTACATGTCAAATGCAAACCTACCGCATGAGATGCTTGAGAAGGAGTTTTTTGTGTGCTTTGTCACATCCTCTCCCCATGCTGCACCAATGGAACTGATGCGAGCGATGAAAGACTCGCTATGGTATGTAGCCTTCTGGATGTCATGGATCCATTCTGACTGTTCATAGTGATGCAGCGGACTCTGGTATCATCGCTTGGGATTGCAAGGATCAAGAGGAGGTGATGCTGATACCATACGGGTTATTCATTGCTGGAGATAATCCAATGCAGGCCGAAGAATGCAGTCATGCTGGCTTCAATTGCAATTACTTCTGCCAGACATGCGATGTTGGTGGTACAAAGGAATACAAGACGTCTAACGAAGGTTATAATAGCATCTTTACTGTGTGTGCGCATCATACTATCTTCAAACCGAACTGATCTTATATTTGCAGTCGGGAAACTTACGAACACCTGAAAAGACAGCCGAGAGTATACAACACCAGTTTGACGCTGCTATGAAACCGGGTGCCACGACCAAAGTACAGAACACTATGTCTTCCACTGGCATTCGTGACAGTGCTTCAGCATCCATTCTGGAATCATTGGTTGAACTAGGCAAGAAACTTCGTAAGCGTGAGCCAGGCTCCCAAGCAACATCTGAAAGCGAGGTTATAGCAGCACTTGAAAAAGAGTTTGAGGAACAGTTGCAAGGCGCCATATTAGATGATGCCATAAATACGTTGCTTGGCATGAATGGTATGTTTGATCTGTATTGTTGATATCGTGCTCATAGTATTGTATGGTAGGAATCAGTATGCACTTGGACATGCCAACCGAGATCCTTCATACAATTTTGTTGTGTGTTGTCAAATACTTTTGGGGTCAGACTGTGTTTCTCCTTGAGAAAGCAAAGGTCCTGCATATGTTTCAGAGCTGACTCGAGTCTGTTGACAGTGACAGAATGAATGCACCCTCCCTGAATGCCGACTATATATGCCACTACAAAGGAAGTTGTTGGAGATTAGAGAAACGAGGGGGTGTGTTGGAGATTGAAGAGTTGAAGGGCATTTGTTCTTGATCATTGTTTCTCTACTTTTGGACTGATTAACATTATGATAGAGTCGAGGGCACAACCTCGCCACTTCATACCATATGGCTGTTACTCCGCACCACATGGCTACTACTTCGTATCATATTCAAGCTCCATCGTCATTCGCATAAGTATCTTGCGTCCTCATTGTCCGTGTACCTCAGTTGTTGTTCACCAACGCTGAGGTACGTATTTTTGTCTTTCTTGCACACAGTTCTTGTACTCATTTAAAATACTCTAGTGTACTTCCTACAGGTACTTTGAACATATTAATATAGTTGTTGTTCACCAACGCTGAGCGTACTTCCTACAGAAGTCTTATTGGGAAACACTTCAAGAGCTTGGCGCAAGTAATGCCCTTCCTAGTCCACAATCTTGTTCCTCGGACAGTTCTCAATGGATGGACCATAATCGGAGAACTTGTTGCACTCGTATGGCACACGACAATACCAGACACTGAAACGTATCTTGTTAGTTCATACCGAAGTCATTCAAGGCACTGTAAAGAGTAGATCTGGTCTGGGCTCCACTGAATGTGAGTCCCTAGTCCTGAGGGATGCGAGTATGCTTCGTCCCAAGAGACAACCTAAAAACTACCTTGATAATGCAAGGGAAGTCTTACACAGTTAGAGAGTAGACAATATATTGGAAGAAAACCTCTTCAATGCTCGTCCGTAGTTCCGAGACTACTTCCGAAGTACCGAGAAACTTGTCCGATGCGACCAAAGGTCGTCTGAGGCTGCGAAAGTGTTGTCCGAAGTAGCGCAATGCCTTCTGAGGCTTGCAAAAGCTGTCCAAAGGTCTATATATGTTGGTGTGTCGATGTGTCGGTATGTCGGTGTGTCGAATAACAGTATAAGACTTTTGCGCAACGTCCGAAGTCCGGAACAATGCTAATCTATCGGGGCTCGAGAATAAACGAAGTGTGAACTTGGCAGCGGTTTAGCTAGACAATCGTTCCGAATGAACTAGGATCAATTGCGCAGTTTATGATTATACCGAGGTGACTCTACTAATTACTACTTCGAAGTACGGGAAGTGAAGTGCCCTATCAGTAGCCAGCGAGCGAGATTATATCCTACTTCCGTGAGAGGCCGGAATCCGTAGGCAAAACTAGTAGCGAGATAAGCAAGTCCGAACCTATGTAATAAGCTGCAAGGTATGCAAGAATACAAGTATACATGTAATAAGCCGCAATGTGTGCTGCTTATATGTATTCCTGAGGCTCCTGACAGGATGCCGATGGGATTGTTATCCATGTAGTACTAAGACGTAGTCAACATATAGTCAGAATAAAGGAAAACACACCAGCGAAGTCAAAAGGACGAGGATAGGACATGGTATGGTAACTTGCGAGGTTCGGACGGGTCTCAGAACACAAAAAACTGCCTGCGGAAGGTTCGGACAAGTGCGCGCAGCCTTCAGAAGGTCAAGGGAGGTCGGGGAATGGTATAAACGTAGGTATTGGATTGCCTGGTTTCGAGCCCAGCGCCGCAGCCATCATTACATCTGCGGGGGCCTTAAATACTGACCGTCCTCGGTCACCAATACTCGAATAGACTTAGTGAAAATTCTGTGAATTTGGGTGCACATGACTGAAGTTCCAAAAAGGGAAATAATGCGGGGTTCGGTGGTTCGGCAAATTGCGAGAAGTGGACGGAAAAATAGAAGTCCGCTGTGGTGAAATTGTCGTTCTCTATAAAGTCCCGGTCCTTTCTCGCCACTCGTTTCTTTCCTTAACTTTTCACATCACTATGTCCTTTTTCCAATCCTCTGTCAACCCAGATGCCGAGCGCATCATGCACACATTCCTTGCCCTCGTCATTGAGCTCGACCAGCTCTCAGCGATCATTCCGGAGGAGGACACTCCCTTCCTCGACAAGGAAGTTTGGTGCCGTGACTGGTCCAAATTTTTCGTGAGTACTTGCTTCCTCAAGAGTTTCCTGACAATGCTGATGTCCTTTTAGGATAACTTCTCCTCTTGCCAGAAGGAGGCAAAGGAGAAGGGCGTGACTCTCCTGATGTCTGGCGAGATTGCTGCAAAGGGCGATGCCTGCATTGCCGCCCTTCCGAAGGTTCAGGACGCGGTTCGTTTGATGAAGGAGGAGGCCGCCAAGCAGGCCGAGGCGAAGGCTGCGGAGGAGGAACGGGTTAGGCTCGCGGAGGAGGAACAGAGGAGGTTGGCAAGCGAGGAAGCGGCGAGGAAGGTTGCCAAGGAGGAGACTACGGCACCAGATGAGGAAGAGAAGGAGTCGTCCGAGGAGGAGGAGGAGGAGGAGGAGGAAGGTGACACGGAAGCATCGGGCGATCAGTATGTTCGTCCTAGGGTGAGTTTTTCCTCTTTCTCTTTCCTTATGCACTTAACATTTTTTTTCCTCAGACGGGTCACATGTCGACCAAATCTACGCTGGCAATCCGGTACTCTAAGCGGTGTGCTCGCTGCGAGTGGCAGAATTCCGCCTGCTTTGGTTTGGCGGGCCAGAGCTGCCAAGCGTGCAAGAGAGTGCACGTCCGGTGCGAGTACAGCACCACTCCACCTAGTAAGTCTCTTCCCTTCTCGCTTACTCTTACTAACTCTTTTCTCTAGAAGGCAAGAAGGCTGTGGCGGCAACTCCGGCGCTGGTCGCTGGGCCTTCTCGCCCCTGCAGCTGTTCCAGGTGGCGCGGGCCATCTCTATTTCGGAGGACGATCGCATTGCAGCCTCACCCAGTCGCAAGAGGCTTGAAGAGGAAAGCCATGGAAGCATTGGAGGAGGAGGTGGAGACTTTGGATGAGGTGGACGAGGCTTTGCAGAAGCAGTTCAAGGTGATGGAGGCTAAGTGTGTTCAGGCAGAGGGGATAGCGAGGGAGATGTGGATCGGCATGGACCTTATTGCTAGGATGATCGCGAAGCGGCGCCGCATGCACAAATAATTTACTTTTTTTTTACTTTACTTTCTCTTCTCGCGCAAAGTCGCCGCCTTTGGGCCAATACCATAGAGTTCTGGTCCTTCCTGTGTGAATGTCTTGAACCAATACCATGTCCTCTTCCTGTACCTGTAAGGACTTCGCTGTGCCTAAGAATTGAATATAAGAAGTTTTTAAGTGCATGATCATCAGAAGAAGATTTAGAACTAAGAGATCAAATACAGATCGTGCGGAGTACCATCCGTCTTATCTTCGTCGATTTGCTGTCTGTTTCTATTCCTTCGGATGCTCGGATCGTATCCCCTTGGTTCTGGAACATCAAAGTGTGTGGCGCGCTACCTCCGCGTGAGAAGAAAAATATGTACGGTAATATTCGGTGCGCAGGGGTATATCTCGGAAGTCCATTGCTTGTTCTTGGAATTTTTTGCATGGCTAAATAAGAGTCTATACGCTTGCGCGCGGATCATATGTAAGTGGTTTCGGAATGTTCGGAGATGCAAATTAGCTCTTCAAAGATAAATGATGCGACGATCTTCGCAGATTCTTTGTGGAGCATCCACCATTCCGGATATGCGGTGAGCGCACAGCAAGCGTGAATGATTTGGTCAAACCCACCGGCCCTCGGCATCATCATAATGTTGATGTGTACCCTTTGGAATATCCCTCCGGGTATCGCAACTATTGGCGGGATGTGCAACTTCCGGGTCTGTCGGATCTGGCACTTGTGACAGCTCCTGTTATACCATTTGATGTCATCGGTCATTAGCGGCCACCAAAATCTGAGAAGAAGACGGATTCGGATCGTAAATACCCCCTTGTGCCCGAGGTCATCATGTGCCTCTTTGAGTATCCGATACCGCTTTGCTTCAGGGACAACGAGCTGATGCTTCCCCTGTGTATGTTTCCTCCATAGTCTTCCATCGAAGATGAAATACTGTCGAGATGCACTGACGAAGGTCTCGAATTCTTCGTCCGAAAGTTCCAAGGGTCGTTCTCGGTTCTCTAGGAATTTCTGAATTTTCAAGATCCTTGCATCTTTTGCTTTAGCAATCTCGGAACGCGGGATGTGGATATCATCGGAACCACCTTCAGTGGTACCTAAAAATGCGGAAAGGACGGGGGGACGAGTTAGTGGGTTTGGTACGGATACGGTATACGGGTAGTGCGGGTTATCGGAGTCCATCCGCACAATAGCATAAGTGCGGTCATTGACAATTTCCATAGAAAACGAGTATGAGCGGTTGAGCCAGTCCTCATGGTCGTCGCTTTCGTCCAGATCTTCGGGTGCATGGGGTCTCCTTGAGAGTCCAGTCAACACCTGCGTGCTTCGCTGCAGGAACATGAATTAGCAAGAATCGGAATAAGAGAATACCCGCGATCCATTGGTTGATCGTCACGTTAGGCTGGAGATCGGGGTTATTAATCATCCCTTTAATATACTTTGCGTCGACCTCAACCGTGAGATTGGTGACACCGAAGATAAAAACTTGGACTGCGCGAAGTGCACGGAACAATCCATATAACTCGAGTTTCGCTTGCGAATAGTGGGTTTCTACTTCCGTAAGCGCGATGGATCCAAAGCGGTTCGGGTAGCATTTTCCGTCTTCGCCGACTTGGAGAAGAATAAATCCTATGGCAATGTTGGAGGTGTCGATGGCGAGGATGACTTCGCAACCACATTCATAGTTGATCGGACGGAGTGCGGGAGATTCTAATATCAAGTCCTTGAGTGTCTGCATTGCTTCCTGTTGTTCCGATCCCCATATGAATACTGCATCCTTGCACGTAAGGTTGACGAGAGGTCGGGCGATCTTGGAAAAATTCTTAATGAAGATACGGAGGACTCCGCATGTTCCGAGGAAGCCCTGCACTTGCGTGACATTGCTACACTCAGGCCAATCTCGGATTTTCTGCACTTTTGACTCTTCCGGAACCCTGCCTTCAAACGTACATTTGTGGCCGACGATGATAGCGGTTGGCACGGCTAAAATGAACTTAGTAGTGGATACAGTCACACCAACTGTTTTCGAGCCTCTGGAGTATGCGATTAATTACCCCGCAATGCTCCCATATAAACCAGCGGATTCCCAGGTTTTCCGGAATAGTCTCGTATGAGCCATCAGCTTGTTGATACCATGTTTTTACCGATTTAACGGGGACGTTGTCGATAAACGGAGAAGTATACTCTGGTATCTCGTGCTGCAAAATGAACACCGTATCCCCTTGGTATACTTGGACTGCGTTAGCATGACCCTGCGGCAGCGTAGTCAACCGATGAGATCCGCGTGGGGTCCTGAAGGTCGTCAGGTCGCGCGAGTCCTCGTGCAAGGCTCACTGATCATAACCTGAGTACAAATCCATCATCCCATATACCATGTATCCTGTGAAGGACTCAGCGAGGTGCTCAATGAACGGCGGGACTGAGGAGTCTCGTATGGTTACCGCATTGAGCGGCTGCAAGTCGTGAACTAGACGCAGGGACTTTCCATCTTTTTTGACAATGCAGAAACCAGCAAGAGCGGTATGCGGCGGTAGACGGTTCGTAGACTCCGGAGTCGATTTTCTCTTTAATGATTCAGGATAACTTCGCCGATGGTTGCGGGTGGAATAGGGATGTTGCGCTGAGACCATGGGGTATGTGGGATCGTCGGAATTCTGTACGGTGGAAAATAGGTTTCAGTTGAGACGTCCGTGTTCGCTCGCGTCCCAAGCGAATGCCATTTCGTGTGCTTTAACGAGCCAACATACGAGCTTCAGTTCTTCAGGCCATAACCAATTTGCCAGGGTCTAAGTCTAGGTTGTCGGATCTTTCTTGCGTGTAGCGGATGCCCGGAATGAAGTCGGGCGGAATGGATGGCAGTGTAGGCATGCCAGGCCAAAGGATCAGTCGGGTAATTTCCTTATAACTCTATATTTGGGGGGCATAGCCGTTTGTACAGTGCAGACTTTCTTCGCGACTGGCTTATAGACCAGCGCACACTTGGTTTTGTCGAATGAATATACACTGTTGAAGGCATGGACAGATGAGCGATTAAAGACCGAACGGGTTGTTATGAGATAATTATAATGCGCCGAGGGGAATGTGCGGGATATTAGTGCTCCGTGAGAGTGAGGTTTGCGCGGATAGCGTGAGATGGTGATTAGTTTCAGAAAATAAATTATAAGGAATGACTGGAGGATGCGGCAGTTCGTAAGTCTCCCCGCGGTAGCGGATCATCGGTGCTTAAAAACCCTTCGGACTCGGATGTTCCACACACAACATATTGTGCCTACACTTAGCGCACTTTCTAGTCCAAGGTTCCATAGGTATCCTAATAATTTTGCCGGTGTTCGGATCGGTGAGCGTGACATCCTGATCGCCATTAGGAAGGTTGGTGGTCAGACAACTGGTTAACGTAAAGAATGGCCTGCCGAGCAGTATGTCAAAGTTGGCCATCGGGACGATCTGAACCTGAAACATCATATCCCCCGTCCTGAAGTCCAGCGGAAAGTTTTCCATGACGCCTAGTGTTGAATCCATCGACGTGTTGACTGATTCCATGGTCATCTGGTAGTCCGAGCGAAGCGGAACTCCGCCGAGCGATCGCCAAACTGCTTGCAACATTACGATGACCTCGGCGCCTTGATCGAGGACACAGGAGAGTACCTGGCCCCCTCTCGTAATGCCTCGGATACATCGCAGGGCTTTAAAATGGTCAGCAACGATACGACCATCCTCAGCTCGCTTCATATGCTCTTCCCAGTCCCTCAGGAATTGATCCGTCCGAGGAAGGCTACTGAGCTCATTTACCAGTACTGCACCAACCGTGACTCGTTTAGACATTGTAAGGTCTTTTATCGCCTTCCAGATATCCGGCGAAGCTGCGATTATGTCCCTTATCGGCAAACTTACGTCTGTATCCAGGATTTTATCAATGACCCTCTTTTCCGTGTCCTTATCTTCTAGCAGAAACACATAGCGATATTGCGGTGCTTGTGATGATGATGCGGTGGCCGGAGTTGCAATAGGTGCCTTAGTAGCCGGTTTTAAGACAGAGGTTCTGGGGTTCGGTGCTTTCCCAGTCTTTGCCTCTTTCACTTGCGGAGATGCGATCTCCTCTGTTTGTTTTGAGGTTTTTGACGATGGGCCCAGCCTCGGGCGTGACGATACATCGACGCCGTCAAACCGTACACCTTTCCCCTTGTTTGTTTTCTTCGCGTGTTTGGCGGTAAATACTGCATATCCTTGGTTCGCTAGTTGGATCCTTTCCAACTGTTCGAATTCTTCCTCGTCTTCCAGTGGTTCACTGCGGGTATGCATGAATGCAGATGAGTCAATTTCCGCAACTATCTCGATGTCCAGGGCTGCGCGGAAATATAGCCCAGCCTGGACCTGAATGGTGTTAGCTCCTGTCGCTGGTGATTGACTGGCGAGCGTGTCAATTTGTTGCTTCATTGATCTGTCCTCTCTTCCGCCGGGAATCCTACTATCGTCTGGCATGAATACCTTACCGTCCGTCTCGATTATTCTCCCACTCGTGATGTACTCTCGGTGGTGACTGCAGTACCGAGCGATGTGGTTCCAGCCTCCGCAAAAATAGCACTCGTATTGCGCATTCTGCAAGTTATATTCCTGTTTCACAACGACACTGCCAGAAGGCTGCATCATCGGAACCGTACTTGCAGACGTGCGGGGAGCTTGGCTAGTTGTCCGAAGAGGTATACTGGTGGCGACTACCGCCACTGTTCCCGGTAGTAAGAATACTGCCGCTTCGTATACCTTATCCATCGGGTATGGCTCATCAGGGTGATGCAAGGTCATGATGATCTCTAAGCGCCTGCGGATATTAGTACTTGCGGTATTGTGAATACCCTCTAGGAACAAGTGGTCCCATTCAAGCTCGGCGAGCTTCTTCTTTACCATTAAGAACTTTGACACTTTCAGAAAGCTCCGGTAGTATGTACCGAATTCGTTGCGAGTCCGGATTGGAATCCGAGCTTGTTCCGTGCACAGGTTTTCCAGGTCCGTATGCGTGTAATGTCAGGTCACCCTCGCATCCTGGATACAAGAGTTTTAGCGCGTCGTAGAACTTATCCCAGTCTCTCAGTCCCGCTTCTTCTAACATTTCCCATGTTTCGGACTCATCCACGGGCGTGTAGCGAATGGCTGCTTTGATGCGCGCTTTGTCTCCGAGACCTGCGTGGTCAGTGAGTTGGGTGACATCTTCTAAGTACGGGATGAGACGGGTAGGTGTCCCATCGAATTTCGGAGCAGCATCCATACCGTGGAGGGGCATTCTAAATGGTGCAGATGACATAGCTGCAGGTTGCGAGGTGGGTAGCGTTATGGGTTTTGTTGCAGTTAGCAGCGGAGAGGTTGTGATGAGTGGAGCGATATTCAGAGCAGGGATCTTTGGTCCGGATAGCGAGGGTAGGGCTGCGACGCGTTGTCTTGGCGAAGGTTTCGGTAGTTGCGGGGTTACGTCGAGAAAAGGGTTATCTGGTGATGGTGCGCGGGGAAATGTCGTGTTGCGGCTTTCCAAATCTAAATAAAATAAGGAGTGGATTGAATTTAAAGGATCGTCTGTGTCTTCTTCTTCCCAACATTCCGTGAGCTCGGTAGAGTCGAGGGTACTCAGCGAGAGTTGCCGTATCACAATATTTTTGGATGACGATGAATCTGGAATGACCGGTATCAAAATATCTCTTGGAGTAATCTCCAATGTCCAGAGAAAGCGGTGAGGATTGATCCGAAGTTGTTTATCTCCGACTGTAAAGGAGTCCCTCGTGGTGGGCTCCAGTTGTAAAGAGTGGATTTCTGCTGTGCTCAGCAGAAATCATACCACCTAGACAACAAATATTTAGGTAGATCTTAGCACGACCTATGCTGCTATACTTGCAGAGCAAGTGCGTTCGATCCTATAGGGGTAGCTGTTTGGTATTAGTTTAGATAGTTAGTTATCAATAATAGGAAGATAATCCGAAGCTAAGAACTACTTGTCCGAAGGGAAACTGTCGGGTCCGAAATATCGGAGTCGGGTTGGGCGTCGGACTGTCGGGAATGCATCAGACGATAAAGGAATGTGTCGGAAGTGTGTCGGATTGTCGGTCAAATGAATGTCGGATGTGTCGGAATGTTTCGGAGGAAAAGAGCGGATAGATATTTCGCAATACAATCAAGTACTACTGATATCCAATGACTTCCATCCTACTACTGAGTAGGGAAAAGTAAGTAATGCAATAGGTAGGAAGTGCTAGATATTAAATAGTGACTATGTAGAAATTCGGACTGCTATAGGCGAGAGTAGTAGTGATATTTCGGGTCCGAAATCCTATGTAATAGGACATGTGGTACTTGCGGACCATGAGAAAACATGTAATAACGCTGTATACAATGCTTAGCAAGTCAAAAAGAGTAAATGTGCACCTAGTGGGGATAGATGCGACTGGATAGGACATAGGGAGGACTGGTCCGATGCGTAGGAATGTTGGGTCGGGATTGGACATGCATCGGACTGTCGGAAAGTGCGTTGGGTCGGGATCGGACTGTCGTACTCGGGTCGGGGTAGTCGGAAGTGCATCGGACAAATACTGTTTGACATCAGTATCAAAATAGCTGGTTCTGAGCCCAGCGCCGCGACCATCATTACAGTGCTATTGACTGATTTCTTTGAATAGGCAAAATTATCTTGAACAATTGAAGATTTTCTCAATGTGATGGCACAATGCGCTCTGAGTATTCTCATCAGCAAGCCAAAGTTCCATTTTTTGATTCATCTTCCAGTGTATATTCGTCGTTTCGGACCTGCAATCATATTCTCTACTGAAAGATATGAATCTTTCAACCACGTTTTTCAGGTTATCATGCATACACAGCAATAGACGCACGCCGAGCAGAGATTCATGTCGAACAATTCGCTTACCAGGACATCATCAAACACATCGCAACTGGAGGCTACTGGTACAATCCAAATGTCAAGAAATGGATTCACGGAGGAGAGCAGGTCATATCTTATCTTGGCAAGCACCCAGAACGAGCCCACCTTCTTGGTATATCGAGTATCATTTGCGAACCCCTACTGCCTGGTGAGTTCGGCAATATGTCTAATATGTTGTCGCTGAAGTACACATAGGCTCTGGAAACACTGAGACCAGTCATGAACGCAACCGGGAAAGCACAAAGAGCAGAGGCAGTCAAATGGAGCGATACTCGCTGCGCAAAGATCCTTGGAACTACTCACTTGAGTACTTCTTACTATTGTGGCAAATCGCTTGTGACGAGCACAGGAGAACAGGCTGGCCTGGACAGTCATGTCATTTTCCGAAGATCAGGAAAGGTAATTGATTTTGGCCTAGTCATGCTCAAGTGTTTAATGATACATGATTAGATGTCTATTGGACGTATCTGCGAAATTCTTATATCGCTGGACACCGGTACAACCGTGGAACAAGTCTCATTGCAGCACTTTTCATTTGGACCTGCATTACATCCTTCACTTTTTCTACCATGTCTACAACTTATGGATGATGAAATAGTTTCGACAGCAGCAGTAAGTGACATGTTCTAAATAAGACCTTGTTTTTGAATGCCACATCACAGGATATCATCTGCATCGTCAATGTCCAGCACAACTGCATCAATTCAAAGTGCACAGACATGCGTCGGCAATGCATATATCAAGAACAGATTGAAACTGCTCGAACGAAAGCAGTTGTTGAGCATCAGCCAACTCCACTTTATTTCCTGAATACCTATTCAATTCACAACTGTGATTATATTCAAATGGCTATCCCTGAGGCGCTTCACTCAACACCATTGCGAGTGACTAATCCAGCTGATGTTCAGGCACTGGCGGTGCAGCAGATGAAAGACAAGAAGGCAGCGAAGAAAGCTGGGGAGGTTCCTTCAAGTCAAGAAGCTGATACTGTGGAGGAAGGCACTCAGGGTGCAACAGCACCAGCTCCTGCCTTTGATTGGGCTCCTGCAAAGTCGAGGGCGACCACCAAGCTGAAAGGGAATGCAAGCGCGAGTACTCGAAGGAAAAAGAAGGCAGCCTTGTCAGTTGTTGAGCAGCCTGTTGCTGGGCCTTCTAGACAGCAGCCAACTTCGTCTGTTCAGCAAAATCCAATGGCCATGTCCTACCAATTTGTGCTGTCCCCCCTGCAAGCCTTGCATCACCCACTACCACTACAGATTCGTCCTCTGCAGACTTCACACCATCCTCCTTTGCCGCCATCAGTACCTTCATATCCTTATGCAGGTTCCCCAAGATTATGCGACACACATGCGCCACCTGTGCACCCCACCCACATAGCACCATTCCTTGGCTCGCAACTCGCTCATACAATGCACCACCCTCATACCACCTCTGGTCACCAATCACGACATTTACTCCAGCCAACACCTGCATATGTGGGACCGCACACAGGCACAATGCAGCATGCCTTCATGTCACCCCAGCATACTTACCCTCAACCACAGGCACAAGTGCAGATGTACCGACTTTACCAGCAACCATATTAGATGGCTCAGCCTCACATGCTGGCCGCCCAAACTCACTCACAACCGCAAGCCCAGGCACCACACCCACAGTATTTAGAACATCACATGCATTCTCAGGGAATGTGAACTCGGACCTCTCCCTGAATGCATACAGATATTCATAAGGGCTCCTACCTATCAAATGGGGCCATCTGCTAACTCAATTTCCGCCACAAAGGAACCACCAGTGATGGAGGAGACGCAAAGAATCCTCAGACGAGGATAGAGGAGGGTTCAGCAATGGACGAGATGTGAAGAATCCTCGGAGGAGGATAGAATCCAATTGCGTATCATGATGGTGCCCATTAGCTCTTCGAGGTACCAGTAATTCCCCGGAAGCTCATCCAGAGGGCCTTTCCCTTTCTTTCCATGTTTTGTGTTAGACTTCTTCAGCACTTCATTCTCTCCATCCCCCTCCTCGTGCACAATCTGTACCCATAGCCCATTCCAAGGCTCAGTGTATTGAGTATGGCAGGCTCCAAGACAGACAATGTTGTCTTCATATGGGTTGTGCGGCTTTCCTGGCTCGCTGCCTTCAACCTCACCATCAGGCATGACCACCGCGCCATGGGATGTCTTGTGAATGGATGGCTTTGGTATATCGCTCTCCCCCCCCCCCCCTACTGGCCACCATCTCCACTCACCACGTACTGGAACAGTTCCATCTTACCAGAGAGGCATTTGACTTGGCGAAGTGGAGGCCAAGTTCAACTAGTCACTGGTGAACCCAGGAGAAATGTGTGGCACGCTTGCTGCTCAATCGATCAGTGAATCGGCTATGCAGATGACCCTCAATATGTTCCATTATGCCGGTGTCTCCAGTAAGAATGTGACACTTGGTGTCCCGCGTCTGAAGGAGATTATCAACATTGCCACCAAAATCAAAACACCCTCCCTCACTGTCTACCTCGAGCCTGACATTGCTGAAGAGAGTCTGCTGTACTGTGACGGCAGCCGTGGAGATCTGGTAGGACTCCATCTTTGTAGAGTCATTCTTTGAGGCACTCTGGCACGGACGACACAAATTTTTCAAGGTTTGTATTGTATACTTGTAGGAAACTGACAGTACTAATATCAACGAGACAAGATGAGACTGTTGGAAAGATCGGTGAGTTCTCGTCAAATTCAAGATGTCCTTGTACTCACCTTGGCCTACAGTCACTCAATGCTCGAGCCACGCGCTTTGCAAAAGCGGCCCTTTGCCCTCTTCAAGAAGCCCAGCACTCTCACTCCCACCTTCATTTCATCTGCTCTCACCTCCACTTCTTCTGCCAACGCCTCAGCTCTGATTGCAGCCTCCGCCCGGACAGCCACATCTCCCCACTTGCACGTCTTCTGTTGCATTTGCGCACGAGATCTTGCAGCCATGCTGTTCACTAGTACCTGGTAAGCAACAATTGATGCTACAATTATGAATTAAAACTTACAACAATGTTTTTTTTCTTAGATCCTGGATTTGTATGGCTGATGAGTGGATGTTGAGCGTGTCGTTGTTTGGCGCGCGTCTATCAGTCTTATTCGAGAAATTGCTAACACAAACAACATGTATATACTTTTGGCGCTCAGGGGGGGGATGTGTGCTTCACCACACCAATCTCCATACCTTTGTAACTGTTGCTACTTTCATTATGGTATCTAGAGAGTGATTTTGCACTCCAGTTTATTAATAAAATTTTAATCTCAACATCTCCCTTGCTTTCGTTGTGATTCGGTGCTCAATGAAATTTTTGTGCAGCCGAACAACTCTCAAACTTCACGTTGATGCACAGAAACATGTGGTGGCGCCCACTCAGTCTTCCACCACAACATTTGCACTTGTCTCCGAGCTCAGAATGCTGCTTCAACGCTTCCCCATGCGCTCTGGAAATTCTAACCACACAGGAAGCTCTCAGCCCAGAAGGGCAGGTTCAACAAGTGGTCTGTTGATGCCAGGTGCCACTGGGGAACCTCGAAGCAGGAGTCTATCAGTGTCTATTCCACGCGGTGTCTTAATAACCAAGGGTCTTATATAAAGTCGTGTAAATGTAATGACACCACAATTACACTTTGGATAAGACTGCTTGCCAGTCCTCGATTAACACGGTCTACGACTTTTCCTATTTCACGGTAGATAATGTGTGAGTTCTTGGGAGGCTCGCTAAACTAATCTTTTTATAAAGATCAACCTAGCCGGAGCTTTACTTTTCTTTATTGAAACTCAAATATCTTGTCTAGGAATAAGCTTCTAGACACGTAATTCGGTTTCTGGAATGTATTTGCCTAGGAAATCTCCTTCTAGGCTCTGGACTTGGATACTGGAACTAGTGAGACATGGTCTCAAATATACGAAATATGACCAAGATCGCTTGGTCTATGGACACCTGACTGTGAGACAATGGTCTCAAATATACAATATATGTTCAAGATTGCTTGAACAAAGGGGACTATAACTTTGACCAAGATCGCTTGGTCTATGGGACAACTAGTGAGATGTGGTCTCAACAATATGATAGATGACTAAGATCGCTTAGTCAAAGGGCACAGAGCAATGAGACAAAGGGGTCTCAAAGACAATATATGTGACCAAGAACGCTTGGTCTATAGCACTAAATAAGTTTCTAAGGTAAGAAACTTATAATCTCAAGGGAATTCTTTTCCCTGCACTTGTCTCACTTCAAAAGGACTAACTTTGCAAGTGAAATATCTGACAGGCAGATTGCTACAAATGGGAGATTATATTTTTTGGGGGAGAGAATGGGCTCTCCTTATATACATTTTGTGTGGGAAAGTAACCTAGGTTCACAAACAATAAAAAATAAGGAGGACCAATCAAAATATTGGGTCAAACCCAATAAAAGAATAAAATACAAGTGAAAGATGGAGCTATGACATCATTGTGGAGCAGAACATTCTGGAATGTGGAGTAATGACATCATTGTGGAGCAGAAGATTCCAGAACCTTCCATGAGTGAGTCAGAGTGAGTCATTGTGGAGCAGAATATTCTAGAAGGAAATGACATCATGGATGATGTCATTGTGGAGTAGAATAATCTAGAGCTTGATGACATAATATCTTTCAACAGAATACCTGCAGGAGTATCTGTGGAGTCTTATAACATCATAATGACATCATACCCTATGGGTACAATTTTTTGAAGTGTCAGGTGAGTCAAAGCATCCTAATGAAAAAGTAAAGTAAAGAAACACTAGAGAAAAGTAGGTAGCAAAAATAAGACAGTTGGCAGGAATTGAAACACAGTCTTTTTGGATAGGTTTTTTATAGGCTTTGTACTTTTCTCTATGGTTTTCTCTAGCCAAAGTGAATAAGCCAAAGGCAAGGCTATACCTTAACCTTCATTTCCCTTCTCACATCAACTAGGTCTAAATGTGATTCCCATCTCACATTAGACTTTTTCCGTCAAAACGTATTCAGATCATGAAACTTGGTAAAAAATGGAAATATGGACCATGGTTTGAAACCAAGGTATGGGTTGACTAGTCTGAGGACTAAGCTAACAGACTTTGTCTTTTGAGGGTCACCTAGTATTCATGTCCATGCATGATTCCCACATCATGCAGGACAGCAGTGCATCTTGGGCTCCTTTGAGTGGGACCGGAAATATGATCCAGCGAGCGTGTTTGCCATTGGGAACAAGTCAACCAAGAAGCAACCAATCGTCCTCTACTACTGCCATTGGCAGGCCCAGTGGCATCATCGTGCAGACTCCATCCAAAGGATTGCTTGACGAGCCCATCATGGCTGGTGTGCGCCGCCGGAGATCAGATTCCATTGACGAATATGATATGACTCAGTCACTATCACCTTCTCAGACAAAAAAACTCAAGCTGTATGCAGATGAAGTTGCCGAGAGGACTGGTTGCCCCCAGGAGGTTCTACACAATTTCATCGATGTCAGTATCTCTGAGTTGCAATCATGTGGTTTGGTTGACACACTTTAGGCTGGAAGTGTTTTCCACATGCTTATTGACCTGAAAGCCAACTCATTCATAAGGATTGATGAGCAGGAAAAGGCCGCTCTTGTTGATCTAAAAGAACTTATAGATTCCAAGGACTTCAGGGTAAGTATTTAATTTCTCGGAGGGCATCAAACCGACAAGATGAAATACTGTGACAGTCTGCGCTTCAGAGCCGCTTGACGGCATGTCTCCTGTCACCCAACCTCACTGTGTACGTTGACGACACCCATATGAACATTATGGTCTGTTATACACCTCCCACTTAATACTATGCAGGAATTGACTCTGCGACAGGAATTCATCAAGAATCATCAAGAGGTATTCAAAATACCAGCTGCGCTAATCGACGATGTGGAGCTTTTGGCACAGCTTTCCAAAATCGTCAGTGAGTTGCTGTCTTCCATTCGCGGCAACCTCAAGGGAAAGGTTCGTAATTCATCGGACATGTAGACTATCATGATGCTAACTGCTCTTTGGTTGGTTTCATCACTCATCAAGCGCATGAGCATCATGGACACCGCCAAATCGCTTGCTCACAGTATAATTGAGGTTGATGCTGCTCATTGGAACAGATATGCATTTTTAGTATGTTTTTATTCTATCGCACTTTGTCGAGTTCATAAGATAATTCTAGTGGTGCTGCTTGCGCATTTTCCTTATTGGAATCGGCAACTACAGAAGTATCCCCCTTAAAGACCTTTACTCAACCTCACTTCTTCCCTCCCTTCATCAAGACCTCCGCGTCAAAATCTCGAAGGCACTCGATTGTGACATGGACTTGGGTGAGCGAGAATGATGAACAGCACACTGATAATGCCGACAGCAATGTGGACCATTCAGAGGAACAAGACCCTGAAGGAGATATTGGAGCGACTGACGATCATGGCGATGACTTCGGAGAGGGCGAGCACACCCTAAAAAATAGAGAGGAAGGCAGTGGGTTTCGCGAGAACAGGGAGGAGGAGGATGAGGAGGAAGAAGGAGAGGAAAAGACTGGCCAGCAAGAATCCGAGGTCGATGACGGCGGCTCTGGATTCAGCAAAAGGAAAACCGGCAAGGGTCCCAAATTTACCTCGACGAAATTTTGGAATTTCGTCGATTGCTCACTCCAAGCTATCCGCCAAGCTGCGCAGCAGGAGGCAGGCCCAAATCATAACATGTCAGCCCATGGCGCATATGAAAATGCTGTGCGAAAGTAAGCATGTTGTTATCCTGTTGTGCACACTATTGCTGATTGTGCTATAGCATACTCGTCGAATATTTCCAGATGGACCTCGCCGAATTTCCTGGTAGCATGGTTGTTCCAAAGCTTCTCGCCACCACCAGTCCTCAATGGCAGACTACTATTCAGAACTCGCTACTTTGGAACTGAGTTCATTGGTAGCATGCTCAATCCTCGCCATGACTGATAATATTCACTTGTTAGGTAAATACCTTCACCATACCTTCCTTCTGCACATGCATCGCCCATCACACATAAGCACATCTTAATTACCAGTGTATCTACCCCATCAGTGTTAATGCAAAAGTGCCCATGCTTTGTTTGAATTTTGACCTGCTTGATTCTGAATAACCGCATTCAATGGAACTGATATCCTTCCAACAAAAATATACTGCCTACATATGAAACAATACATCCGCCCAGCCTACGAAACGAGATGTCTGCACAGCCTATGGAATGAGATATCTGGGTAACCTATGAATGAGATATCTGGGTGACCTAGAGAAAACACCTATTGAAAATATCCTAGTCCAATGTATATACTAGCTCCGGTTGCCAATATCCCATCAGGGTCTCATAAATATTGTCAGGTCTCTATTGGAGGTCTCTTAGATCTCACATTTACTAGCTCGCTTGCATAAAGGTTCAAATTGTCGGAAATTTCTAGCGAAGAAACCCTTTAAAGGATATTATTATAGGTTTGCCACAGGGAACTTGTTTCGGAGATGTGTCAGAGGTTTTCGGCAGTTTGCAGTGTAGGCTGGTCGATCTCGGAGAGGAGAAGCACGGAGTTTGAAAATTCGCAGTTGCCGAGTGTGCCGACGGTACTCAATACTCATTTACTTCTATGCCATATGTAGTCTTTGTGCTTACTATTCGTGCATATATGCTATGATTGTGGCCTTGCAACCATGGATTGCGAGGCCATTTCGGATTCCCCAATGTCTATTGCTGCGCTAGATGCCCTTGAGAACCTTCCGACAGATTTTATTGATCCTTTAGATATATCCCAGCGGCGCCAGGACATTGTAGACTCTTTCACCCGACTCGATTTTCTTGCGAAAGGAACAAAACAGCCAAAATTGTTTCAACTCAAGTGCCTCGTATCATTGCTCGCATCAAGACATGTTGTCGTCAGAGCTGCAACAGGTGCTGGCAAGACACTGGCAATGATCCTTCTTCCCTTGCTGCTCTCTCCCGACAAGATAGCAATCACCGTCACACCATTGAAGCTTTTGCAAAAAGATCACGTACGCTTGAAAATTCAAATCATGAGTTTTACCTTTCTGGATCTGTCTGTAGGTCAACGAGTTTGTCCAGTATGGGATTCCCTCCATCGCAATTAACCATGATACCCCACATGACAAGACACTATGGAACGTACGTGAATCTTACATTGACGGCAAATCTCAAAAACGCACGTAGGCAGAATGGTTACGAGTCTATCTTCCAGTATCGTTGTTATTGCTCGCACTATAACATCAACATCAACTTATCATATCATCGACTAGTACACCCCTCGGATTACTTGTCCTCACATGTAAGATACGCGCATCAAGGCCTGCGCGTCATCAAGTCGAACGCAAGTCCGTCAAGTGCGAGTGAATCGGCATCGGCGACTGAAGGTCCTGATCATGCCCAGACATCCGACTATCCACAACACTCCTCTCCGACGGCCCAATCGACAACAGGTGCCCACTCGTTGCCTCCCGGAACGAGGACCGCTCGTGCTTAACGCAGACAATTCACATACAGTGCGCCCATACCGAAGCTGCCACTTTTAGCTTCGAGGATCACTTGGCATGTGACGTCGAGTTGGGATATCGCTGCCACAAACTCAAGGGCCATGAGTTAATGCATTGACGCTAGAGGCCTCGAAGGGCATACCAACATCATCTCTGGTCTAGCACTTTCATTTGATATGCTCCAAGTTCTAGCGCTTCTTGAGACAACATCACATCATCAAGGCCGTCAGCTCCTCGCCTTATTCGACGTTCCAAGTCCTTTCATACTACACCACTAGCTTTAACGAGGTGGGAAGACACCGAGATTTACATGTGCGACATTCCACAGGATATTCTTTCGACTGTCTTGCCTGCATAAGAAGCGCAGCCCTAATGTATGCATTCATCTGCATATATCTATCCGTTCGTGCGCTAACATTCTCGTTTAGACCAGTGTAGCTAACGTCCTCGCCGGCTGGTTTACTCAATGTATGTGACCGACTATTTACCCACACCGTTCCACTCGATGCTATTACAACAGTCCAGCGCAACACGTCGGACCGCGCGTCGTAAACCAGTAATCTCGCCTGTCACATCCATCTTTCGCTTCTCGGCCGCTAAGACCTTTCCCTACAACATACCCACAGGAACGTGATTTCCTTCCTTTCCGCACAAATGTTGATCGGTACGAAATGCGCGAGAATGGTACTACACACCACCGCTTTTATCACAGGTTAAATGAGGTTTCAACTCCTCATACTTTTTTTTCGTTTTTTGGATCCTTGTTTGTTGCCCGGTGGGGTGAGCGTTGCCCTATGCTGGACAGTACATACGTATAGTAAGTTATGTGCGTGGCTGTTGTTTTATGACCTTTTCTTTCAACTCAGTGCGTTCTAGCTGGACCATCAATCGCAAACAGTTTCCCCTCCGATCAACTGACATCATGATATTTAACAGATGTCAAGAACCGACCGAAGCTCAAGGAAACCATGCTTGACCTCCGCACGGATTCGTTAGGCTTACAACGAGGACAAAACGATGAGACGTAAATAATTCAGTCACAAGGTATACATTCAGGGTTTTGAGATATTTCTCTGTCCTAAAATCTTCACTGCTCGAGCAGCAGTAACATTTATTCAGGAGCAAGCGTTTTCGCAACGAGCTACCTACGTGTGGTCCCATTGACCACCCTGCACCAATGAGAAAGCAGAAACATGACTCGCTGTACCTAGTTGTCGTCACATAAGTACACCAAGTAAGCCTACCACGCTGGTGAGACAACAAATTCTGGATGACACTACTCATACTCACCTCGTCAAAACGTGGGTCATCTCGTAGCACGCACTCATAGCCAGAGCAGCAATCTGAGCTTGAACTGCAATAGGCAGGATATCTAGAGCATGCACTGACAGCCATGGACGCTGTCAAAGCGGCAACAACGGCGAGGACGACTTTGAAGGAGAGATGCATTGTGTGTGAGGTGAATTAATTAGTAGGAAGACTGGGTGTCTTTATTTCCTGAGCACTATTTTGCGCAGAACTTATAACAGATGACATTTTTCATGCCAGCAGATTGCTGACGGAAATTTGTAAAGCAAGCAGGCACCACTTCTCCTGACGCAGCGAACGTGTTGGTCCAAATCTTAATGAGATCGGGTGGTACACGCATAATCCTCACGCGCATGGCCGGCTAGATATATTGAATAGCCGCCCGTTCGGTGTCCACCCTCACAGCTTCAGCTGAGGATGGTAACCATCTGATGCACGCTCGCTCCATGATTAGTTCTGCAGTATATGCTAATGATGTTCGCTGTTTTATACTGTTCTGTCACCTCACTCATGCTGATGTCCTGACGACTCAGTGACGAGTCGCTCGCTCCATGATTGGAACTACAGTATATGCTAATGGTGTTCGCTATTTTTTCATATACTGTTCTGTCACCTCATGCTATTTCCACAGGAATTACAACCTCTTGACGACGGCAATCGTGGTTAAATCATCTTTACCGGCCGGAGCAAATGAGGACAAAGAAAGTGCAGATGTAGTATTGATTTTGTATCATGAAGGGACAATAAAACTTAATGACCGAAGGTCCCGGTCATCGCTTGCATGCATATAAATTGATCCGTGTAACATGTCTTCCACTATCGTTTTCATTGCTTGCACTATAACATCAACATCAACATCAACATCAACATCAACATCAACATCAACTTATCATATCATCGACTAGTACACCCCTCGGATTACTTGTCCTCACATGTAAGATACGCGCATCAAGGCCTGCGCGTCATCAAGTCGAACGCAAGTCCGTCAAGTGTGAGTGAAACGGCATCGGCGACTGAAGATGCTGATCATGCACAGACATTCGACTATCCACAACACTCCTCTCCGACGGCCCAATCGAGATCGACAACAAGCGCCCACCCGTTGACTCCCGGAACGAAGAACGCTCGTGCTTAACGCAGACAATTCACATACACACGCACGCGCCAAATCACGGTCCACTCACCGCTTCAGACGCATGGTCCATTCCAGAATCAGCTCGTTGCCAAGACCAGTTTCCCAACGAGCCTCGCGCAAAGTCGTCTGATTTCATTCTTTCCCGTAGTTTGACTTTTGCGTTTAATGTGCGGAGGATGGACAAGGTGTAGAGCTTGCCTGTTTGAAGCAGGAATACTAAAACTAGACGGTTGGCGTTTGCCTGGGTATTCGTCAGAAGCGAACAAACGTCAAGTGGCATCCCCACGTTATGCGAGAAGAACAGTCCTGAGGAAACGGCGACGCAGAGAGATGGCCAGACTGCGGATTCTGTGGCGACGGCGCAGAAGCGCAAGAGTGCTCTGTCGAGATGGTGCACACCGGTCTTGCTTTTCCATAAGAAGAAAGCGACTGTTAGATCACATCAGTCGAGTAAGGTGCGAAAGCCTGAGTGGGCTCACGGATAACAGAGAGAATGACGTCGAGGACTTCAAGAGCATGACATCAGTTCTGTGCAGAAAATCATTCATCATGACCTACCAAGCACCGCCGTGGTCCAATACGAAAATGCGATGACGCTCAGCTAGAAATGCGGTTGGGCACACATGCAGGGTCGAGCAAGCGTTCACGTACTACCACATCGCTAGGCTTGAGATTGACGACGCTCAGACGTGAAAAAGCCACCGCCTGAACATGCCGAATTAACGTCAGGTTCGAACAGCAAAAAAAGTAAACCACATACGATCAAGATATTCGCGCCGTATGTGGTTATCGTGCACACGGTCAACACGGCTATCCACCAGCTTCCTTTCGTGATCTAGAAAAACCAAAACCAAAAACCAAAACTTTGAAAGTCTGTGCTAGAGATCATACTTGGGATGCATACCCGCCAGCAGCGTCGGAGGAGAAAGAGCTTGTTCATTCCACTGATGAAGCCATTCAGGAAAAGTGCGAACCACGCTCGCGGAATCATCGACTAATCCCAAGTCAAACCAGAAGATCGGCATGATGACACGTCGACGTACCAGCGTCCTACGGTCCACGTTAGCCTTCCAAGCTATGTATCCCTCGAACGCCGTCTGTGCGCTTCCCCAAGGCATCGGACACTAAGCACGCGCAACGCTCGTAGCACTCACAGAGAAAGTAGCGTAACGAAAGCTACGAAGAGATTACGACCCCAGGAATCTTCATAACATACCTCGTAGTACTGCCCAGCTTCGATGACAATGATGCCCTGGAAGAAAAACTGCATGAATACGCCGACAAGAATCGCACCGGGTGACTCCTCGAGAACGTGTATGGTCCTATTAGCTGCAATATCGATGGTCGGTCGACTGGCGTCCAACATAATGGTCGATGCGTGAGATGAAGAACTGTTGAACTGATTCGTGTCATGGGCAGTTAGAATTCAAATCAAATTGTGTACATGGTATGGCTGACATTTCGTCATGTGCATAATATAAAATTATCACGATTCCATTGGACATAAGATAATAATATGCGTAAGACGTACTAGCGTAGGGACATAAAAGATGAAGGAAGAAAAGTCACGAGGATGGTGGTGGTGGGGCTAGTGCCTCAAGGTCTCTCCTATGGCGTAGGTCCTCCCAGATCGTAGGGTGTTCTTGCGTACAATGCATAAAGAGATCTTCAAACTTTGGTATCACTAACACATCCGGTTGTTCGGGTATCATACCCATATCATAGCGATCACTGGGAGAGACGATGAGGACTGTGGACGTGCACAACGAGGGTTGACTTACAGGCATCTGCCACAGAAATAACCATCAACTACTTCAGCATCTGCCTCGTAGATCATGTAGACACATTCTTCAACGGATCGCAAATTATCCCCACTCGATGGGCCAGGGATCCTGTCTTGAGCAGGCGACGGTATGACGGAGCTTGGCGAAGTTGGGTTGGAACCAACTGCAGTGTCTGAAGGCGTGAATGCAATCGAAGCCTCGTCGTTCGCAACGTCCACTTGGCCTGTTGAGGTCGTGTCTGTATTTTCTTGAAGTGGCGCAGGAAGCGAGACTGGTGAGGTCGGATTTGAACCGACTACAGTGTCCGGAGAAGATTGTATTGGCTCAGGATTCACGTTGGCGATCACATCCTCAGGCGACTGAGTGGGCTCTGCGGTCCTCTGTCTCTTGATCAACTCGATATCCTGCTCCATTGAATCATCCAGGACAGAATTCGTGCGTTTTAGACCGCTAGGGTAATCAGGCATCCCACCTCTGGCCTGCTCTGTAATTCTTTCGTCTTCCCTAGTCAGATCAACAAATAGAGCAGGACGTGACGTCGTAGTCTGTGAATTGGGGTGTAGATTGAAAGGCACGAGTGGCGCTGATGCAGTTCGATAGACATTTTGCAACGGAAGTGTATGCGGATGGGTGAAAGGCGGTTGCTGAGGGCGATTGGGATTAACAGGGGATAAAATAGAAGGCATATGTGCAAATTCTGTGGGCGACCTGGTTTCAAACATTGGGGGTGCGGATGCTGAAGGCGAGTGCTTCCATCCCTGCAACATGTGAAGGGGTTGCTGAGGTGGGTAAGGCTGACACGAGAATTACTTCAAAGTCTAGAAGCAGTGGCAATAGGCGTACATTTTGAACATGATCAGAAACCCTCCTTTGAGGGTGTGTTTGATGGGCATGTTGCAACTGATGAGGTGGCAGGGTGTGTTGAACCTGTGGTCGTATGGGTCGTGGGTGTTGTGCATGCTGCTGAAATTGTTGCGGTGGTAAACGAGAAGGTTGGAGTCGGGGAGCACCTTCGGTAGACACCCGTCGGTGATGAAGCTGAAGATACTGTTATTCGTGCTTTGTGAGATTAGATAGAATGTACCAACATCGCTAGGGGTAGGGATTCTGGGCTGGGCGATTTGAGGGACAGAGTCTGCAGAGCGCAATCAGACACGGTAGGGGTACAGAGAACAGGAAATGACCAACTTGGGCGATATAATGCACCTGAAGAAGACTCGCCATGTCGTGTGGCCATATCGTATCTGTCCTGGAGAATTTGCATATCTCTGCAAACGCGATTAGTGTATGTCCTCATGCGGTCGAGTTCTTGGACGAGATGATGATGTGAGGTGCCTTTATTGACACTGATGAGGATGTCCTGGTTTTTCCGAGTAAGAGCAGCGCGTTCGCTTTCAAGAGCACGTATCCTCTCTTGCATGATTGAGAATTGCTGCAACTGAGAGTTCGGACTAGCCGAATGATGTGCGACGCGCTCTTCGAGTACTCGAATGGCTACGACGAGCTGGTAGTTGTCTTGATAGAGTTTTGAATTCTCCTCTTGAAGTGATTTGATGAGTTGTGCGTGTTGTTTTAGCTTTTCTATCATGGATGGGTGGTAACCCAGCTCTTGGAGGCAGCCATTAGTGGTAGATGCAAGTATTTCGACGATCTTTGAGTGTAGTCTGCCATCTTGGTTTGGATTGCTGTTGAGCGCGTTAGAAGCGATCAGGAGGAGAGCTAACAAAGGCTTGCCCTTGAACGGCATCGGGATGAGCCCCGACATGCGCTTCAGGAGATGACATCCAACTACCGACGATATGCAATCTAAATCGCTTGTGTGATAGAAGGAAAGAGAATCGAGGGGGCAAATTTCTTCGGAGTATTTCTTGATTTGTAGGGCCGGAGATTGACAGTTGACCTAGGTCAGGGTTTATTTAAAGTTCTGTTTGATCCGTGGACCCTCTCTGCAGGCTTTAGCTGAGGATGATCCGACGAGCTTGTCGTGAATGCGAATGGTACTTGGAAAGTGAGTGCAGCAAGTGGCAAGTGGTGGTCCAGCCCTTTTGTAGAGTCGCAAGTTCTTTGTAGTTTGTCGGAGTCATTGGAAAGCAGCGAGGCTGCAATGCGTTTTTAGACTAAATCGGACGCAAACGGTCCGATTTCACTATCATGTGGATCCTTGAGCAAAAAAAATAAAAAATTACGAGACGTACGAAAGACTCACCACCACAACCGATCACGACTCCGCCACCTCAAATTTAAATCGAGACCAACGTTAGACGAACAGATTCAACATATCCCATCAACAGTTCGTTTCGACAGCCTTACGAACTCAAGCTTGTAGACGACAAGCAACGGTCGATCATTTTCAGATGGGCCATCCACAAATTAATCGAGCAGTACCAGAAAAACTGTACTGATTGGCTTCCAACTATGTATCGCACCATCAACCATAATATCAAAACGACAGCAGAAGCATGACTCACTGTCGTGACGTGGTGCTCCGAGTCGGGCTGCCAGCTCTGCTCATAGCAAGTACATCTAACCCTCTACGCAACTCCCATCAATTGAATATCCAGGTATTACCAGACCGTCGAACCCGGGGATCCTCAGCCTCCCAGCCTTCGCGGGTCTCCATTTAAGTTGATGCTTGTCATCAGTTCCTTGCTGTATTTGCTGGCAAACGCTCGGATTCACCAGGAATGTCATTTTCCCGCCAAGATCATATCGTGATCATCGAGGGTGTCCAAATTGTGCAACATAAATATGCTCCCCAGTGACCATGGTGACATTCCCTCGTCCCCGTTATAAATCGTGGTTTCTCGCAATGTGTGACTGATGGACTCGGATACCTCAAAGTGGTCGTGGATGTATTTCTAATTCTCTCGGGCGTTATTAGTCTTGGTAAATCTAGTGACTTGTAATGTGAAAACATTATGCCTATTACCTTTCTGCCAGGGTCGATTCTGACGTCGTTCATGGAAGTCGATGAAGTTATGTACCAGACAAAACAAAACAGAAAACTGCTGTTTAAGCATGGACGTTCACAAGAGACCTCCAGTTTCGTCTATCAGGGAGAATAACACATCATTTGTGGCCGATAATTCGAAGCTGGTTAAATTTGTCGAAAATGCAGGAATGTCTGTCGTATCACAAGCGTATCTTCATTTTCAAGAATTGCATCAAATGGCAGAGAGGGAAGGAGGGAAGGTACTGTGACGCCTGCGCACCTAAGACAGGGCTTGGCAACTGGTTCGTAACGATCTTGGCACCTTGCGTTGAAATATGATTGTTGTGATCATGAAGGCACTCTCACAATCAAGGAATCAAGTAAGTCGAGGAGTGCAAGTTAGACTTGTAAACACTAAGGACAATAAAAATGACGATTTCATTCCATGCATCATGTACTCACCTGCACCGATGATGCTGTATCAGCAGCCTCGGATGATCAATTCATTCAGCCTCGACAAGGAATTAATAATTCTCGCTATTCACAAGGGTTGCGGAGTGATAGACATGCATTCAACATCGTCCATGGCAACTTGAAAGGACAGTTTTTTTTGTCTCAGTCCCGAATTCGATACCAAGAATTGTGCACTTTCTTGATATATTGGATTGAGGAGTGAGCAGGTGACTTCTCGTCAGTTCGCGGTTCCTTGCTTCCGTGAGCTACACAAGCTTCTTGCTTGCCGTCTCCATTCATGATGACAAAATGAGCTTCGTCGATGGATGATCTTGACAGAAACTCTGACCATTTAGAGCAGCGTGAGACGTAGAATAGAGAGAATTTCCCCGGATTATAGAAAGCTCCTGCAGACACGCGTTGGGGCCGGAACCTATCGTGCAACAATTTCAATTGAGGCGTGAACTTGGTAACCACCTAATCGGCACCCGGACCTGTGAAATTTTAAACTCATGGCATTGTCGACTGCTGCCAGCTGGTACCTGAAAAAATACAATGGGGCGACTCTGTGCAATTGTATTCGCTCAATTAACTTATGACGCTGATTTCGACATTCATTAACCCTGCGACGCAATCACATGAATCGCATCCCCCATTCTTTGATCTGACTTCCACATAGCTTTTCTACAGAGAGACCAACGGAAGAGAAGCGAGCACCAAAAGCACGCGATTATGAATGAATAGCGCTAGCGCAGCTATCAGATCTTGACGCGATCGTTCGGGTATCTTACTTCATAGCGGGGCGCGAGCACAGGAATAGAATGTGAACCCGCTGAATCGGGGTAAGGGGTCAGTATGAGCCATTCTCGACGAAACCGAAAATCATGTCTTCAGCCGAAGTCAGTTATCCCCCACCCGCAACGATGAAAGTCTTTATTATTGGATCTATGCTCGAGCATATCCGAACGTGGATGGCTATGAGAAGTTTGTGTCCTTCATGGCGCTTATGAAGGTGTGAGTGGGAAATCACTGAACATCAACCCTGATATCGAACGCGAAAAATCGGAAAAAGTGCTGACCGATTGAAAGACGTCACAGACGGAATACCTCTGGTCAAATTCAAATTACCAAGGAATCAAGAAGGCTGCTTACTCGAGGATGCTCATGATCAATATCAGCGCCTAAAACGCGCCTGACACGGAGCCTGAGACTAAGGTTTACATCATGACAAACCCGTGTCTAGAAAATTCGAGTGTGTCGCAGTAAGCAACTGCGCATGCCCACGATCGTGAAAAAAACCATCCCAAAAACGACAATAGCGTGTACGCTGACCTAGTGCATTTCTACACTGAGATGTCATAGAATCAGGCAACGAGTAAGGTGAGGGAGTCCAAAATTAAAGTTAGCTTTCTTCAACCTATATGGTTCCTTACCGGCACCTCTATGTCACACATATACATGGGTCACGGCGTCACTCATACTCCGTGCATCAAACTTATAAGCAAGACATTATCAGATGCGCGTGGTCCGGCGTTTGCTCCCACTCGTTCCCCGCTAAAGCCTGCACTGTTTTCAGCTCCATCCAAATGGCCTTAACAGAATCGTTTTATCCGAACATCTCTTCCCCATTGCTAGCAGAATCTGACACAACTATCCTAGACGTTCTCACCAGCTCTCGATGGCAAGGCGTGCAAAAATTCTCCAGAAGGGATGCTGCTTTAGACCCATTATTGCTCGCAGTAGCTGCGTCTGCAGGCACCCACACAACCCGAAATCATTATCACCATGATTTCTTTCCCGGTGCCCAAGCCGATGCTGCCGCTCGGCCCAAGCGCGGTACAGAGAACACAAACAAGCCTCAGGAGCGCAAGCGTATGTCATATGTCAGCAAGCAAGGCCCTCGAAGACTACGCTTGCAGCCCACCATTTCTTCCCAACCAGCCTCCCAAGCTATCTCGTTGGTTGGACTATCACCCACATCCTCTATAGAAGTTAAATGCATGGCTCGTACACGTATACCCACCCCACATGGTCCAGTTTTCTTACATCTCTACCACAATAATCGAGACAGCAAGGAGCATCTTGCCATTGTCGTAGACCCGGCACAATACTCGGACGATAGTTCTGTTCTGGCACCACCAATCCGCAGCCGTTCTTTAGATGCTGTATGGAGTGATGACGAAACAGACATGGACCGCATCATACGCGGGGCATACGTAGGAAAACTATCTGCTACATCCCAACACCCATCTCGTCCTTCACCGCATCAACCATCTCCCACATCCTCCATTCCATCTCCACTTGTTCGTATTCACTCCGAGTGTTTCACTGGTGAAACAGTGGGCAGCATTCGCTGCGACTGTGGTGAACAGCTGGACGAAGCTATCCGCCTCATTTCTCAACCAATATCTCTTCCCGACAACGCATCACCTAATTCAAGGACGATGCCAGGCCGGGGTGCTGTAGTTTATTTGAAGCAGGAAGGTCGTGGAATCGGTCTTCTCTCCAAAATACGCGCCTATAATTTGCAGGATTTGGGCCACGACACGGTCACAGCCAATTTGATGCTCGGGCATCAGGCCGATGAACGTGGGTACGAAATTGCAGTCGCCATTTTGCGTGACCTTGGGCTTGGTTCAGAGCTTGGCGAGGGCGTTCGGCTATTGACAAATAACCCTGACAAAGTTCAAGCTCTTGAGAAAGAGGGCCTGAGGGTCGTAGAGCGGGTGCAGATGGTGCCTAGAAGCTGGAGACAACGCTCTCACTCACATGCGGACACGGGAGAGGCTGGCCTGGGTAAAGCCGCAGGTGTGACTATGATCGGCGGAGAGGCGGTCAGAGGGGAGGACTTGGACAAGTACCTCCGCACCAAAATTCTCCGCATGGGGCATATGTTGCCGCTTTATTTGGCAGACGGGCAAGCCGCGTCATGACGCAACTTCACGTCGCTCCTTCGCACAGATAATATGAAGATAATATGCAGGGGGTTTGACACGACTATCATTATCATCTATTTACCCTGTGTATTTCTTGGCCGTCCTTAGAGATAGAGTGTACTCATTTAATTGTACCGGTGGATCTACAGTCAGAATTCGAGGACTTGAAGTTGTTTCATAATCATAATAAAACGATGAACGATTTTCATTGGTTGATTGCTCATGTGATCTATTATCACATCATCAAATTGGGGCGTTAGCGAAATTGCAGCCATCTTGCATAGCATACATCATCACTTTCTCTATTACACTACTGTCCCTCCCAGTACTATAAGGTGTTGTCATGTTCGACCCTCTTAGCTCTACAAGTTCCATTTTTGCCAACGGAAACACCGACACGTCACCACCATGGCCAACAACTCCGCACGAGCCAAATTCTCCAATACCCCATTTGCGTCGCGCTTCCCCGTCCTTACCACCACCAGTGAGTGTTCAAAAACCAGAGACAGATGGGCTGTACGGTAGAGAACCAAAAATTTACGGACAGCCTGAACCTGGCCTTGTCTCTCCGCAGACGACAGTAGGCTCAAACGGCACGAAATACGAGAAGATGGAGCCATACCTACGTGTACGGATCACTGGAATGGACAGGAACAGGCGAGATATACTCTTCAAGCTTGATGCCCAGGTAAGCTAGCCGTACTCGATCATCTACGTGGTAATGAATTTTTAAATAAAACTCGTACTGGCAGACGACACTGTCTAATTTTACGGGAACGACATACCGCAATGTATCCCGTTCATACCTTGAGTTTCAGCAGTTCTACGAAGCGCTTATCAATAACTGTCCTCATACCATCATCCCTGCACTACCCCTTGCCCAAACCTCGGCACCTACAGATGAGGAAGATGATCGTCTTGTACGAATAATGCTGCAGCGATGGTTGACGCGAATATGCGAGGATCCGATTGTTATCCATGACGAAGAACTGCGCTCATTTATCGAGAGTGATTTTGGCTATCAGCCAACGCCACGTCCTCGGCGTAAAACGGGCTCAGGGTTTGGACTAATTCGCCGAGGCGTACCTGACGAAGACGAGGTACTGCAACGTGCACGATTTGAATTAACGAAGGTTGAAACGCAATTTTTCGATGCTGCTAAAGCTATCGACAAACTTGCGATCACGCGTAAATGTGAGTGGCTTGAAGGGTGATCGTTAGGCTTTGTTCATTTTGTTGATCTGAGTTGTAGCTCTGGCTGCTGCGCATGCGGAGATGGGCAATAAACTTATTAATGTTGCTACTACGGAATCGCATCCCCCTCTTGCACATACCCTGCAGAAGCTCGGAAGAGCATGGCATACTCTTACGGATCTGGATCAAGCGCAGGCGATCAGCGAATGTGTCGTTATCGGGGACACCTTTGGGTATCAGGGTCTAAACGCTCGTTCCGCAAAAGAAGCATTGTTACAACGAGCTGGTGTATTGGAAGAGTATCAGGCTGCGGTAAAATCGACGATATCTAAGCGGAGGAATATAGAGCGGTTGAAGGCAAGTTCTAACATTAAGCCTGAGCGAGTGGATGAAGCTCTGGAGGACATAGAGGAGGTAAGTGCCATTGTTTAGTGTTTCCTGGGCGTGAGAGCGCTGATCTCTGCATTTTTGTAATAGGCCAATAAATACGAGCAAGTGCTTGCTCAACGAGCTAACAACATATCCCAAAATCTTCATCGTGCAATGGATACACACAAGCGTACTGTTGCAGATGATATAACTGCTGCTTTAATCGAGCACGCTCGCTCGTCGCTCATGTACGAAAGGCAGCTACTCCGAGAATTGGAGGCGCTTCGCACAGATGTCAATAACGCCAACCAGAAGGTAGCACCTGCAAATCCGAATGTCATTCCCAAGCCATCTGTTGTCTTACCTTTAGAAGACGATATACCACCCACGCGAACTAGGGCTACGCCTCCTGTCGCGAAGCCTCCAAACCGGATGCCGCCAGCCGCTCCTTCACCCACTCAGTCCTCATTCAGACATAACCCACTCCCCCCTCAATCACCTGGTGCGGGACCTTCGACACCTCAGCGGAACTCTTTCGCACACTCGCCTGCACCCCCGCAGCCACGGGAAACTGGCCCGCCTCTGGGCGGCCGCTTTGTGGATGGTACCCAGTCGATGTTTGTTAACGCCTCATCAGCATCACCGTTGGGCCCTCCGGTAGCTTTTACTGCCTCTTCGCCTTCTTTACCTCAAGGCCCCCTTGGGGGAGCCATCCATTCTCCTGTTCCATCCTCTGCCACTCATCCTCTTGCGGGTTTCGCGCAATCCCCATTGGCCACTACCGGTCATATTCGCTCTGCAAGCGCACAGCAGGCAGTGGATCCTCTGGGAATGTTCGCCCCGACGAACATGTCACAATCAATGCGGGTACACCCATCGCGCCCACGCTTGGATGCGCGGGTTGCAGCGAGCAAGCTTGCTAATATGTTCTAGTCGTTCTGATAGAGGATGGACTATGCTTTTACACATTGTCGACTGATACTGCTCAATGGATTGCTATTCGTGTGTCAAACTGAAATGCTGGTCTTCAACACATACCCGACCAGATCAGTCTGTAAATTTGAGTAGTGAAATACATGTACACTTTCATTGATTCTGTCATAGTCGTCGATCGTCACATCTATCTACAGCAGGGACTTGAGCACCTCAACGACCTTGTCACCGACCTCGACAGTCGTTGCTTTCCCTTGCAAATCAGCTGTTCTGATGCCGAATCCACCAGCACTGGGCTCATCCAACACCTTGCGAACAGCAGTCTCCACAGCCTGGGCCTCCTTCTCGAGACCGAGGGAGTACCGCAGGAGCATAGCTGCGCTGAGAATAGTACCGATTGGGTTGGCAATGCCCTTGCCAGCGATGTCGGGGGCAGAGCCGTGAATAGGCTCGTATATGCCTGAGGTAGGCTTAAAAGAAGGCCCTGAAACCGATGCAGGTGCACCAGCAAGGGACGCCGACGGCAGCAATCCCAGAGAACCAGGAATAACACTCGTCTCATCTGACAAGCTGACATCAAATCAATAAATATCTTCACTATTAATAGTTGAATTGAGACTTACATGTCACCGAACAGGTTCTCGGTCAAGATGACACCGTTCAACTTTTTGGGGTTAGCTACGATGATCATAGCAGCGGAGTCAACGAGATGGTGGTCGACGGTCAGCTGGGGGTATTCCTTTGCAAGGGTCTCGGTGACGACCCTTCTCCACAATCTCGAACTTGCGAGCACGTTTGCTTTGTCGATGGAGTGGATGGGGAGGGGTGGGTTGGCAGCAAGAGCGATTTGTGCTGCGACCCTCGTGATCCTCTCGACCTCGGCAACGCTGTACACCATGGTATCATACGCGGAGTCGCCATCGCCTTGTTCCTGACGAGGACCAAAGTATAGACCACCGATCAGCTCACGGATGACGATCATGTCGACACCCTTGGCGACCTCGGGCCTTAGGGGGGTGTATGAAAGTAAAGAGTCGGACGCAAAGTTCGCTGGGCGAACGTTTGCGTATAAACCCAGAGCTTTCCTGATCCCAAGAAGACCTTGCTCAGGGCGTACTTTTGCCTCTGGACCCCATTTGGGGCCACCCACGGAGCCTAAAAGTTCAATCAGTGTTACGGTTCACAAAATCAAAACAGAATTTTTTTTCTCACCAAGAAGAATGGCATCCGCCTGCTTGCACGCTGCCAGAGTGGATGCGGGCAGGGGTTCGCCGTATTTGTCAATAGCGCATCCACCAAAATCATGAGATTCGAGGATGAGTTTGACTGATGTCGATGTCTCGCTGACGAGCTCTAAAACTCGCGTTGCTTGTGCGACGACATCTGGTCCTGTAATGCTGTTTGAGCTCTACGCCTTGATCAAACCGGGAATGTACATACCAATGCCGTCCCCTGGCAGAACGACGATGCGGTACCTGCACATAAAAGTCAGTGGTGGTCATATTATGGGAGATCGAGAGACTGACGACTTGGGAGACATTTGAAAGATGGAGAAGTGGAAGATGGGATGTAAATTGTAAAAGTCATCAATATTGTTATAACCTCTGCCTTGGAGGTCATCGGCTCTCCGCTACTATCGGCCGAGGTGATGATTGATCGGACGACATCACATGATTGAGGTCATGGTATCCTGAATATTCCCACGCTTACCCTCATCAGAAAATATACTTTGCGAAGTATTTTTTTTTTTCGTCTTACACTGATTCATGTGCTCTTCGACCCGTTGGTTCGTCTGAAGTGTGGAAAATGCTTTCTAGATGGATGAAGAAACACATTATTGGCCTATTCCTGACCAATTTATATTTATGAGTGAGTCTAACATACAGTATGTCCTCTTCATCTCTATCACGATTCGGGTGCATCTCGTCGAACCATCGATGCTATCAATGGATCCATTATGGAAGTGCCCTTCGATATCCATCAATGGTGCCATCAGCAATTTGACAGCTTTCACGCAAATATCCACAGGGTCGCGATTTTAGAGACAGGTCCAGTCCACCATACATCGAATTATTACACACGGCCACATCCCAATGCCATTGCAGAGACAATAATGTGGTATATTGTTATGTCGTTGCATCTCATTGCCAGGTTGCCTTGTAGTTTCGCTACGTCGTTGCGAGTTCTTGTCTCAGCGCGCTTGTTATGAATGTACGAAAGTGTTTATTGTATTTATCTGGGACATTTTGTTTTTCTGTTGTGAGTGTACGCGAAATGATGAGATCACGTGTGTATTTTGTGCTGTTTGCCGCTACATATCACGCCCCCTCGAGATATACTTATAGAGACCTTGCTAGGGTGACTTCTTCAAAACTTCTCATCGATGGCAGAATCAAAGCCTCGCTGTAAAAACTTGGTTTTAGATGCTGGTCCACTGCTTTCGCTGTCACCACTGAGGGGTCTGGCAGAGATCTACCTCACTGTACCTCAAGTTCTAGATGAACTCAAGGACAAACGTGCCCGGGAACACTTTGAACGATTAGGGCTATCTGCTGGTGTTCAAGTGGATGTACGCAACCCTGATGCTGCATCGCTTGCTCATGGTCAGCACAGATCTCCATTTTGTTGGTTTCTCACATATCTATTGCTCTCCAGTGGTACAATTTGCGAAGAAGACTGGAGATTACGCTGTTTTATCTCATGCAGATATCTGCGTCTTGGCGTTGACCCACTCGCTTCATGTGCGCGAGCAGGCGTCGTCAGAGAATGACCCCAAAGAGGCGAGGTTTGACAAGTTTAATACCACAGCCTCAATCTGACATCTAGGCAGTAGAACGTTACCGATGAAATTGCCGATAACGTCCAAAGTCCCACAACTTCCCCTTCGGATCCATCGGAAGATACCCATGGGGATGATGAAGATGAAGAGAGGGAGCCGCTAGATATCGAAATTCTCCGAGAAGGGGGCCAAGATATAACAAAAGAAGTGCATCATCCATTAACTGACAAGGCTCGACCATCCGATGAACCGCTATACGAGGACCCCTCTGATGAAGATGATGGCGAGGGTGAATGGGTTACACCTGAAAACGTCGCACTCCACAAATCCCAAGCGCTGCAGCTGTTACCCTCTAGCAGTAGTACAAGTAAGAAAGGGCGGGGACGAAAGGTGGAAGACGAATTCGTACCAGCAGGTTGCATGACCGGAGATTTTGCAGTTCAGAACGTCTTGCTGCAGATGGGTCTGACATTGGTCGGAACTGAAGGGAAGCGGATACAAAAAGTGAAGAGCTGGGTTCTTCGATGTCACGCTTGCTTCAAGTGAGTACCTGATTCCTCTGAGTGGTACCCTGTTTTTATATCACAACTAGGATCTGCAAAGACAACTCAAAACAGTTTTGCCCGTCCTGCGGTAACCCTACACTAATGCGGGCGTCCGTCACTGTTGCGTCCCCTGATGCATCACAAGATGCTCCTGCAATGCAAGTCCACCTGAAGAAAAACTTCCAGTATAAAGTAAGGGGGACGGTATATTCAATCCCTGCACCCAAGCCCGGATCGGCCAAGACAGGCCCCGGAGAAGGTCTTATATTACGAGAGGACCAACTAGAATACATGCGCGCTAAAAAGCATGCAGACGGTAAACGAGATCGGGAAGAGCGGCGGATGATCAAGGGCCTGGTTGATAAGGGCGGGGAGGGTGGCGTCAGTGTTGGCGGCTGGTCAGATCCTGATTGGATGCCAGGAATATTGAGTGCTAGGAGTGGAGGACAAGGGCGACCATCACATGCTGGTGGAGACATGCCGCAGATAGGGTACGGGAAGAAGAACCCCAACGAAAGGAAGAAAAAGAAGTAATATATGGATATCGTTGCTGAAAAGTACATTACCCAGTTGATCAGAGCGGAATATACAACTGTTCTTCTGATAATTGATTTACGAGCCCAGGCTGCGGTTCATGAACCTTCTTTTCTGAAATGCCATCCACCACTTGCTTGGCTTGCCCGTCCCGTCAGCATACAGGCGTTCTACCAGACGAACTGCCAGTTCCTGGCGGACCTGCGTCAAGTATGTCCGTAGATAATCTGTCATTATATCTCCATTATCCACTCAGACGAAATAATTTAACTGAACGTACCTGCATCTGCTCTGCTCTGAGGCGGGGCATAATGGGCGTTAAGAGGGAATCCAGCATCACCTGGGATAGCGAAACTGTCTACTGATAACGTATTCAACATCTTTGATGCTTCAATCTGCGTTGGTACTGTACGAGCAGAACCGATCTTCGCCAAGCAATCGGAGATGTAGAGAATCAGGATGATTAACAGTCGGTCCGCAGGCCCTTTGATCTCAAAGTTACGGAAGAGCGAATTGGCGCGAAAAAGGTCCAGGGTCTCGTCTATAATATCTCCTTGCTCTGGATCGGCTACACGCGAGGCAGTCAGAATCATGGTGGGGCGACTGCATATTCTAGTGGACATACCAAGGGGCGCAGGACCGCGGATTTTGGTTCTGATCGGCAAGATGGACATGTTGCCAGCTTGCATTGCATCAGGGAACTCGTTGAAAGCAGAGTGGTATGCCTATAAAGTTTTGTTGCTCGCCGTCAGCATTGCTCTTCAAAACTCCCCCAGAGAACACGCTCACAGGCATGGCGCAGCGGTGAGAAGTTGGGAGTACACAGCCACCAAATTAACTATTGATGGCGCATTTCCTTTTCGGTTTGAAGTACTACTAGGAGCGCGACGTTCAACCGCGTTGTAACTTGTTCGACGTTGAAAACCAGCAACTTCAGAAATGTATCAAAATGGTGAAACTGATAATGAACAAACCTCTCTTATGTCATCGCAGTTGATGAAGCCCTCTCCGGATACATTAACTAGTATGTCATACCCATTCTTGCATTCATTTTTATTTCCTAACTGTTATATAGAACTTGTAAAGCGTCTCAGGGCACTAGCAACGAAGCTACTCCCGGTGGAAGTTGATCACAAGAGCAT